TGGGGACGCTGACATATGCACCTGGAAGTGAGCATGGGGACGCTGACATATGCACCTGGAAGTGAGTATGGGGACGCTGACATATGCACCTGGAAGTGAGTATGGGCACGCTGACATATGCACCTGGAAGTGAGTATGGGGACGCTGACATATGCACCTGGAAGTGAGTATGGGGACGCTGACATATGCACCTGGAAGTGAGCATGGGGACGCTGACATATGCACCTGGAAGTGAGCATGGGGACGCTGACATATGCACCTGGAAGTGAGCATGGGGACGCTGACATATGCACCTGGAAGTGAGTATGGGGACGCTGACATATGCACCTGGAAGTGAGTATGGGGACGCTGACATATGCACCTGGAAGTGAGTATGGGGACGCTGACATATGCACCTGGAAGTGAGTATGGGGACGCTGACATATGCACCTGGAAATGAGTATGGGGACGCTGACATATGCACCTGGAAGTGAGTATGGGGACGCTGACATATGCACCTGGAAGTGAGTATGGGGACGCTGACATATGCACCTGGAAGTGAGTATGGGGACGCTGACATATGCACCTGGAAGTGAGTATGGGGACGCTGACATATGCACCTGGAAGTGAGTATGGGGACGCTGACATATGCACCTGGAAGTGAGTATGGGGACGCTGACATATGCACCTGGAAGTGAGTATGGGGACGCTGACATATGCACCTGGAAGTGAGTATGGGGACGCTGACATATGCACCTGGAAGTGAGTATGGGGACGCTGACATATGCACCTGGAAGTGAGTATGGGGACGCTGACATATGCACCTGGAAGTGAGTATGGGGACGCTGACATATGCACCTGGAAGTGAGTATGGGGACGCTGACATATGCACCTGGAAGTGAGTATGGGGACGCTGACATATGCACCTGGAAGTGAGTATGGGGACGCTGACATATGCACCTGGAAGTGAGTATGGGGACGCTGACATATGCACCTGGAAGTGAGTATGGGGACGCTGACATATGCACCTGGAAGTGAGTATGGGGACGCTGACATATGCACCTGGAAGTGAGTATGGGGACGCTGACATATGCACCTGGAAGTGAGTATGGGGACGCTGACATATGCACCTGGAAGTGAGTATGGGGACGCTGACATATGCACCTGGAAGTGAGTATGGGGACGCTGACATATGCACCTGGAAGTGAGTATGGGGACGCTGACATATGCACCTGGAAGTGAGTATGGGGACGCTGACATATGCACCTGGAAGTGAGCATGGGGACGCTGACATATGCACCTGGAAGTGAGTATGGGGACGCTGACATATGCACCTGGAAGTGAGTATGGGCACGCTGACATATGCACCTGGAAGTGAGTATGGGGACGCTGACATATGCACCTGGAAGTGAGTATGGGGACGCTGACATATGCACCTGGAAGTGAGCATGGGGACGCTGACATATGCACCTGGAAGTGAGCATGGGGACGCTGACATATGCACCTGGAAGTGAGCATGGGGACGCTGACATATGCACCTGGAAGTGAGTATGGGGACGCTGACATATGCACCTGGAAGTGAGTATGGGGACGCTGACATATGCACCTGGAAGTGAGTATGGGGACGCTGACATATGCACCTGGAAGTGAGTATGGGGACGCTGACATATGCACCTGGAAATGAGTATGGGGACGCTGACATATGCACCTGGAAGTGAGTATGGGGACGCTGACATATGCACCTGGAAGTGAGTATGGGGACGCTGACATATGCACCTGGAAGTGAGTATGGGGACGCTGACATATGCACCTGGAAGTGAGTATGGGGACGCTGACATATGCACCTGGAAGTGAGTATGGGGACGCTGACATATGCACCTGGAAGTGAGTATGGGGACGCTGACATATGCACCTGGAAGTGAGTATGGGGACGCTGACATATGCACCTGGAAGTGAGTATGGGGACGCTGACATATGCACCTGGAAGTGAGTATGGGGACGCTGACATATGCACCTGGAAGTGAGTATGGGGACGCTGACATATGCACCTGGAAGTGAGTATGGGGACGCTGACATATGCACCTGGAAGTGAGTATGGGGACGCTGACATATGCACCTGGAAGTGAGTATGGGGACGCTGACATATGCACCTGGAAGTGAGTATGGGGACGCTGACATATGCACCTGGAAGTGAGTATGGGGACGCTGACATATGCACCTGGAAGTGAGTATGGGGACGCTGACATATGCACCTGGAAGTGAGTATGGGGACGCTGACATATGCACCTGGAAGTGAGTATGGGGACGCTGACATATGCACCTGGAAGTGAGTATGGGGACGCTGACATATGCACCTGGAAGTGAGTATGGGGACGCTGACATATGCGAGGGAGTGGGATGGGGAAGACGCGGTTCGATTTGACTCGCTGCTCTCCGCGTTCGCTCACGAGCTTGCAGAGGCGACCAGCGACCCGTATGTGCTGAATTGCTACGACGCTGCTGGGCAGAAGAACGCCGACCTATGTGCCTGGAAGTGAGAATGGGGGAAAGGGGGGGGTTATGTGTGGAGAGGGGAACGAGAAAGGGGAGGTATGTGGACGAATTTGTGAGTGTGCAGAGGCAACGAGTGACCCCTATGTGTCCAATTGGTACGACGCTGCTGGGCAGGTGAACGGCGACCTATGTGCCTGGAAGTGAGTAACCGGGAGGAAGGGGGGGATGGGTTGCTGGGTTGGATATTGGGTGTGCAGAGGCCACGAGCGATCCCTATGTGACCAATCGGTACGATGCCCCGGGACAGGAGAACGCTGACTTATGTGGCTGAAGCGAGCAGGGGGGGAGGGGGGGAGGGCGGGGTGGGGTGGGGAGAAAGGGGGGGGAGATTGGGATGGATTACTGGGCGAGAGGACGCCGATGTATGTGCAATTCGTTCTATTGAACTCTTAAACTTATTGAAACATTTGACTTGTCGTCCTTTTCAAAAAGTCTTGAAACACCCCAGGCATCTATCTATCGCCCCCTTCTCCGTGCATCACATCCTCCCCGCGAACCCAGCAGCACCCACCGCCATCCCCCCATAGACATCCGATGATGCCTCGTACACATCAGAGGGTGGTGTGAATGGTGTGAATGGTGTGAATGGTGTGAATGGTCCTGAAAAGAATGCACTAGCAACGTTCTCCTCACTTTTCGGCTCCTTCACTTCCTCCCATTCCACATTTTCACCCCACAAAACCTGACAGGACCGGCGGCACCCTCTCGTACATTTCAGATGCTGCACCATATAACATGGAAGCGGTTAAGGGTGGTGTGGAGCGGTTTGAATGGTCTCTGACTATAAGTACTAGACTTGCAACATGTTCCGCCCCTTTCCTCCCTCCCACAACACCTGGCAGAACCGGCACCCTCTCATACACGTCAGATGCTGCACCGTATAACGTGGAAGGGGTGGGTGGGACCAAGTTCCTCATTCAGCAGAACTACGACCCGATTCAACGAACCTGTGTCATCGCCACAGCCGCTTGAACCTGGTGAGGGTGGGTGGGACCAAGTTCCTCATTCAGCAGAACTACGACCTGATTCGACGAACCTGCATCACCACGACTGCTCCTGCGTGACTAGGTTCATTGAACCTGGAGGCGGTGAATGAGGATAAGTTTCTCTCCCGGCAGAACCACGACCTGAGTCAACGAACCTGCGCCACCACCGCTTCTCCTGCTTGACCAGGTTCTTTGAACCTGGACCTGAATCGCCACCAGTGCTGGAGCGAGTCTTGATACGTCGAATCTGGAGACTCTCTCTCATGACCATCGCAGCCTCCACTCGGAGGTGCCAGCATTGAGGCGCCTAAAAAACCATCGCAGCCTTCAAGAGGCGCCAGCATTGAGAATTGAACCCAGGTGGGAGCCAGAGAGAGCGACAGCGGGCAGGCGCGAGGGGGCAGGTGTGAGGAAGAGAGAGCAGGTGCGTCGAACATGGACGCTTTCAAGGCGGAACATTGAGACTCCCCAAAGAGGGTGGGAGCGAGAGAGATCGACAGAGGGCAAGCTTGAAAGAGCAAGTGGGAGCACGAGGGAGCAAGTGGGAGGAAGCGAGGGCAAGAGCGATTGATAAAGGGTGAGAGAGGGAGCAATCTAGGACGAGAGAGAGAGAGAGAGAAAGAGAGAGAGAGAGAGAGAGAGAGAGAGAGAGAGAGAGAGAGAGAGAGAGAGAGAGAGAGAGAGAGAGAGAGAGAGAGAGAGAGAGAGAGAGAGAGAGAGAGAGAGCGATTGGAATTTGGGAACCATGTTTTGATGTCACAGAGGAGTGGGTTGTTTGATGCTCAAAGGGGCAGGATGCAGTAGAATGAAGAAGCAGCACATGCGTTTTCTGGAGGAAGTGACAGGTCGATCCGTTGGTGCTGCTGCAGGGATTGACAAGATCATCTGATGATGCTGTAATACAAGGCACCGACTGTAACTACCGGTAACAATGCTGCCGTTTCTGAAAGCAATGTGCTTGAGCTCACGATTGTGATGCCTCTGATGCAGCTTGTGTCTAGGTGGGTTGTAGTGGTACCGTAGATGTGGTTGTACGATAGCATGCTAAGGGCGCGTGTGGTCCGGGTCGAACTTTGCTAGAGTTTGAACTTTCAGAGTGGTTTTACACGGTAGGATACAGTCGAATAACGTGTCGCCATGGTGCAAAGCGGTTAGAGTTCGCACTTAGACAATATCTACCAGATCACACGCGCCCTGAGAAACGGTACTGAATTGTGCTTTGATGGCTGATTCATAGGGAAGTATCGAAGTGAGCATTTTTTGTTTTGTATAAAAATGAATCCATTATTGCGATGCATAACATGAACTGTACTGTACCCAAGCACTGGGACCCCTGCCCCCCATGAATACTGCATTCACGGACGACCCCGTATCACATCCCAGGGGGAATCTTGCGGTTATCTAAGGTATCGATAACAAAGAACGGAGAAGCTGTTGGTGATGTGTAATGTATAATGTGTATAATCCAGCAGGGAGGTTCATTCATGGAGGTGAGGGAATGTCCTGTACAGTCCGCGATGCGTTGCGGCCTCTCCTCGAGCGGCGAAAGATCTGCTCGTGAGGAGAGATGGTGGAGGTGAAAGAGGGGGAGAGAGGTTGTGACTTTGAGAATTCGTAAGAGGGAATGTCCTGTACATGTCGCGATGCTTTGCGGCCTCTCCTCGAGCGGCGAAAGATCTGATCGTGACGAGAGATGGTGGTGGTGAAAGAGGGGGGGAAGGGGGAGAGAGGGGAGAGGGGAGAGGGGTTGTGACATTTGAGAATTCTCACGAGGGAATGTGTCAGATTCGATGGACTGCAATGGAACTGAAAATGTTTGTGGGGAATATAGCATCAAGGAACTAACCTGGGGAGGTGGTGGTGACGGTGGTGACGGTGGTGACGGTGGTAGGGACTAACCTGGGCAATGGTTTTGGTGAGGGAATGAGCGGCGATGCCTAGTGGTCCGAACATGAGGCAGAGCACGAGCGAGTGCCGCGTCTCCAGCTTCTGTTTTAGGCCGTCCAGATACACGTGCCTGTAAGAGAGAAGGGGGAGGGGGTAGAAGCGAGAGAGGGGAGGGGGAGGAGAGGAAGGAGCGGGAAGAAGGAGGGAATGAGGAAGTGCCGCGTCTCCAGCTTCTGCTTCAGTCCGTCCAGATACACGTGCCTGTAAGAGAGGGGGGAGGAGAGGAGGATATGCTGCCTAAATTGCCCTGATACCCTAGCAAATTGCTAAAATTTCCCAAATGGCAGAAAAATACTGAAAAAAGGATGATTTGTCGTAAAAGGGCTGCAACCCGAGGGCCCTGACACGGAAGAGATTCCTGCGAAGCCACCTGATGGAAGAAATCAATCAGGCCAGATCACCTGACATGTCACCAGACCAGACTAACCACCTGACGACTCACCTGGCGGCAAATAGATCAACGGCCAGCAGGTGAATCCAGGCAGAGGCAACAGTGAGAGTGCTGGCGAACATCTGAGTGATGCCTGCTAGCTGGTGGGGGGAGAGCAGGTGGGAGGGGGGAGAGCAGGAGGGAGGGGGAGAGCAGGAAGGAGGGGGAGGGAGAGGCAGCAGCAGAGGGTAAGGGAAGCGGGAGGGGGGATCAAGAGAAGGGGAAACGGATGGATCCAGGCAGAGGCGACAGTGAGAGTGCTGGAAAACATTTGAATGATGCCCGCTAGCTGGTGGGGGGAGAGCAGGGAGTGGGGGGTGAGAAAGAAGAAGCGGCGGAGGTAAGGGAAGGGGGTGGGTGGGGAAACCAAGCGAGGGTGGCACTGAGAGATTGGCGAACATTACAGGGTATGGTATGCAAGGGTCTGCAGCTATTCCATTATGGGTTCGTGTATTCAAGGGTAACTGAAGGGTGGATTCGTACAGACGAACCTCGGGCAGCCAGTATTTGGAGGAGAACATGTAGAGCAGCGTGTTGGGCGTCCACGACTTGTAGAGCAGGTAGAGGTACACGAAACCCAGGAGAATGCTCGGCAGCGAGCTGCCCATGATCTTCTCCGTCTGTAGTGTGGGGTGGGGCGGTGTGGAGTGGGGTGAGACGGAGTGGTGTGGGGGTGGGGTGGGGTGGGGTGGGGTGGGGTGGGAGTCTTTTGAGGCGCTTCAAAAGGCGTCACGACTTGTAGAGCAAATAGAGGTACACGAAGCCCAGGAGAATGCTCGGCAGCGAGCTGCCCATGATCTTCTCCGTCTGGTGTAGGACGGGGTGGGGTAGGATGGGGTGGGGTGGGAAGGGGTGATGGCGCTTCAAAAGGCGTCAGGACTTGTAGAGGAGGTAGAGGAACACGAAGCCCGGGAGAATGCTGGGAAGCGAGTTGCTCATGATCTTCTCCGTCTGGTGTGGGTTGTGGCGCGGTGTGGCGCGGTGTGGGGTGGTGTGTGTGGGTTGGGACGGGGCGGGATGGGGTGGTGTGGTGTGGTGTGGTGTGGGTTGGGGTCGTGCGGTGTGGTAGCAGCAGGGAATAAGCACGAGCAGCAGCCTGTGGCGCATGCAAGGAACTAATTGTAACGGGTACTTAGGCACTCGTACCACGTGCCAGTCTGGCGCGAAGATCATGAGCGTATAAAGGGGATGACGGCAGCCGTACAGATGTTTGCGACAACTCATACAGGGGCTGCTTATATCGAGTTGGGAGTGAGACACGTACCACGTGCCAGTCTGGCGCGAAGATCATGAGCGTATAAAGAGGGATGACGGCAGCCGTGCAGAGCGTGAACCAGCTGCTCGCTATAGTCACAGCGGAGCTACCCCCAGCTGCCATGGCTGCCGCTGCAGCGGACGACGCAGCGGACGTGACTATAGGGGGCGTCACTGGTGGGCGGGTGAGAATGGTCAGGGGGGCCGCAGAGAGAGGGGGATGGGATGGGAGTGAGCGTGAAGGAGAATGCAGAAAACGGGAAGGTGGACGGACGGTGGATGAAGGGTGGTGGGACGAAGGATAGAAGCGGTTTGCCAAGGACGGCTTACGACTGCATTGAACTCGGCTGTTAGCTGCAAAATTCTGCGCCGACTCGAGAGGACGGCACAAAAAGAAGGCTTTCGACTGCCTTAGGTGGGTCGCTTGCAGGCCATAGCGTGACGCTTCGTCTAATTATGATGGCACAAATAAATTGCCCTGAAGTACGGCACAGAAGAATGGTACACAAGGAATGGCTTACAACTGCATTGGATTCGACTGCCGTTTGATATCTGTAGTTTTCTAGGCTTCGGTCCGCCGGAGAGGATGCATTCTCGGGCGGCACGAGTTGACGGATTCGCGAAACGTCCGGGTGTCACGTGTGATGCTGCCGTTCGCACTGCTGCCGTCGGTGTGGTTGTGGAGAGGGACACGTGGCAGCAGCAGGAGGAGGGGGAGGAGCGAAGCGACGGGGAAGAGGAGACCGCGACGACATGGGAGGCCTGCAATAACCAGTCAGGCAATAACGGAATTATGGGGGTTCTGACGGAAACTTCTTAACCGACACGACGATCAAGAGTTTCTTGCAAGACGGCTGTCACAAAAGCACCGCACCCAATCTCCTTCAACCACTTCTGCTGGTTCGAGCTGCTAGCTGGCGCTACTTCATCAAATTTCTACCCAACGTCGATCAAAACTGAATACCACCGGAAAATTTGTGTGCTGCACAAGGAATGCGGCCGCCATGACCGCAATTCTCATCGCAACCCCCTGTTATAAACTTCTACTGCTGTCCTAAGCTGCGTAGCTCTTCTCACCTCGACGGCCAACGAGCGCGCCGAGCCCTGCAACGCAGCAGACGCCATCTCGTCCGACTCTCCTCTTCCTCTCTCCTGCTCGCAAAGCACGCAGCTAAGCAAAGCTGATACTAAAAAATAGATGCGTCACCTTGTTCCTACTGTCACCTGCGCTTTGATTAGTATGAGCTGATTGCAGGGCATGTCAAAACATATATTTTTTCTCTCACAACCCTACCCGAACATGTTGTATTCTACAATACCGTTCTAAACCGTAGGGAAGTGACTATTCGGGGAAGGACCTATCCAACATCAAATGGTTTTGTGCTGACCCAAGTCCACCGTATCGAACCGCACAGAAAGCCTCTCAGTTGCGCGAAGTCCTACTGTACCGAATGGATTCTGGATACCGGGGTGTGTGACGCCGTTTTGCAATTGGGTGACACGCGCGGATGTCAGCCAGTCGTCCAGGCCAGACCAGAATCAAGGCTTTGATCGTGTGCCTGACGCAAAGATGCGGCGTGGAGGTACGCTCAGACGCGTTCTGCCGTCTGATTGGTTGTCGTGATCCTCTGTGTGGATTTCTGGGCCACGAAAAGCAAAGCTTCGAAAAAAGGTTCACCCGTTTCCACCATACAGCAAGCTTCCAAACAAGCTCTATTTGTGCCTTATTCCGTACTTATATAATCGATACATAGATACATCTTTTTCAGTTTTAAATGAAAGAAAAACGGAAAACGCAGCCTCAAGAACACCCCAGTAGAACAGCACATAAGGAATCCAGACATATAGGATAGATAACATGCATCTACAGATACGTAGCATCAACAAAATAATCAGGCTCATCGCTTGAATTTGTCCATTGACAGTAGCCTACTAATTAACCCAACTTCTACCCTAAACGACTCAATATTTCAGTCAGACTCAAACCATTCACATAATCTCCCCTACTCAAGGCTGAGGCCGTGACTGCACCACGTAGATCTTATCCCCCACAACACACCCTTCAATGTCCTGAGGTGATCCAAACCGGTCCTCCAGAAACGATCCAACGGCCTCAAGCTTCTTAGCAAGCACCACCTGAGCATCAGGCGAAGTAGACAACAGCTGACCACTGTAATCCACTGCTTGCATCACAACCCCGCCCCCTTCTGCACCTGCTTTCCTTCCACCTGAACCGCCCCCAGCAGCAGCAGCAGCAGGTGCCATCACGATTTTCTCGCTGAAATTTGCAAACGCCAGGATTCGAACCAAGCCGTCGGATTTCCCGACAGCGAAGCGCCATGCGGTGCCACGTGTACCAGACGCCAGGGTCTCGCCCAGCCCTGGCGCCACCTCAGCAGAGAGGAAATCCGACGGTGCAGGAGAGCCGGGAGCAACAGCACTCGCAGATGCAGATGCAGCAGATCCTGTGGCTTTCCCATTACTGCCGCCGCCGCCGCCGCCGCCGCCGCCGCTGCTGCTGCTGCTGCTGCTGTTAGCAAGTCGGGGACTGGGAACAACGAGAGCGCCACCAGCACCAGTGCCGATTCCCTTGGTATGCAGCACGAAGCTAAGGTCCGGCGGGGAGATTAACTCCTGGACTAGAACCGCCATAGCTGCATCGCTCTGACGCACGCCCGCCACCCGCCGGCTCAGCACCGCGCGCCGCGTGAACAGTGACGCCCACACCGAGGCTACGGCTCGGCCGAACGAAGCAGGATCGGAGAGGGTGACATCAGGTACGGAATCGTACAGCCCAGCTCCGGACATCCCAGCTAAATCTTCTACGTTGGCGCTCGAGCGGACGATAAGGCGAGCGTTTGCGGAGAAGATATACGAGAGGGTTCGGAAGAAGGCGGGGGGAAGGGGGGATTCCTCTAGGAGAGTGCGGATCTGGGCGCAGGTGCTGTCGAGGACGCTTCCTTGAAGGTTCGGGTCGTCGAGGGTGGCAGCGAGGCGGTGGAAGAGTGTGCGACGGTTGGAAGCGGTGATGGCCTCTTCCATTACTCCAAAGGTGATCACAGCTGAGCGGGGGACCGAGAAGTCAGCACCTGGAAGTGTGAGTGATGGGGTACAGAGGGGGAATGGGGGAGTGGCGCCGGGGAAGGGGGATAAATGGAAGCGGTGATGGCCTCGTCCATTACCCCAAAGGTGATCACAGCTGAACGGGGGACGGAGAAGTCAGCACCTGATGGGAGGGGAAGGGGTTCCAAGTGGGCGAGAGATTGGATGAGAGTGCGGCGGTTGGAAGCGGTGATGGCCTCTTCCATTACTCCAAAGGTGATCACAGCTGAGCGGGGGACCGAGAAGTCAGCACCTGGAAGAGTGATGGGGTACAGAGGAGGAATGGGGGAGTGGCGCCGGGGAAGGGGGATAAATGGAAGCGGTGATGGCCTCGTCCATTACCCCAAAGGTGATCACAGCTGAACGGGGGACGGAGAAGTCAGCACCTGATGGGAGGGGAAGGGGTTCAAGTGGGCGAGAGATTGGATGAGAGTGCGGCGGTTGGAAGCGGTGATGGCCTCGTCCATTACTCCAAAGGTGATCACGGCTGAACGGGGCACAGAGAAGTCAGCACCTGGAAGAGTGATGGGGTACAGAGGGGGAATGGGGGAGTGGCGGTGGGGAAGGGGGATAAAAGGAAGCGGTGATGGTCTCGTCCATTACTCCAAAGGTGATCACTGCTGAGCGGGGGACAGAGAAGTCAGCACCTGATAGAAGGGGAAGGGGTTTGAAGTGAGATTGTGGGGAAAGCGGATTCAATGAGTGCGTGGCGGTTGGAAGAGGTAGACTAATGCATTGGAGACAGAGGGACACAAGACACAAGAGGCTCGAGGGACAAGTACCTGCAAAGGTGGAGGCGATTGAGAGCTCCTCTAGCTTGGCGCACGCATGCGCCTTGGCGCCACACGTGGCCAGCTGGTTCCCACTGGGCCACAGGTGATGCGAGGGACACGAGACTGGCAGAGGGACTACATACACCAAGAGACTCGAGAGAAAAATTACCTGCAAAGGTGGAAGCGATTGAGAGCTCATCGAGCTTGGCGCATGCATGCGCCTTGGCACTACACGTGGCCAGCTGGGCCTCATGCAGGCACTTACCGTGTGCAATGGGGGAGGCCAATACCTGCAAAGGTGGAGGCGATTGAGAGCTCCTCTAGCTTGGCGCACGCATGCGCCTTGGCGCCACATGTGGCCAGCTGAGCCTCGTGCAGCGGCAGCACTGGCAGCCGTGCCTCCTGCACTCGGATCTGGGGGGGAACAGGGGGAGACACGGGGAGAGTAAAGGGAAGAGGGGAGAGGAGAGGAGTTTGGGTGTTTGTTGAGTGAGCTGAGAGAAACGTGGCAGCACTGGCAGCCGCGCCTCCTGCACTCGGATCTTCTGCGGAGGGGCGGGGGAGATACAGGGCTGGGGAGATTGGCAAGGGTGGAGGGGCGAGGGGGGAGGGGCGAGGGGGGAGGTTTCAATCGCCTGCAGCCACACTTCATCCTCGCTCTTCCCTCTGCCACTGCTACTGCCTCCGTTGCAAGCACATGTGCCTCAAAGCAAATGTCCTTGAAGCAAGCACGCCTCTAATGATTGTGAATGAAGCACTGTCATTCCAGCAACAAATTAGTCTCACTGGTTGCGGTTTCAGCACGTGCAGCCACACCTCATCCTCGCTGTTCCCGCTGCTACCGCTACTGCCTCTGTTGCTAGCAGACATGCCTTGAGAGCAAATACGCCTCTAGTTGAGGGTGAATGAAGCACACTCATGCGACCAGCAAATGAGACTCACAGGTTGTGGTTTCAGCGCCTGCACCCACACTTCATCCTCGCTCTTTGCACTGCTGCTACCGGTGGCGGCATCTGCAGAGGAGGAGGAGGAGCGCTGGTCCACTGCCGCTCCTGTGATGACCTTCACGCCTTCCACTCCTGCCTCAAGACTGCGGAGATAGCGACAGCATGGGGGGTTGGGAGGGTGGGGTGTGGTTTGAGAGAGAGGGCGAGCGAGGGGAATGGTTGAGAGAGAGCAATGCTGGCTCACTGCCGCTCCTGTGATGACCTTCACGCCTTCCACTCCTGCCTCAAGACTGCGGAGATAGCGACAGCAGAGGGAAGCGTTGCGTTAGGTGGAGAGACGCAAACACACAGACAGCTACACGAAACAAACGGTATGGGCTGAGAGGGAGAACCACCTAGAGAAGGACAGTTGAGGGCCAAAGACGGGTACGAGAATGGTGATGGAACAGGAAAGAACGAAAGAAAGAAACGAAGGGAATATTCCAAGGCTGTCTCTACTCTACTTCACTCCAGGTGCGGGCATTACCGGATTCGAGAGCCAACAGCGGAGCGAAGGGCGGCGATTCGGTTCTCATCCTCGCACGTCATGAGCAGCACTCCCTCCTGCGTGCATGGACAGATAGACGAGGAGTGGGTGGGACGGGTTTTGAGTTGTATAAGAATTGATGAGCAAGCGATTCGGTTCTCATCCTCGTATGTCATGAGCAGCACGCCCTCCTGCGTGAATAGAGGTGGGTGCATTGGACGGGTGGGTGGATAAGAGGGTGGATGGGAAGGGGATTTGAGGATTTTTTTCTGAACTGCTAACAGCACGAAGGTCCTTGCATGTCATGTCATGAGCAACACGGCCAAGTGGGTAAATCTTGGCATGCAGTTCCTGCAGCAGAAGCAGCTAATGTAGATAGTGCATATGGTGTATGTAGTGTATATACTATAGTGTACGTAGTGTAGACAGCGTATATAGCGTAGATAGGGTAGACAGCATATAGTGTGCAATCTCACCTGTCTGGCCCTGACGGCCAAGTGGGAGAGATGTGGCAGCTCCTGAAGCAGCACCACGGCCTTCAGGTTCGCTCCTGCTGCTTTAACCTGCTCGCATGAAAATAGGTGTGGTGAGTGACAGGCATCCATGGTGGAGGAGGGGATGTGTTTTGAGTAGGTACCGGAGGTTGGTAAGGGCCGTGGACGTCGGAGGCGGAAGGGGGAAGAGGGAGGTATTAGCATGCATGTGCATGTCAAGTGCATGCACGTGGGACAGAGGAAGGGAGTGTGTGAGCATGCATGTGCATGCATGTGGGACAGAGGAAGGGAGTGTGTGAGGAGGAGTGCCGACCAATTACTCCTCTCCTCTCAACCACCCATGCTTGTCTTCAAATACTGTATGCATGCCACACCAGCAGCACCCACCCATCACCATCTGCATGCTGCACGAGCAGCACAAAAGACATCTGCTGCTCTTAAAGAAAAGTAAGTTCAGATGAGTACCTAACCACAACCGCTCGGCGCTCACCCCATCAAGACCCAGCCCCACCCAACTCCCTCCCAAATACCCACCTCCGCATCCCCCCCCTCTGCGTGCACCAGCAGCAGCACCCTTCTCCCCACCCAGCCACTCACCCACCTTCCAACCACACACCACCCCTTTTGAGGCGCCTCAAAAGTCCTCAAAAGTCGTCTTTTGAGGCGCCTCAAAAACAGCAGCACCCTTCTCCCCACCCAGCCACTCACCCACCATCCAACCACACACCACCCCCCACCCGCTCACCTCCTCGTCTCCCTCCGCACGCTGCACCAGCAGCACCACTCCCTGCTCCCCACCCGTTCACTCTTCCCTCCCAACCACTCACCATTCCCCTCAACCCCAAACCCCCCACCCGCTCACCTCCTCGTCTCCCTCTGCACGCTGCACCAGCAGCACCACTCCCTGCTCCCCACCCGTTCACTCTTCCCTCCCAACCACTCACCATTCCCCTCAACCCCAAACCCCCCACCCGCTCACCTCCTCGTCTCCCTCTGCACGCTGCACCAGCAGCACCACCCCCTGCTCGCCCTTCAGTGTTGCGAGGAGGTCAGGGTCAATGCGCTCCACCTGAGGCAGAGGGAAGGAGTGGAACAGGGAGAAACAGGGACTTTTTTTGTTTACTCGACTGAAGCACCACCAGCAGCACCACCCCCTGCTCGCCCTTGAGCGTTGCGAGGAGATCGGGGTCAATGCGCTCCACCTGGGGCAGAGACAAGGGGGGAATGAGAGAGCGATGAGGGGATTCAGCGAAAGCACCACCAGCAGCACCACCCCCTGCTCGCCCTTTAGCGTTGCAAGGAGGTCAGGGTCAATGCGCTCCACCTGAGGCAGAGATGAGGGGGGAATGAGAACAAATGAAGGGACCACTGAGTCGACTAGTTGCCACCCCTCACCTTACCTCGCCCTCCCTCACCTCGACACAAGCACATCTCCAGCCTCTCAGCTTTCATGTGCCTTATGCAAGCTGCCTTCTCCTGCCTTCCCCTCCCTCACCCTCCCCCACCCTCCCTCACCCTCCCTCACCCTCCCTCACCCTCCCCCACCCACTCTCACCTCCACGAGCTTGCCCACAGCAGTACCAGGAACAAGCACGTCCATTACATAAGTAGAGCGCCCAGCTCATCCCCCCTACCCCCCTTCAACCCGCCTCACCCAATCTCACTCCTCTGCGTCCCAGCCCTCAGCAGCGATGCGCTCTAAATCCCCAACCCTCGCGCCCCCCACCTTCACCCACTCTCACCTCGACCAGCTTGCCCACAGCAGTGCCGGGAACAAGCACGTCCCACCCCTCTGCTCCCAGCACCGACCGCATCACACGTAGCAGCAGCGAGGTGAGCTTCGCCAGCTGAAACACCACACTGGTGAGGGGAGGAGGGGGACGGGAGGGGAGGCAGGGAGGGAGTGGGGGTTTGAGGCAACACCAGACACATCACCCTCAGCTCCCAGCACCAATAGAGGTGATTTTCGCCAGACACATCACACTGGTGGAGGGAGGACGGGGGGGAGGGGAGGGGGGAGGGCAGGAGGGCGAGCAATTTGAGGCACCTCACAAGGCTTGTAATGCAAGCAGCAAACAACCAATCACATCAGCAAGAAACACGATGCTATTTTTCACTGTGATCATATCTCACCTGAATCATATCTCACCTGGATCATATCTCACCACGATCAAATCTCACCTGGATCGGATCTCCGCCTCTGCAAACGTCCTCACGGCGTTCTCCTCGATTCCCAGTGCGTGGCCCAGCTTCTGCCACGTGGAATAGTTGAAAAGGTTGGGGAAGGGAGGAGTGGAAGGGGAGAGCATGCCATGTAGTAACACGTGGTGGTGGCATGTGCTACCATGTGCTACCATGTGCTACCATCCATGTGCTACCATCCATGTGCTACCATCCATGTGCTACCATCCATGTGCTACCATCCATGTGCTACCATCCATGTGCTACCATCCATGTGCTACCATCCATGTGCTACCATCCATGTGCTACCATCCATGTGCTACCATCCATGTGCTACCATTTGGTGCCATGTGGGGAAGAATTTGAAGGGGAAAAGGCCTCTGTGAGTGCTGTTTGTACTCACAGTAAATGCAACACGAATTGCACCTGTGATGGCTCAAAGAAGAGCTCGAGCGTGATCTCAGTAAATGCCTCTGTGAGTGCTGCTTGCAGTCAGTGTCACTGCAGCACAGTGCACAATGCACGCTGCTGTTAGGTTAGCACAGTCCCACACACGCACGCACCTGCGAGGGCTCGAAGAAGAGCTCGAGCGTAGTCTCAGTAAATGCCTCTGTGAGTCGCCTCATGCGGCCCAGAGCCACCCTGACCCAGTGGCAGTGCAGGACACTGTATCACTGCACACGGCTGTTCGTGCAACCCCTCACACGCACCTGCGAGGGCTCAAAGAAGAGCTCGAGCGTGGTCTCCGTGAATGCCTCTGTGAGTGCTGCTGTTTGCACTTGGAGTCACCTCGACCCATCGCTGCACACCGCACACTGCCTGCCTGCACACTGACTAGCAACCACACACACGCACCTGAGAGGGCTCGAAGAAGAGCTCGAGCGTGGTCTCTGTGAATGCCTCTGTGAGTCGCCTCATGCGGTCCAGAGACGCCTTGAGCCTCAGCGCCCACCACCGCAGGTCGTGCTCCGATGCCACACCTGGCAGGCATTGAGTGAAGGGGAGGGAGGGATCAATGAACGAGAGTGTGGAAAGGGGTGCGTGTGAGTGCGTGCATGTCTGTGAACGCCTCTGTGAGTCGCCTCATGCGATCCAGAGAGGCCTTGAGCCTAAGCGCCCACCACCGCAGGTCATGCTCTGATGCCACACCTGGTAGCACGACAGGGGGAGAGGGGGAAATAGAAGCGGGATGGGGGGGAGGGAGGAGCATGCATAACAGCATGGCAATGTGTGTGGGTGTGCACTCTCCCCATCAAGCATTCACCCAACCCCTCCCCCATAATTTGGGGCTAATGGTTCAGAACCCGGACTCACTGTGCTGCCACCGATCCCAGCAGCCTGCCAGGAAGCAAGCTCGTTCTCAAGGCAGAAGCACTCCGCCTGGTTCCACCCGGACAGCCCCAGGTGCGTCGCCCTTTTCCCTTTCAGGTCAAGGTGGTGAAGTTCGTCTCACCTGCACTGCCGATGCCAGCGGCCTGCCAGGACGCCAGCTCGTTCTCAAGGCAGAAGCACTCCGCCTGGTTCCACCCTGACAGACCCAGGTGCCTCAGCCCTCCTCACAACACTTTCGTATAAAGGCGTCAGGAGTTCCAATCCAGCTCTCTCACCTGCGCTGCCGATGCCAGCAGCCTGCCAGGACGCGAGCTCGTTCTCAAGGCAGAAGCACTCCGCCTGGTTCCACCCTTACAGACAGCCCCAGGTGCCTCAGCCCCAGCCCTCCTCTGAACCATTTCATATACAGGCGTCAGGGCATTCATTCCTGCTCTCACCTGCACTGCCAATACCAGCAGCCTGCCAGGAGGCGAGCTCGTTCTCAAGGCAGAAGCACTCCGCCTGGTTCCACCCCTACAGCCCCAGGTGCCTCAGCCCTCCACTCCTCCCTTCTAACTAAGGTGTGAGGTTGACAGTACCAGCATCAGGAGTATCCAATTCGTCTCACCTGCGCTGCCGATGCCAGCAGCCTGCCAGGACGCGAGCTCGTTCTCAAGGCAAAAGCACTCCGCCTGGTTCCACCCCGACAGCCCCAGGTGCCTCAGCCCCAGGACGGCCGCCCCCAGCGCCACCCCCACGTGCCCCAGCTGCCCCATGCGGATCTCCCCCGCCATGCCCTCCGCTGCCCTGTCTCCCCCCTCCTCATCGAAGAGCTCATTCAAGAACCTGGGAGGAGAGGGGAGCGGGAGGTGGGGGAGACAGATGGCGGAGGAACGGGGAGAAGAGGAAAAGGAGAGGAGAGAGTGAGTGAGGGGAGAGAGGGAGAGTGGTGAAAAGAGCATTGAACCGCCTCCTCAGGTGCCACAGCCCCTGCCTGCCTACACTACCGCCCCAAGCTCCAAGCCACCCCCACGTGCCCCAGCTGCCCCATGCGGATCTCCCCTGCCATGCCCTCCGCTGAACTGTCTCCCCCCTCCTCGTCAAACAGCTCGTTTAGGAACCTGGGAGGAGCAATGGATGACGGGGTGAGGGGCGTCGGGAGGCGGGAGAGGCGGGGGAGGGGGGCGTGGGGAGGCGGGGGGGGGAGGCGTGGGGAGGCGGGGGAGGGGGGCGTGGGGAGGCGGGGGAGGGGGGCGTGGGGAGGCGGGGGAGGGGGGCGTGGGGAGGCGGGGGAGGGGGAACGCCTTTCTCATCCTCTCCTCATCAAACAGCTCGTTCAGGGGTCTAGGAACAGCCGGGCAGGAAGTCCTTTTGAAGCAGATTCTTTGAAGCACATCAGAAACAGAACTATCTCCCCTCGCCCTTCATTGAACAGTTGCTTCAGAAAGATGCGAGGAGGAATGGGGCAGCATACTTAACTGCTTGAACAAACACGTGCTCACGCGCTACTGCTCACCTGCTCACGCGCTACTGCTCACCTGCTCACGCGCTACTGCTCACCTGCTCACGCGCTACTGCTCACCTGCTCACGCGCTACTGCTCACCTGCTGAGCAGAACAAAGAAGTACTCCTCGAGACAGATCTCCGCCAGTCGCCACTGGGGAAACGAGAAAGGGATGGGGTAGGGAGGAGGAGGATAGAATCAGAGCTTGGCCCACCCTCCATTCCCCTCATCCCCCACCAGCGGTGGCCCACCCTCCATTCCCCCCTACTGCCATTTTCCACTGATCACTAATCCACCTCCCTTCTCACCTTCTGCCGCATGGCAATGGCATCACCAGAAGCAGCGTTCCTGAGCTCACCGTCCAACCCACCTACGTCCGTATTCCCCCAACTGTGATCCCCCCAACTGTGATCCCCCCAACTGTGATCCCCCCAACTGTGACCCCCCCAACTGTGATCCCCCACCTTCCCCTCGACTTCCACTGACATCGTGAAAGAAGTAGGTTCTTGAAGCGTCTCAAAAACCTTCCTCTCACCTTCCACTGACATCGACCCCACCTTCCTCTCACCTTCCACTGACATCGACCCCACCTTCCTCTCACCTTCCACTGACATCGACCCCACCTTCCTCTCACCTTCCACTGACATCGACCCCACCTTCCTCTCACCTTCCACTGACATCGACCCCACCTTCCTCTCACCTTCCACTGACATCGACCCCACCTTCCTCTCACCTTCCACTGACATCGACCCCCCACCCTCCACCTACGTCACCGTTCCCCCCAACTATCATCTCCCTGATCCTCCACCTTCCCCTCACCTTCTGCCGCATGGCAGTGGCATCATCAGGAGCGTCGTTCCTGAGCCCACTCTCCAGAGAATATACAGCAGCATGACCCACCACCCATCCCACTCCTGCGTGCCAGAGCCCATTCTTATCCCTCAGCTTCACCCAACCTCTTCCTCACTTCACCCAATCCCGTCCTCACCTTCTGCCGCATGGCAATGGCATCATCAGGAGCATCGTTCCTGAGCCCACTCTCCAGGGAATACATCAGCGCGGCACGGTCCACCCCCATCCACCACCTACACCACTATTCCCTCCCCCCTGCGCACTGTCATCTCCCTGATCCTCCACCTTCCCCTCACCTTCTGGCGCATGGCAATGGCATCATCCGGGGCATCGTTCCTCAGCCCACTCTCCAGGGAATACATCAGCACAGCCCGCAGCCCCGTCAGCGCATGCAGCGCTGACATCAGCACGTCAGTCGGCCGCCCGGACGCTGCTGCCCCCTGTGATGACTCGCCTGATGCCCCTGCCGAAGACGGCAGCGCATCGACGTTCTGGGAAGAGAGGGGCGGGGGGCGGGGGGCGAGGGAAAGGGGGGGGAGGGGGGGGGGGTGCGCAATGCAGGGGTGCGAAGAAGAATATGGGGGGTTATTGTAACGTCCCAAACCTGCTGATCCGCACCCCCACCTGATTGCCCGATAGGAAAGTCACCTCATCAATTCTCATCGCACCTCATCAATTCTCATCGCACCTCATCAATCCTCACCGCACCTCATCAATCCTCACCGCACCTCATCAATCCTCACCGCACCTCATCAATCCTCACCGCACCTCATCAATCCTCAACCCACCTGCTGAATCCTCACCCCACCTGCTGAATCCTCACCCCACCTGCTGAATCCTCACCCCTTACCTGCTTGCACGGGAGGAAGTTCTGCAGCATGGCAGCGCCCGTGTCATCCAGATAGGGGCGAGTCTTGACAAGTCTCACCCACTCCTGCTAAATTTTCAATCCCACCTGTCGATTTTCTCACCCGCACCTGCTACCTGCCCAATCCTCATTCCTTCCACCTGCCCAATCCTCACTCCACCTGGTGGATCCTCACCCCGTACCTGCTTGCAAGCAAGGAAGTTCTGCAGCATGGCAGCGCCAGTGTCGTCCAGGGAGGGGCGGATGCTCTCCAGGAGCTCCGTCAGACTGGCGGGGGGAGGGAGGAGTGGGTTATAGGGTAGCGCAGGTGTGTGGGGGATGTGGAGACGTAATAAGGGAGTATTAAAATGCAATTGCCACCCTCCAGCATCGCAGAGAAGGGCGAATGCTCTCCAGAAGCTCCGTCAGGCTGGCAGGGAGAGAGGGAAGGGAGGAGTAGGGTTGTGCAGGTGTGTGGGGGGGTGTACAGGCATGGGGTTGCCATTTCAGTAAACCCAAAAGTGCTCTCCCAAAGCTCCCACTCGCTCGCGTTGAAAGAGTCTTTGAGCTCAGCGTAGAACAGCTTGAGCTGCTGCACGAATGCCTCGCTGCACTCCCCCGGAGTACAAGTCACCCGGCGCAGCAGCAGCTCCGTGACCACTAGATCCTCCTCTCTCTCTCTAGCCCACTCACCTGCTCGCATTCTGATGGGCTCTCACCTGCTACTCTACCTACTCCCTCCCGCTTCGACACTCACCTGCTCGCGTTAAGAAAGTCTTTGAGCTCAGCGTAGAACAGCTTCAGCTGCTGCACGAACGCCTCACTGTACTTTCTACAGACTCTCTCTCCCCCTTTCTCCCTCACACACACCTGCATCATAGACCTACCTGCTCGCCCTGCATCATAGACCTACCTGCTCGCATTAAAGAAGTCTTTAAGCTCGGCGTAGAACAGCTTCAGCTGCTGCACGAACGCCTCACTGTACTCCCCCGGGGTGCGTGTCACCCGGCGCAGCAGCAGCTCCGTGGCCACTAGATCCTCGGGCCCGGCGTTGCGGTGCAGCTTGTTCTGAATCGTGTGCTTGATCTCTTGCTGTTGAGGGAGGTAGGTGGAGGGGTGGGAGTTGGGGGTTTGGGTGGGGTTGAGAGTTGAGGGGTGGGGGAAAGGGGAGGGCAACAGAGAGGGGAGACCCGGCGCAGCAGCAGCAGCAGCTCCGTGGCCACCAGGTCCTCTGGGCCGGCGTTGCGGTGCAGCTTGTTCTGAATCGTGTGCTTGATCTCTTGCTGTAGGGGTATGGGGTGGAAGGGAGAAGAGGGTGTTGTGTTGCGGTCTGAATCACGTGCTTGATATTTTGCTGTTAGGAATGAGAGGGAGCGGAAGAAACGGGCAGGGAAAGCGGGGGAGAGAAGAGACGGATAGAGGTTGTTGCGTTGCATTACGTGACAGCCAGTTTGGGCCTGCTCTGTGTGCACGGCACTGCAACTTGGGACGACCTCTTACAGAACCGCACTGCACCACACACCATGAGTCGGAGCTGTGCCTGTTTTAGCAGCATACCTTGAGATCGTGTGGGATGTCATTGCGGTGGGCAATGTCGCGGATACGAGTGAGGGGCACTGACGCCGTGAAGTCAGCAGAGAAGGCGGGCAGGCGCGGATGGATCTTGCGCATCACCACCTTCTCCTGAGGGAGGGAAGGGGGGGAGGGGGGTGGCAGGACAGGAGGACGGGGAGAGACAGCAACATGAGAAGGCGGGCAGGCGCATATGGATCTTGCGCATTACCACCTTCTCCTGAAGAGGGGGGAGGAGGAGGAGGGGGGGGTGGGCACATCAAGATGGGAGGGATGCGAGTGAGGGGCACTGACGCCGTGAAGTCAGCAGAGAAGGCGGGCAGGCGCGGATGGATCTTGCGCATCACCACCTTCTCCTGGGGGAGGGAAGGGGGGGAGGGGGGTGGCAGGACAGGCGGACGGGGAGAGACAGCAACATGAGAAGGCGGGCAGGCGCATATGGATCTTGCGCATCATCACCTTCTCCTGGGGGTAGGGAAGGGGTGGGGGGGGGGGGGAAGACCGGGGCGGGCACATCAATGTGGGAAGGCGGGCAGACGTTTCAAAACTGCTTCCATCGTCCTGGTGCCCTCCTTCTCCAGCCAACGGAAGATGCGGCGGGAGGAGGATCAGGATGGCGAGAGTGAGGGGTTCCGATCCGAATACAGCACACAGCAACACACAACTAACAACACGCACCTCGGAGGTGAGTGCAGAGCCCCTGGTGCCCTCCTTCTCCAGCCAGCGGAAGTTGCGACGGGGGGAGGAACAGAACGGTAAGCACTAGCGCTATAAATACAGCACACGGCATGCAGCACGCACCTCAGACGTGAGCGCAGAGCCCCGGGTGCCCTCCTTCTCGAGCCAGCGGAAGATGCGGCGGGAGATCTCCGCGTGGCGATTGGGCCGCCTGTGCCCGCCGTCCTCCACGCACGCGATCTGCCCCGTGTTGATCCACTGCGGTGTAAAGATGTGGGGAACGGTACAGAGCATAAGGAACGAGTGTTAGGGTTCGGCGGGTTTGGTGGCCTGTGGTTTCTGGCAGCCTGTGCTCACTGTGCTCCACGCACAGGATCTGCCCCATGTTGATCCACTGCGGTGGGCGCGGAAGGGGGACGCGGGGTCGGTGATGTGGACGACAAAAAAGGGTGGTGATAGAAGGCGAGGGGGAAGGCAGGGGCGCATGTAGTATGAATAAAGGAAATTGAAACTGAGCATAGGTCCCGAAATAAAGGAAATTGAAATGGACGGCGTGAATCAAGGCATACCTGCAGGTAGATGGACGCGTTGATCATGGCATCGAGGCGCTGGCCCCGCTCTGACGGCAATAGGAGATTCTCCACTACCTCCAGCTGTATGATGGCAAATGGGGTTTGGAGTGATTAAGAGGGGTTTGTGAAGGTTTGAGGTGAGGCGGCGGCAGAGTTTCTTGGCACGATTTTTGCGTAGGAACGCAAGTCATTCAGCCAGCAATAAAGCTGATCTATAACGACATGCTAACCGAAATTTCCGGGTACGAACAGTCGTCATTATTGTTGCCCCCCGTGGCATACATTAAGTAATACTCCTAGGGCTATTCATACTGTCCATGTTCCTCGTGCTGTCAATGTCCTTCGTATCCTCAATGCCGTTCGTACCGTCGGTGTCGTACTGGCATCTTCGATCGTTCCACCGATTTCTATCGTATCGTTGGCGCAAATCGTAACGTGTGCGTCAATCTTACCGTCAGAGCCAATCGTAGCACCAACCGTGCCGTCATGGTCAACCGTTCCGTCAATGTCAATCCCACCGGCATGTCAACGTTCGTTCTGTCCGTATGGTCTACCGTACCGTCGAGGTAAATCGTACCATCAATGTCAAACGCACCGTCCGTATTAATCAGAGGATTCGTACCTTGCGCCACCAGTTCCCCGCGCTCTTATCAGCCTCGACCAGCGTCTTAGCCGGCCCGTCGAGCCCGCTCGTGTCCCAACGTCCGCGCCTCTCACTCTTGTGCGCGTTGCTCCGCATAAACTCCACACCCCTTCCCGCCCAATTCTGCGCAAACGCGCTTTTCTCCAATTCCCCGTCTTCCGCGGATGAGAAATCCCCCTCGCTCTCAGTCCCGTAGTCGCCGCCGACTGGAGCATCGTTAGAAGATCCTGCTCTATCCTCCTTAGAAACCTCCCACGACAGGGTTGCAGCGGTTTTGTTCCATTCGACATCGGTGTTGAATTCTTTGCCGCGGGGTTCAACCCCCGGAACAGTCACCTTCCTGTTAGGGCCGTCCTCCCAGACCGAGCTCTTCCCGTCCTTTACAATCACAAATTTGAACTCCACGTCTTGACCTGCAGGCGCGTCAAGGGTAATGCTCCAGCCGGCTTCGCTCCATTGAAGAGCCTTCGGATCGGACCAGGACCCGAGCCAATCAGCAGATCCGACAACCGCAATGCTCTCCCCGAATTTTACCTGAATCGGGAGATTGAAACGCACTTTCACCTTACTTCCTGCAGAAACAGCTGCAGTCACTCTCAGTGCAGTGACTCTAACGGAAGAACTCTGAAATGGTTTATCCGTTACGCAGCGAGAGCCAAATTGAGCCCTAAGAGCATTGGGAAGCTGACTGGACAGTCCGAGAACGGAGAGCTTGGAGGAATTCCTGCTGGATCGCAGGCCCTGCAATGCAACTGGTTGCGCTGAGGAGCTGCTCAATGTGCCTCGCAGACACTCCATTGTCTCCACGTGCTAGCCTCACTAAGTGTCCGCCCAATGAAGCGTACAACCTCAGCGGCTAACTTCGGAGGTTCAAGCCCTAACGTCCAGGCAACCCCCTGAGAGAGCTCAGGAATAAGAAGCTTAGGCCGGTCTGCTTTTTTGATAAAGAAACAGATCAAGCAGAAGCTTGTACTGTTCTAGCTGCTCTGCTGCTGTGATTCCTGCAATCCCTCTAATGTCTGTGTTTCCCTCTGATATTGTTGCAATTTCAGAAGATAGATCAGCAATACGGAATGGATTTTCCTAGGGTGTGGGTCAGCCAACCAACCAGACTAGGGCACGAACCGGACATCGGGGAATACCGAAAGAAGTTTGGAGCCCCTTTTAGCCGGAAAAATGGTCAAGTGCATACTCTACTGAATATCAAGGCCGTCTGATTGGTCCAATGATGTTACAGGGGAGCTGGGAAGTGAAAGCGGGAAGATCTTTTCCGCCACGTCGATGACTCCCACAATTTGGGGGATCAGCGACCGGCTGACTCGGCAGCCTCAAAGCCACTCACTTCACTTCCTCCAAACTTCGCTGTAGGGACACTCGTTAATCGCAAGTGTTCAATTGTCTTCCGCAGCTACTCGAGATTGACATCTCCAATATATTATACACGTCGTTGTTTCGCGAACCTTCCCAAACCTATTCGTCATTGGTGCGCGTAGAAACAAGGCAGAGGCGCGAAACTCTGACAGCCGAGGCAACTGCCGTTGACGTGTGGGAAACGCTTCAATTCCCGTCAGTCAACGTCTGGTCCGTCTTTCGGCAAAATCAATGGCGGACCCCTCCCTGCATCAGATGTATTTTCATAACTGATCAGGTTCCTTGCTTAGTTCAAGACACCTCCGATAGGAGCCTCGTTATTGATAGGCCTTTCGAGTTCTCCTTAGCCAGTCGAACATCTGTATACGAAGCCATCTGTTCGTTTCTTTTAGCAGAAGCTAATCTGGAACTCGCTTTCCATTTTCTTTTCCATCAACTCGCTTCTGATATTCGACTAGCTTTAGTGCGTCGGGAGCAAAGCGATTGAAGACAAAAAGTAACAGAAGATTTTATATCTCAGCCATGATCATCGAGGAGCTTCCGAGTGGCCCGCAGGCGGCGGCGGAACTTGCGGCGAAAGGCGACGCGCAGTTTGTGGACGAGGATTACGACGCGGCCGTGGATCTCTACACGCAGGCGATCAGCGCGAATGGCGCGACTGAGACTCTTCTGTGTAAACGCGCAGCCGCGCACATTAAGCTCGAGAATTTCACAGGTGTTTCTCGCGTCCATCAATGTTTCCTCTCTAAATCAATGTGTGCGCCGTACTTGCACTTTTCTTGTAACAGTTTCGTCGCGACGGCTGAATTCAGCAACGGCTGCTTGGCGCTGCCGAAGTCCTTCGCGATCGCTCTTGTAGTTGTGCTGGCGGAGTGGCGATGTGAAGAGAAGATAGGTTGAATTCGGTTTTGACGAAACCTCGCTTGATAAGAACTACTATTGCTTCGTTTTATGTTCTTCCGCATGCGGTGGCGGATGCAAGCTTTGCGTAGGAATTTGAGTCGTTAACAAAATCGGATGTTTCGTTTTATGTTCTGGCAGATGCGGTGGCAGATGCAAATGCGGCGATCAAGCTGAACCCGTCTTATGCGCTGGCCTACCTGCGTAAAGGGTGCGTGGTTACAGATCCTTTTTGTTGACCTCTCAATCTTATCCTTCTTTCCCCGCCACTCGTTAACTTTCCGTCGCTTCTGAACGTTGTTTATGCATCCGTATCCAGGTTATTTGTTGCTCGTGTGGGATTACCCCTGTGTCAGTGTGTGCACTTTTTGTGATTCCTCGTTTTTGTGAACTTCCTGCCCCTTCTTTTTTTCTTCCTTCTCAGAGTCGCCTGTCACCACCTAGAGGAGTATGAAACAGCACTAGCAGCGTTCAAGGCGGTAGCCAAGCTGGAGCGAAACAATGACTCTGTTAACTTCAACTCTCTGCCCTTACTCTGTTTCCTTCCCCAGAATCGCCTGTCACCACCTAGAAGAGTACGAGACGGCACTGGCAGCGTTCAAGGCGGGAGCCAAGCTGGAGTCTAACAATAAGTCTGCTAACGTTGATAACTCGCTCCCTTTCCCCTCTCTTCCTTCTCAGCGTCGCCTGTCACCACCTAGAGGAGTATGAGACGGCACTAGCAGCGTTCAAGGCAGGAGCCAAGCTGGAGCCCAGCAATGCCAAGTTCAAGAACGGCATTCGCAAGGCAGAGGCGGAGCTGCAGAGCCAAGGTGGGTGAGAGGGGGGTACTTAGTGGTTGATATGACACCCTCTCGGCAAGCAGAGGGAGAACCCAAAGAGCCAAGCTGGAGCCCAAAAACGCCAAGGTGGGTGAGCCGTGAGGGGGGGACCAGTGGTTGATGTAACACACCCTTCACAAGCAGCGGGGGAGAACTTAGAGGCAGAACCGTGAGGGCCTAAGCCAAGCTGCCGCCGCTTTAAGGTCGACCAAGAATTCGATGGTTATTTCCGCTATTGTGTTTCTGAACTCTCGTTTCCTGGGTTTCCCCCCACACTCTTTCTGTTCCCTACTCACTAACGCAGAAGAGGACACGACAGTTGACGCCCCTGCCCCTTCTGCTCCATCCGCGTCAGAAGCTCCTGCCAGCGCCCCCATTGCCTCTCCTGCGCCTGCCCCCTCTGCTCCTGTCGCTACACCAGCAGCAGCAGCAGCAGCACCGGCGCCAGCACCAGCACCAGCACCAGCACCTCCGAAATACAGGTGAGAATTGGTATCAAGTCGTGTAGTAGATAACTATGAAACTGCTATTTGAGGTCCGAAATTGCTTTTCAGTCGACTCAAAAGTCACCTCGCTTAGTAGGTAACTGTGGAAACTGGCTATTTGAGGTCCAAATCTAGCCCAGCACCATTTCTCATTTCCATCCTGCCCTCCTCTCTTCCCTCCTCATTATCCTTCCCATTGTCCTTCTCTTTGTCTTCCTCTCTCTTCTCTCTGTCCTCCTTTTTGTTCTCTCTGTTCTCCTCTCTGTTCTCTCTGTTCTCCTCTCCATTCCGTTCTCGTTCTCAGGCACGAGTTCTATCAGTCGGCCACAACAGTGGTGGTGACAGTGTTTGCAAAGGGCATTTCATCGGAGCAGCTGAAAGTGCAGATTGGAGAGCAAGTGGTGCGTATATATGTTCCTTGAAAAGCATTAGTTTCCTCCCTCAATTAGGCGGTTTCTCATCTTCAAGGTAAGGTTTTCCCACAGAAAAGGTGGTTTTTTCTGTTTCACGCTTCCCTCCCAAGCACGTGTATTAAACACGTCTCTTATGTGTGAAACTCCCTCTCTTCCATGTGTGAAACACGATCCTTGTGTTGTTGTTCCTCTCTCCGCTCCACTGTATGTGCCCATTTGTTTGCTATCCGCGCAGCTGAGTGTTGTGATCGAGTCGACCAATGACGAGGCGCCATATGTCCTGCAGCTGCGGCTGTTTGGAAAGGTGGGTGTTGTGTTGCGAGGGAGTGTGGGGGTTGGAAGGAGGTGGAGTTGGTTCCGAGTCGAGCCTAAAAAAAAACTGAGCCTAGGTTAGGGTGGGAGCTGGGCTCCTCTGAGCAGGATAGGGGAGGGAGAGGGGGAGGGGGAAGGGGAAAGGAGGGGGTAGGTAGGGAGGAAGGGGAAGAAAGGAGGGGAAAATAGCGAACGAAGCAGAAAGTTTGAAGTTGTTTCTCCGAGTTATTGCATATTAGAGCTGCACAACTGTAGAGCCACTGACAGTGCTCAGCACATGTAAGGCGCACAGGGCGCACAGGGCGCACAGGGAAGAAAGTGAAGGCAGAGGCCGTGAAGTCTAGTTTTGAGGCGCCTCAAAACTAAACTGCAGCCACTGACAGTGCTCAGCACATGTAGGGCGCTCAGGGCGCACAGGGCGCACAGGGCACTCAGGGCGCTCAGGGCACTCAGGGCACTCAGGGCACTCAGGGCGCTCAGGGTGCTCAGGGCAGGGCAGAAAGTGAAGCCAGAGGCTGTGAAAGGCATTCACGTATGAGGCACTCACTCAATGCCCTCCTTCCCTCGTTGCCTCCCCTTTCTCCCCTATCAGGTGGACCCGGCAAAGAGCAAGCACGTGCTGATGAGCACCAAGGTTGAGGTGCGGCTGGCCAAGGCGGAGGCAATTCACTCCTGAGGCACTTACTGCACTGTAACTCCCTCTCGTTCTCTCACCGCCACTCACTCGTCTCTCCCAACCCAACCACCCCTCTCTCTTCCCCTCTCTCAGGATTTAGGGTTTAGGGTTCTTCCCCTCTCTCAGGTGGACCCGGCAAAAAGCAAGCACGTGCTGATGAGCACCAAGGCGGAGGCAGAGGCTATTCACTTGTGAGCCACTCAGCACCCCTCTCCACTGCTTGTTTTGTCCCCGCAGGTGGACCCGGCAAAGAGCAAGCACGTGCTGATGAGCACCAAGATCGAGGTGCGACTGGCCAAGGCGGAGGCCATTCACCTTTGTGACTCTCAGTCCCTTCTTCCCCCTTCGGCCTTACTGCCCCTGCTGCCTCCGCTCCCCTCCCTTCAGGTGGACCCGTCAAAGAGCAAGCACGTGCTGATGAGCACCAAGATCGAGGTGCGCCTGGCCAAGGCGGAGGCAATTCACTGGACGGCTCTGGAGGCAACCAGACGACCGGCCGTGGTGCAGCCTGTGAACGTGTCCGATGGTGGGAGGGGTTATGGTAGCGGGTAGGGGTACAGGGAATAGGGACTGAACAAGGCAGAGGCCATTCACTCACAGGATGGCTGTAGAGGCAACCACACGTTTCTCTTCCTCTTCTCCCTCCCACTCCTCCTCCCCCTCGCTGACTTCCCTCTTTTCCCGTACAACTGCTGAGAAGCTGAAGCACATGTACTATGTCCTCTTCAGCTTCCCGTATAAACCTCTCTCCTCTTGGATTCCCCCTCCCCCTCCCCCTCCCCTTGCCCTTCCCTGTTTCCCGCTTTCTCCTGCTGCCCCCACCAGAAACTGCTGAGCAGCTGAAGCACGTTTATCCTTCGTCCGCTGTGCTGACCTGACTCTTGCTGCACAACCCCTCCCCTCTCCCCCCTTCCCCGTTTTCTCTTTGCTTCTCGTTTTCTCTTTTCTTCCCACCAGAAACCGCGGAGAAGCTGAAGCACATGTACCCTTCGTCCCGCAAGCAGCATGTGAACTGGGACCAGCTGGAGGCGGAAGTCAAGGCAGAGGTGAGCTGAGTCAACGCAGGTCAACGCAGGTCAACACAGGTCAACACAGGTCAATGTGGGTCATAGCAGGCAAGCAGCATGTCAATTGGGACCAGCTGGAAGCAGAGGTGAAGGCAGAGGTAAGCTGAGTCAATGCAGGTCGACGCAGGTCAACACAGGTCAACGTAGGCCAACAGCAGGCAATCAGCATGTGAACTGGGACCAGCTGGAGGTGGAAGTGAAGGCAAGGTAGGTCGAGTCAACACAAGTCAACCAAGGTCAACCCCATGTCAACCTAATTCAACTTGGGTCCACCCAGGGCAAGCAGCATGTGAACTGGGACCAGTTGGAGGTGGAGGTGAAGGCTGAGGTAAGCTGGTCAAGTCAACACAGGCAAGCCAACCCAGGTCAATCAGCATGAGAACTAGGACCAGCAGGAGGTGAAAATGAAGGCCAAAGTACTCTCTCTGAGTCAACATTTGGACAACCGCCAACGTCTGAATCACGGCGTAGGGGATTTCTTGCCGGCATTGGTTTACTTGCGAAACGCCTTTGCGGTGTCTCACGACTCGCTTTTTATACGTTCTAGAGATGTGGAGTGGGGATTTTGCACCAGCATTAGTTTACTCGTTGTTGTGTGCTCCTCTTCGGTTTGATTCCCCTTTCAGTCAACCAACAACAAAGTGTGAAGAGGAATTGAATACTATGCTGAAATCACTCTTGGAGCTGCTCCAACATAGTCAAACCGTCCCCTTTCCTCTTGCACTGTTCCTGTTATAAATCGCCAGGAGAAGGACAAGAAGCTGGAGGGGGGAGCAGCTCTCAACAAGCTTGCTAGCCAAGGTGTCATGAAGGGGAGCTGAATAAAGCAGCTGCTTTATTCCTATTCAACTTGTCCCCCTTTCCTCTCTGTACTTATCAACTGCCAGGAGAAGGATGAGAAGCTGGATGGGGACGCAGCTCTCAACAAGCTCTTTCAAGACATCTACGCGGGGGCAGACGAGGAGACCCGTCGCGCCATGAACAAGTCGTTTGTAAGTGCTCCCCGCCCTTGAAGCTCCTGCACTACCTCCCTCACGTCTCTTGCGTCTCTCAAGGGGCAGACGAGGAGACCCGTCGCGCCATGAACAAGTCGTTTGTGAGTGCCACTCCCCCTTGATTTCTCTACCATCTTCTCCCCCTCTTAGCTCCTTGTAAGACATCTATGCCGAGGTGATACAGGGGCAGACGAGGAGACCCGTCGCGCCATGAACAAGTCGTTTGTGAGTGCCTACGCGGGGCAGACGAGGAGACCCGCGCGCACCATGAACAAGTCGTTTGTGAGTGCCCCCCACCCGCCACTCCCCCTTCAGATCCCTTGCCCTCTGTCTCACACACTTCTTGATTCAATTATTTCGGTTATATTTCTGAGGTACACGCGATTCGCGTGAGTGTTTGTCTCATGTGATGGTTTTGGGCTTCTGAAATTCATGTCAGGGTACATTCCTGTCTTGACATTTGAGTCCCAATCCTTTTTTTACACTCAATCTGCATATACTGTATTCTGTCACAAACGCGCGTCGCCCTACTGAGATTTTAGGTGTATTTTACATTGGTTAGCGTGGAACGCGCTAAAGTCGCGGACGAGTTGCACGATGCCTTGTCACTTTCAACACTTCGCACGCGTGTCGAAATGTCACGGTCTCACCCGACCCGGCCACATGCACCTGAACACCCCACAAAGTGCAAGCTATGCGCGGGAAAAACTGGTGTGTCTCCCTGCCCGGCGCTTGAACAAACTGGTGTACTGCCATTTGTGTCACCCACTGAGACGCGCACAACTGTACATGTCGCCAGGTCGCCCAGTGTCACATTTTGAGACGCGAGGTTGACTAAATGTTTAGACGCGACTCGAAAATACGGCATTGAGACACTTGTGTCAAGACAGGAATGTACCCTCAGTACAGTAACCATCCAGCTATTTTCACTTTCTTCCTTTTCCACCCCCACCCCCTTCCCCTCCCCTCCCAACACCCCCACTTTTCCTTCCCTGATTGCAGGTGGAATCAAAAGGCACAGTGCTGTCAACAAACTGGAAGGAGGTTGGGTCTGGGAAGGTTGATGCCAAGGATTGAGTAGGCTTGGAGCACTGAGAAGATGTAGAGTACTGCATTTAGAAGCAGCTTGCAGTTTGGTTGCATGGTGTAGAGTGCCAAGGAGATTCACATCACAGCTTGATCATTCTGGTGAATAAATTGTCCTGGGCATTCTGGTTGCGTGTATCAGCACTCAGCCTTTACTGCGAAGTGGACGCTAGGGTACTGGATATTACCACCCCTCATCGCCTTCTGATCAACCAAGGTTGTTGCATGCAATGTCCCTGATCTTACAAAGCTGCAATGTGCACCAAATAGAGTTCCAGGTACACAAAACATTTTCCCAGCAGTCTTGTATTTTGTAGCAAGGTGATGATAGCGAGTATCAGCTCCTTCGGTCAATTTTCGAAAGCCAATCGAGTTTGTTGCATGAGGCCCCCATAAGGCACAACATGCGAAGGGTTACGACTCGACTCGATCGACAAGACGGGTTCTGCTGTGGCCAATCGTGGATAAGCCCAACTACCTGTGGGGCGCCAGCTAAGCATAATCAGCCCATCGGCGAAATCCGACCCCTTATCTTGTTGCCATGGGATACGCTCCTGCGGACACTTATGCGGGTTTGAAATCTTCCTGCTTGTCCAGGCAGGATGGAGCCGAATCGCGATGAGCGGAACGCTCAAGCGACATGCGCGGCGCGACTCATCCGCCCACAGCTCGCATGTGGAATCCTTGTGGAAATTGGTGCACGAGCACATACGGTATCAATCGCGCTCCCAGAGCTTTCCAGCTGCTTATCCTGCTGAGGGCAAGTATGCTGGAACTTCTCTCCCTGGTTCCCTCCCTCCCTCATCCCTCTCAGTCCCCAGCTGGTGGGACATCAACCGTCAGAACCACGACTGCAGCATTTGCGGTGACTTTTGAGTCGACGCAAAAGTGACATCAACCGTCAGAACCACGACTGCAGCATTTGCCCAATCTCCTCCTCCGCGCACGTTTCTCCTGTCTCAGTTCCTTCCCTTCCTTCCTCTCTCGCCCCTTCTTTGCTCTCTTTCCCCTGTCTCCACCTCCCTCACCCCTCGCAGTCCCCAGCTGGTGGGACATCAACCGTCAGTACCACGACTGCAGTGGCCGCCCTGTCTCCTCCTCCGTGTCTCTCAAAGGCGAGTCCTCATACCCGTTCGGCCGCCGCTCCTCCCGCCGCCCCTCTTCCGGCCGCCCAGTTTCCGGCCGCCCGTCTTCCGGCCGCCCGTCTTCAAGCCGCCCGGTTTCCCACGATCCTGCTGAAATTAGCAGTAGCAGCGGTGACAGGGGTGGCAACAGCAGCGGCACTACCAGCAGTGGTAACAACAGCAGCAACACAACCACCAACAGCAGCAGCACGAACACAACCACCAACAGCAGCAGCACGAACACGACCACCACCAGCAGCAGCAGTAACAGCAGCAGCAGCAGCAGCAGCAGCAGCACCAACACGACCAGCAGCAGCAGCAGTAACAGCAGCAACAGCAGCAGCAGCACCAGCAGCAGCGCTGACCCAACCAGCAGTAGCAGCACCAGCAAAGACAGCAGTGCCAACACAAGAAGCAGCAGCAGCAGCAGCAGCAACGCCAACATAGCCAGCAGCAGCAGCAGCAGCAGCATCAGCAGAAGCATCAAGCGCGGCACGCAGGGATTTCGGTGGATAGGCGAGAAAGGCCTTCTCCCAACGCTCTTTGGGTCCCTCGGATCAACGGCATCGGTGCATGCAGTCATCCGCGAGTCCATCTTGAGACGATACCTCCCGTTTGACACTAAGGGGGTCTACTTCGTGATCTCGTCTCCCCGCATGAAGCGAGTGAGTGGGTGTGGTAGGGAGCGCGGGTGCTGGTAGTTCACTCTTTGGTTCCCTGGGGTAGACAGACAGCATCGGTGCATGCAGTGATCCGCGAGTCCATCTTGAGGCGCTACCTGCCGTTTGACACCAAAGGGGTTTACTTCGTCATCTCCTCCCACCGCATGAAGAGGGTGAGTGCGCTCCATTAGAGTGAGTGTGGTGGGGCAAGGAGGGAGGGAGAGAGAAGGGTTTTCCTGCCATCGCTCTCGACAGGCAGCATCGGTGCGTGCATGCAGTGATCCGCGAGTCCATCTTGAGGCGATACCTGCCCTTCGATACCAAGGGGGTCTATTTTGTTATCTCTTCTCCGAGGATGAAACGAGTGAGTGGGCTTGAGTTGAGTGCGGTTGGGCAGGGGGCGGGGTGATAAGGGTTCTACTTGCGCAGAAGTCTTGGTTGGGTGGCTGGGGTTGCTCGGATCAATGGCATCAGTGCACGCAGTCATCCGCGAACCCGTCTGGAGACGTCACCTGCCGTTTCTTGCACCCCCTCTCCCCTCTTTTTCTCCTGACAGAAGAGGATGCTGAAGGGATTCTGCACGGCCTTCTGTGGCTGGCACTCGTACACGCTCTCGAACGCCCCCACCCCCTTTCCCCAACGCTCAACCCCCCCCTCCCCCTCACTCCTTTCCCCTTTCCTGTCCGCCCCACTCCACCATCATTCCCCTGACAGAAGACAATGCTGAAGGGATTCTGCACTGCCTTTGTGGCTGGCACTCATACATCCACTCATGCCCACTGTCAGAGTCAAACCGTCACACACATTCCAACCCTGCACTCCGTGTTTCCACCCCCTCCCTCCCTCCCGTTTCCCCTGACAGAAGATGATGCTGAAGGGATTCTGCACCGCCTTCTGTGGCTGGTAGGAAGCTGCACTCATACATCAACATGATTCTCCCCCACCCCCTTCCTCCAATGCTCAAACTCTTCCTCTTTTCCCGACTCCCCTTCCGACTCCCCTTCCCCCTCCCCCCTCATCCCCCTGACAGAAGATGATGCTGAAAGGATTCTGCACCGCCTTCTGTGGCTGGCACTCGTACATCAACATGATGGGGAAGAGGATCAAGACAAGCCTCGTGGGCAACCCTGCCGGCAGGGTAAGGCGGGGTTGAGTGCGGTTGAATGTGGTTGAGTGAGCCTGAGTGAGGCTGAATACGGTTGAGTGGTTTGTTTGGATTTCACTGCATGTGACCTTTGGTTTTCAGTGCTTTTGTGGCTGGCACTTATACATCAACATGATGGGGAAGAGGATCAAGACCAGCTTCGTGGGCAACCCTGCCGGCAGGGTAAGGCGGGGTTGAGTGCGGTTGAATGTGGTTGAGTGAGCCTGAGTGAGGCTGAATACGGTTGAGTGGTTTGTTTGGATTTCACTGCATTTGACCTTGGGTTTTCAGTGCTTTTGTGGCTGGCACTTATACATCAACATGATGGGGAAGAGGATCAAGACCAGCTTCGTGGGCAACCCTGCCGGAAGGGTAAGGCGTGGTTGAGTGCGGTTCACTGAGGATGAGTGAGGCTGAGTGCGGTTGAGTGTTTTTTATTTACTTTATTTCAATTTTAATTTCCACCTTCTCCTCTAGTCACACACACCTATACCATTCTCTTCCCTCCCCCGCCCCGTCTTGACAGTGCTTGCCCAACTGTGCATCATGGGAGTTAGCGTCCAGCCTAACCGCCCTTAACAGCGACAAGGGAATGGACGCACTCGTCTCCACCTTCGCCTCTCCTCACATCCACACCATCAGAGCTATACCCTCCCTCACCTCTCCCTTTCCACTCCCCCCTCTCCGCTCCCCCCTTGTCAGTGTCTGCCCAACTGTGCATCGTGGGAGTTAGCGTCCAGCCTAACCGCCCCCAACAGCGACAAGGGAATGGACGCCCTCGTCTCCACCTTCGCCCCTCGTCTCACCCATACCCCTTTCCACCTCTCTCCACCCCTGCCAGTGTCTGCCCAACTGTGCATCATGGGAGCTAGCGAGCAGCCTAGCGGCCCCCAACAGCGACAAGGGAATGGACGCACTCGTCTCCACCTTCGCCCACGAGCTCGCAGAGGCCACGAGCGACCCGTACCTCTCCACGTGGATGAATGAGAAGGGCGAGGAGAATGCCGATATGTGCTCCTACAGGTGTGTGGCTCAGTGGGTGTGGGATTCAGTGGGTGTGGGATTCAGTGGGTGTGGGATTCAGTGGGTGTGGGATTCAGTGGGTGTGGGGTGGTGTGGGGTTCAGTGGTGTGGGGTTCGGTGGGTGCATGGTTGAGTGAGCTCGCAGAGGTCACCAGCGACCCCTACCTCTCCACCTGGATGGACGAGCAGGGGGGCGAGAATGCCGGTGCCTGCTCTTACATGTGCGGTTTGTTGCGTTGTGGTGTGGTTTCCATCCCCCCACCCTTGCTCCCACCTTCTCCCCCCAACCCCACTTTCCCTTCCCCTCTTCTTGCCCTTCTCTAATTCGTTTTTTTTTTTTTTTTTTTTTTTTTTTTTTTTTTTTTTTTTTACAGGGAGCATTTCCTTATTATTGTTGAGAGTTGGTATTACGAGTCATCCCCATTAGCGCTCTTGAAATGTCCGTCCGCGCTGCCACAGCTGCCGTGCTGCATTTTTTTCAAACTCATCCTTCCTTTCCCCCACCTGCCCTGCCCCATACGGTACCTGCATTTTTGTTCATATGTGGTGTTCTGATATCTATCAGCTATGGAGATATTGGATGGACGTCTAGTGGAGCCCCGTACAACATGGAGGGTGTGGGAGGATCCAGGTTTCTTGTTCAGCAGAACTATCACCTTATTGAGCAACAATGTACCACATATGCTTAACGAACATGTGACCACTTGAGACAAGCGAAGCAGTTGTATCTTCATTGATGGGTCTTGCAGATGTACATCAAGATACAATACATGAGTAATGCTTTGCAGGAAAATGTACATATTTAATTCGTGGTACAGTAAAACACGATCTACCCTTTTCCCCCCTTCGATGCAAATTCAGGCTCAGTGCATCCCTGCCGTACACTGCCTCCATCCCTCGGCTCAGAGAGCTGTTCCCAGTTGCTTCTGGGCAGCAATTATCCGCTAGACGACGGATGGGGACTGCCAAAGTGCAGCCCTTGCCTGTCGCGACATGCGAAAATTGCGGTGGTTGGCTGGGATGAGATCAAGGAAATTGGGAAAAGTGTCAACGGGCTGACCGTAAAGACACAAACACACCACTGACCGAGAATCTGACATTGATCTGTTGGCGGACGAAGGGACACGAAACACATGTTGACACAATCCACGTGTTGTCCTTCAACACCGACCAGATTTAATGCTTTTAAAGTACCCACGCCTGAAGAAGTTCTGATCTGAACCCGCGCGATTTGTTAAATTCACTGTCAATTTCGCAAGTGACTTGCTTCTATGTTCCCACTGGTCGTGTTGTTGGATCAAGACCTCTCCATCGGACCCCGCCACTGCTGCATTCCGAACAAAAATGACGAAAATACTCAGGTTTTCCCAGTTTGGGTTTCTGGGTGTACAGACTCTTTATCCTCATAATGTATGCAATGGCCCCTCTTGTTCCACTCGTTGTTGTCGTGCTTGCATGCCCGCTCACGAAAATCCCAAGGCTCTCCTGCTTGCTCGGTGTTCCGTTTGCCACCTCACCTTTCATTTCACCAACTCCGTCAACCTGACTCGCAGTCACACCACTTCCCCCAGGACAGACTCCAGAAGATTCTTGGATCTACAGTTTGAGCCCTCCTGCTCTCCAGGCGACAACCTGTACGGTTTGTCCATGACTCCATGGAAGCGAATCTATTCTAGGGTTTTCATTCCCCAGCGAGCACCAGGCAGAGCACTTGCCACAGCTCTAGCGGTGTAACGAATCAGATTTCTCAGATTGTAGCTTCAAATCACCTCGTAAGAGTTTTTTTTTCTGCTCCGCAGTTATTATTTTCCCGTCAGTATCGCATCTAATAGAGCCGCCATGGATGTGCAACTGACCGAAGGTTCATCGGGGTTTCCGAGTAACGTTCCATCAGTAATGATGGCTCGCGGAGCCGGTGTCGGCGGTAGCGGCGGGACTCCCGCCGAAAGTAGTCAGGCAAAGCTCGAGCCTATCGAAGGAGGGGAATTACATGACTTGGATAATATAGGGATGGATGCTAATACGAGCTTTAGAAGAAATATGGGTATGGTAGCCTTGGGTGGCCATTCGTTACAAGCACTCGCCCCGCAAGGCGGTCCGGGTGGCGGAAGCATGGCGGCTCCGCACGGGCAGGGTCAGATGGACAAAGATTTTCTCTGCCCAATTTGTATGGAGCCGATGCGCGACGCGTTTCTAACGGCGTGCGGGCATAGTTTCTGCTACTCGTGCATCACCACGCACCTGCATCACAAGCGGAACTGCCCGTGCTGTTCGCAATTCCTCACTCTCGACCAGATATTCCCGAACTTCACGCTTAACAAGGTAAATTTATAGCCTAACGTTTAACTAAGCATTTCCTGAGCATCTCCAGTTGTAGTATTTTCCGCACCCTCGGAGCTCCTCATCCGTGTCTCCCGCTTCCCCCGTCCAGCTATGGAAGAAAGCCACCGTGACACAGTAGTCTCTTATCGAGACGTCCCTAAACTCGCCCCGTCTCCCCCGCCGTGTCCCCCACTCCGCTCCCTCTGCCTGTGCAGCTCCTGAAGAAAGCGACCGCGACGCAGATGGTCTCGACCGCGTCGCGGTCGCAGCACCTGCGGCTGGCGCTGCAGCACGGCGCGGACGTGAGCATGAGCGTGCGCGAGCTGGACGCGCTGCTTGCGCTGCTGGCGGAGAAGCGGCGCAAGGCGGAACAGGAGGAGGCGGAGATGAACATGGATATCCTCCTCGACTTTTTGCAACGGTCGCGGCAGAAGAAACAGGCGGAATTAGACGAGGTTCGTACTGTAGCGAGTCTTACCGAGTCTGTTTATAACGGAACAGGAGGAGGCGGAGATGAACATGGATACCCTGCTGGATTTCTTACAGCGCTCGCGGCAGAAGAAACATGCGGAACTGGACGAGGTTGGTACTGCGCCAAGTCTTACCGAGTCTGTCTATAGCGGAGCAAGTGCTATCGTACCCCCACTTCCCTGCCTTCCGCCATCTCCCTTCTCCCATTCTCCGGCGCTGTTCCCCGCGCAGGAGCTCCGCAGGCGCGCACAGCAGCACATGCGTGCAGTCCGCTCATCCTCTTTCCCCCTTGTCTCTCCCGCCGTCCGCGGTTCCCTCCCCATTTCCAGCTCCGCGCGGACCTTCTGTTCATCCGCGAGGACATAGCGGCGGTGGAGCAGCGGCGGCGCGCGCTGCAGCAGATGCGCGAGCAGTCCGCCGCCGCCATCCACGCGCTGCTCTTCCGCGGAGGCGCGTCTTCCGCGGGCGCGGGGGGGGACGAAACGGGGTTCGGATCCGGGGGACTGGCGGGGCTGAAGGCGGGCGTGGGGGGAGGGCTAGCGGGGAGCAAGCGGAGGGGGGGACCCGCACTCGCGCACCACCTGCAGCAGACCGCACAGAAGATGCGCATTCAGGGGGATGGCCGGGGGATAGGCGGAGGGGGAGTGGGGGCGGTGAAGGAGGAGGCGGAGGGGGAGGGGGGCGGGGAAGGCGGAGGGCTGGTCGCGTGTGGGCCGTCGGATATTGCCATGTCCGCATCAACGGTTGCCAAGAAGCGACGAGTTTTTTCCCATGTAGGTTGGGACAGGCCCGGTTGTTGTGCGTCTGCCGCTAGTCCACTTTGAAGCATTCCCTACCACCGCCGACCTACAGGAGTGCTACCTGCACCACCGCCGCCACGCAGCGCACTCCGCCTCTCGCTCAAAATCCTTCCTTCTCCTTTCCCCCCTCACCCCCCTTCCTCCCCTATCTCCCCGTTCGCCTCCAGTTCGACGACCTACAGGAGTGCTACCTGCACCACCGCCGCCACGCAGCGCACTCCTCGAAACCCGCGGGAGCAGCAGGAGGAGCATCCGCATCAGCAGCAGCAGAGGCGGAGAGGCGCGGCAACGGCTCAGCAGCAGCAGCAGCAGCAGCGGCAGAGGGCGGGGCGGTGGGGCAGGTGGATCTGGGCATGGGTCTGGAGGATTTCCGGCAGGTGCTGGCGGCGTTCACCTCCCTTGCTCACCTCCCTCCCATCGTGCCCTTCCTTCCCCCCCTTCCTCCCCTCCCCCGCACCCCTTTCACCCGTCGCCCTGTCTCCAGTTCGACGACCTTCAAGAGTGCTACCTGCACCACCGCCGCCAGGCCGCGCATGCTTCTCCCTCGCTCACCCTTCCGTACCCATCCCCACCGCTCCCCACCCCTCCTCACCTCCTTCTCCAGTTCGACGACCTGCAGGAGTGCTACCTGCACCACCGCCGCCAGGCAGCGCACTCCGCTCCCTCGCTCACCCTTCCGTACCCATCCCCACCGCTCCCCACCCCTCTCTCCGCTCTTCTCCAGTTCGACGACCTGCAGGAGTGCTACCTGCACCACCGCCGCCAGGCAGCCCATGCTGCCAAGCCCGCAGGAGCAGCACCGGCAGCAGCAGAGGCGGGCAGGCGCGGCGACACAGAGGGCGGGGCGGTGGGGCAGGTGGATCTGGGGATGGGTCTGGAGGATTTTCGGAACGTGCTGGCGGCGTTCACGCGGTTCAGCCGAGTGAAGGTGGTGGCGGAGTTGAGACAGGGCGACCTCTTCCACTCTTCAAATATCGTTTCCAGCATCGAGTTCGACCGCGACGACGAGTTCTTTGCGACCGCGGGCGTGTCCAGGCGAATCAAAGTGTTCAACTTCTCGCAGGTGGGTGGGTGGGCGGGGGTGGGTCGTTCGGCGTTCACGCGGTTCAGCCGAGTGAAGGTGGTGGCGGAGCTGAGGCAGGGGGACCTGTTCCACTCTTCGAATATCGTATCGAGCATTGAGTTTGACCGGGACGACGAGTTCTTTGCGACGGCCGGCGTGTCGAGGCGAATCAAGGTCTTCAACTTCTCCGAGGTGGGTCATGGGTGGCCTGTTTGCCCCAGGTCGATGGCTGTTCCCCCCAGGCTAGTAGCAGGTGCTGGCGGCGTTCACGCGCTTCAGCCGAGTGAAGATGGTGGCGGAGCTGAGGCAGGGCGACCTGTTTCACTCTTCTAACATTGTCTCGAGTATTGAGTTCGACCGCGATGATGAGTTCTTTGCGACCGCGGGCATGTCGAGATGAATTGAAGTCTTCAAGTTCTCCCAGGTGGGTGACCTTTTTCGCCACAAGATGGTGGAAGTGGTTAGTCCAGTTATTGTTTCTTCCCCCCATCTGGGAAGGGAGGGCCGTGGTTATCCCCCCATCTGGGAAGGGAGGGCCATGGTTATCCCCCCATCCGATCCCAGCTGATAATCTCTTTCTCTCGCTCCCCTCCCCTTTTTCACTCCCCCCATGTCCCCCTCCCCCATCAGGTGGTGGGCGAGCTAGCAGACGTGCACTGTCCTGTCGTTGAGATGCCAACGCGATCCAACCTGAGCTGCCTCTACTGGAACCCCTACCTCAAGGCGCGCATCGCCCCATTCCCATTGCCCCACTCACCTGTTTCTCTGTTTCAGGTGGTGGGCGAGTTGGCAGACGTGCACTGCCCGGTGGTTGAAATGCCAACGCGCTCCAAGCTGAGCTGCCTCTCCTGGAACCCCTACCTCAACGCGCACATCGCTCCACTGCCACTCCCTCCTTCTCTGTCTTCCCCCTCCCCCCTTCCCTTGCGTGCCCCTCTGTCTCTCCCCCTGACAGGTCGTGGGCGAGCTAGCGGACGTGCACTGCCCGGTGGTTGAAATGCCGACCAGATCCAAGCTCAGCTGTCTCTCCTGGAACCCCTACCTCTAAGTCAAGGCGCACATCGCCCCATTCCTCCCCATTCCACCCAATTTCATCAGGTGGTGGGCGAGTTGGCAGACGTGCACTGCCCGGTGGTGGAGATGCCCACCAGATCCAAGCTCAGCTGTCTGTCGTGGAATCCCTACCTCAAGGCGCACATTGCCCCATTGCCATCGCCGCCCTAACCTCTCCCCTCCGCCTCCCGCCGCCCCTCCATTTCATCAGGTGGTGGGCGAGTTGGCGGATGTGCACTGCCCAGTCGTGGAAATGCCCACTCGATCCAAGCTCAGCTGTCTCTCCTGGAACCCCTACCTCAAGGCGCACATCGCCAGCAGTGACTACGAGGGCATTGTGACGGTGTGGGACGTGGGCACGGGGCAGAGCCTTCTGGAGTATGAGGAGCACGAGAAGCGCGCCTGGTCGGTTGACTTTGCACGGACGGAACCGACCAGATTGGTGTCCGGGAGCGACGATGGGAAGGTGAGCAATTGAGAAGCCTGAGCAGTGTGTCGGGCGGTGTGTGTGTGTGGGTGAAGTGAAAGGCGCACATTGCCAGCAGCGATTACGAGGGCATCGTGACGGTGTTGGACGTGGGCACGGGGCAGAGCCTGCCCCGTGAAGAGAGCGTGGGAATACGAGGAGTACGAGAAGAGAATGTGGTCGGTGGATTGCGCACGGATGGAACCTACCAGATTGGTGTCTGGGAGTGACGATGGGAAGGTGGGTGAGTGACGTTGTGTGCATGTGCGTGTGTTTGTGGCTGAGCGTGCTGAACACCGACATGAAGGCAAACATCTGTTGTTGAGTCGACACTAAAGTAAACTCGTGAGCAACGGTCTGTGCGTGTGCGTGTGCGTGTGCGTGTGCGTGTGCATGTTTTTGCGGCTGAGTGTGCCGAACACCGACATGAAGGCCAACATCTGTCCCCCCCGCTCACTGCCCTCTCTCTCTTGTTCCTCTCCCTCGCTCCAATGAATGAACCCCCGCACCAACTCTTTTCTGGCACGGCAGGTGAAGATCTGGTGCACGAGGCAGGAGAGCAGCGTTCTCAACATCGACATGAAGGCCAACATCTGCTGTGTCAAGTTCAACCCCGGTTCCGCCAACTTCATTGCGGTAAGCCCGTGCATTCACGCATCGCCCTGCATTCCTCCCTTTGTCGGCCTTATCATTCGGGTCAATGTATGGTAAGTTATGCCCTACCCTGTAATGAAGGCCAACATCTGCTGTGTCAAGTTCAACCCCGGCTCTGCCAACTTCATTGCGGTAAGGCTAACAGCATCCTCCTTATAAGCTTCCTCGCATGCTTAATGGCAGACATCTGCTGTGTCAAGTTCAACCCCGGCTCTGCCAACTTCATTGCAGTAAGTGTTTTTTTCTGTTCTCTCCACGTGTTTAGTGCCTTGTTTCACTCGTTCTCATTTCGTCTCGATTTCCTTTGGTATTCCGTGTGGTTTCCTTTGCTTTCCCCTGTATGTGTGAACCCTGCAGGTTGGATCAGCGGACCATCAGATTCACTACTACGACATCAGAGCGCCAGCACTGCCACTCCACGTGTTCTCCGGCCATCGCAAGGCTGTGAGCTACGTCAAGTTCCTCTCGCCCTCGCAGCTCGCCTCTGCCTCTACCGACAGCACTCTCAGGCTCTGGGACGTTCACTCTCACGCAGCGGTGAGCTGCCCTCTCAACCTCCCTTCTTTTCTCTCTGTGCCACCATAAGGCCGTGAGCTACGTCAAGTTCCTCTCGCCCTCGCAGCTCGCCTCTGCCTCCACGGACAGCACTCTGAGGCTCTGGGACGTGCACTCCCACGCAGCGGTGAGTGGCCCTCTCATCTTCTCCCCCTCCCTCATCTGCAGTCTTGCCTCCACCGACGCACTCTCAGGCTCTGGGACCTCCACTCCCACGCTCCGGTGAGTGCCCCCTCTTTCCCCCTCCTTTCCCTGGTGACCGTGGGATGTAGGCGGGGCAAAGCTGTAGATTGTCTGCGCAGAAAAGGCTACTCATGAGGCGCCTCAAAAGTAGTGAAAACTGGTGAACGTGGGATGTAGGCAGGGCAAAGTTATAGATTGTCTGCGCAGAAAAGGCTGTGAGGTCAGAGCGGAGCATTGTCATTGAAAGGTCCTTCAAAAAAGGTTTGCTGCTGCTTGCAGTGTCTCTCCGCTGCCGTTCTCCTCTCGTCTCCCTTATGAGCAGCTCAGTTTATGTACTACTGTGCCAAGACCCATACGTTTGCCTTGCATTGGTACTCGTAAAGTGATCCTTCCAAGTATTCTGACCTGTATATTCATCACTCGTTTTCTGTCACCAACCCCCCCCTCCTCCTTGGCTCCTGTTCAGATCCGCACGCTGAGGGGCCACACCAACGAGAAGAACTTTGTGGGCCTGTCGGTCAACAGTGACTATATCGCGTGTGGCTCTGAGACGAATGAAGTGTACATCTACTATAAGGTATGATTGAGAGGCATTCTCTGTCAACAGTCACTAGACTGAATCGCGTGTGGCTCTGAAACATGAAGTGTACATCGACTGTTAGGCATCAATGAGAGGTCTTATGGGCGAATCTAAGTGTTTTTCTGCTTCAGGTGTTCAGGCACATAGTATGCTTAACCTCGCCTGCCGTCATCCCAACCCTTACTCCTTATGTAAGCCATATAATATGCTTAACCTTGTGTTCTGTTTCCCTTATTCCTGTTGCAGGCCATGTCTAAGCCCTTGGCAGTACACCGATTCACCAACTCGGACCCTTTTAACGGGGAAGACAGTGATGAGGATACAGCACACTTCATCTCTGCTGTTTGCTGGAAGGGCGGAGGGGGAGAGGCAGGTGGAGCAGGGGCAGGTGGGGAAGGGGGCGGCGGGCAGCAGCAGGAGGCAACGATGCTAGCAGCAAACAGCCAAGGGACTATCAAGGTGCTGTCTCTGGCGCCTTAGGAGGAGCAGGGTTCTTTAGGGGCTGGAGCATCTAATGCAATACTACACAGCACACTTCGTCTCTGCAGTGTGCTGGAAGGTCGGAGGTGGGAAGGAGGAGCAGGGGCAGGTGGGGAAGGGGGTGGTGAGCAGCAGCAGGAGGCAACAATGCTAGCAGTAAACATTCAAGGGACTATCGAGGTGCTGTCTCTGGCGCCTTAGGAGGGGCAGGATTCTTTCCTGGAGTATCGGGTTCGTTATCATAGTACCGTGCATGTACACTCGAGCCAAGTGCTCATGCTGCCTCCCATAGTATCAACGATTTCATTATCAGTGCATTATTACACAAATACATTAGCTTTCCGTTGTAGTGTACATGTGAAATGACTCTTGGCAATGGTGAACGTAAAAAACATTTTTTATATATAAATATGATACTCTGTTTTTTTTCAAAGAAATCACCTACTTCTGTCAAGGTGAGCTGTCATTTATACATGACAATTGTCGGTAATGTAGGGAAAGTAGTACATGATTATTCTTCTAAGATTTTGATGCTTGGAACGAATCCCACCGTTGAAGTCGAAGCTTTTTGGACTCCTCATGCCGCCTCGCCGCCAGTACCTTGAGCTTCTTCACCAATTCATCCGCGTTTTTAGCCTCCTCCTTTGCCGTACCAAACGCATGTTCTGCTTGTGCAGCTTTCCTTTCCAACCCCTCCAGCACGGGTTTATTCTTCTGTGCCAACTCCATCGTTTCTTTCCGATAGGTCACCGCCTGCCGCCAATGATCCTCCCTCAACGTAATTTTTTCAGCTGCCCGTCGCGATTTCCTAATCATTTCCGCAAGCACCCGAGCGCCTTCTTCACTGACTGCAGTCGCAAGATCCAGCGCCTGCTGCGCTTCCTCCGACTCCCGCACGTACGCGCGCTTGCGCGCAACCTCCCGCTCCGCCGCCACTTCTTCCGCCACTTTCCGCTGCTCCACTAGGAGCTCCGCAATTTGCGCTGCGCGTTCTTTAGCTGAGCGCACGTCTTTCTCCGCCTCTCTCGCATGAAATTCCGCTTCTTCCGCCTCGCCTTCGACATTCTCCTGCTCCTGCCTCTTCTCCCGAGCCTCTTTCTTAGCCTCGAAGGCTCGGATCCGAGCCTCTTCAGCCACAACTTTTGCAGCCTCGGAAACGGTAACCGCCTCCTTTTGCAAAGCCCTGGTAACGAGTTCTTCCGCTTCCGACGCGGAAATACGCTGAAGCGCAACTGCTACTCTGACAGCCCGAGCTCCGTCAATCCCCGGAGCTGACATATTATCCGCCAGGCTCGGTGAATCCGGACCTCCGCGTGAATTGGTCGACAATAATGTTATCATATCCGCGTTTGTGATCCGCGACCTGACTCTCCTCCACACGTGAACGAATTCTGCCGCGGCCTCGTCAGCCTGAGCGTCGGCCTTTTGAACCGATGCCACGCGTTGTTCAACCAAGGGTTTGAGATTGTTCTGATAAGCAATCGCGAGCCTCAACGCCTCTTCGCGCATCTCGGCCCTCTTGGCGATCTTCTCCGCTTTCTTCGCCGTTGTCCCCGCCATGTGCAGACTCACCTTTTTCGCCGCGACCGCAACCTCGAACGCGGTTACTGCGTCGGGGCTTGGATTCGCGTACGCGCGCTTCGTCGCCGCGTCGGCAGCAGCCGCCATTTGTTCCGCGACCGCTTGCTGCTCGCGGGCTCGCGCCGCGAACAGCTCGGCGCGCCTCTTGGCGAGTTGAATCTTCTCCTGTACCCCGTCCACCTTGCGATTCGCGTCTCGCAAGTTCCGCTCCATGGCCTCCAGGTCGCGGCGCACCACGTACGCGAGCCGCTTTGCCTCCACCGCCGCTGCTTTTAACTGGCGGAGCAAGGCGACGGGATCGGCATTTCCTCCTGGTAACTTGAAACTGGTGATGACGTGGTGAGGAATTGTCGTTATCGATTTTGTCGCAGCTTGAGGGGCGCCCGCTCGATCGGCGGCAGGAAAAGACTCTGCGGCCTCGTTAGAAGCAACTCTCGGTCTCGATACAGGGGTAGCGCCGCTCACGAGCACGACGAACTTCAATGTGATGGAGAGTAACAGAATGGTAGCGAGTGTCAAGCAGACAGGCAAGGGAGGATTTTGATGAGCTTGCCGCAGCGCCATGGTATTCCTTTCCTGCTCGAGCGTCGAGAAACGTGGCAATCTCAAGTAGGCTCAGTTCCGAACGTCGCACCTGGCCGAGTTTCAGCTCTCGGGATGTCGGAATCACAACAACGACAGACAGAAAGGCGAGTCTGTTGTAGAGGCGTGTCCTCTAGTTGGCAGGAACTAGGAATTGTTCTAAGCAGTAGAGCACACTCTTGGCTTTCCAAGGAGCCGTAGAACACGTAATTCGCCCAAGTATCGGCTGAGATACGGCTTTCAACGTGCTAGGTAGTGCTCTAAGATTGAAGGATAGAAAGTCTCTGATTTTCAGTATATCATGCATACAAAGCAATCACAATATATAGCTACTCAAAACATCGAGTCGCGCATGTAACATACGAGATGCATCGAGAACATTCGCGTAACAATTCGAAGGGGTGAAATTCGGCACCCGAATTTCACCGAACCGAATTCTTCCTTAGTCTCGATCCTTCTTGTGTTGCCATGTGGCACCAATTGAGTGGGTCTTCCGAAGTCAACCCACACACTTCGTGAAACCTGCAGCTCTCTCAAGCGGTGAGCACCGAAACACATTCGGTGGGTTGGGGGCATATCAATTGCCCCACCACCGTTTGCTTCTAACTCACGCGACCTCCAACACTCCCCCTTGCACCCAACCCACTAGGTGTGCAATCCAACATGCTCGTAGCATGCACGGGACGGATCTTTAGGGGGTAGTTCCATGAGAGGATCCATGTGTTCATCATCACCCATGGTTGCGAAGCAAAATGCCGCCCCCTCCTTATCCAACTTCCCAACGGCTACCGTAGCATAGTCGGCGTACTTGGAGGGAGGACGAACCTCACGACGCTCGCGGGTCAAGGCCAATGGTAGGGAGGAAGGTGTGGAGGTAGTTGCCGCCTCGGTAGGTAACACCTCCACGACATCATCAACGCTCTCCTCGTTGTTCTCTCCCCCTCCATCGGCTTCCTTCTCCACTTGAGGTGGAGTCTCACTCTCTTGAACCTCCTCTCGTGGCGGAAGGATGAAAGTGAGTTGTTGAGTGGGTTTCTCCTTCGACGGGAACTTGTCTTCATCGAAGACCACGTCCCGAGACGTGACGACACGCTTTTCACCCAAGTCCCACACTCGCCATGCACGCTTGTTTGGCGCAACTCCCAAGAAGATCGCCGCACGAGCTTTCGGTTGCAACTTGTGGCGAAGAGGATCCGGTATATGGTAGTAGCAAAGGCACCCAAAGGTGCGTAGGCGGGATAGGTTCTGCTTCGTTCCGGTCCATGCTTCGAACGGATTCATTCCCGGTAGCACCTTTGTCGGCACACGATTACGAATCCATGCTGCTAGCGCACTCGCCTCTCCCCACCACTCGTTCCCAAGCTTGGAGTGTTGAAGTAGTGAACAAACGGCTTCCACCAACGTGCGATTAAGCCGCTCCGCCGCTCCATTTTGTTGAGGTGTGTAGGGTGTCGTGACGTCGTGCTTTATGCCCTTGCTCTTCATCCATTTCTCAAGCTCCGCGTTCACGAATTCGCCCCCACCGTCGGTGCGAATACACTTGATCCGCTTCTTGTCGTCGTCGCAAACATCGAGCGCCCACTCTTGAATCGCCTTGGCCGCATCTCCCTTAGCCTTCAAGAGTCGGGTCCAACACATCTGCGTCGCGTCGTCGAGCATCACCAAGAGGAACCGCACTCCTCCCTTTGATGCATGTCGCATCGGCCACACACGTCCATGTGAACAAGCGCAAGCGGGTCCTTAGCGAGGGGTGACGTTCGGCTACCAAATGGCTTGCGAGCCATTTTTCCTTCGACACACGCCGCGCACACGCCCTTCTCGTCGTCGCCGGCGATCACGTCAAGTCCCTTCGCAAGTCCTTTGTTGGCCAACTCCTTGACCGAGTCGTAATTGGCGTGCGCAAGTCGATCATGCCACGCCTTAAGAGTTGCCTTGGAGTCTTGCGCCACGTTCGATGAAGCCACTCTTGGGTACGTCTTGAGTTGGTAGATATCTCCATTGAGAACCCCTTGCGCGAATTGCTCCCCCTTCCAAAAGAGGTTCATCTTCGCACCGTCGATGGTGGCGATCACGCCTTTCTTCGCCAGTTGCGGGACGGATAGAAGGTTCACCTTCACCCCCGGGACGTGAAGCACGTTCGTGACGTCCACCGGTCCGCTATCGACGATGAGGCGCGTACTCCCAACTCCAACCACCGGTAGAGATTCGTTGTTTCCGAACACGATGCTCGTGACGTCTCCCGGAGCGCCAATGTTGTTGAGGAGCGACGCCGAGTGCGTCATGTGTTGCGTTGCGCCGGTATCGAGGAACCACGCGTCGCTTGGAGTTTTGTTCCCGTTGCCGGCCACTAACACGAGCGACTCCTTTGAATCATCGGCCTCGCCGGATGCCGTGTGCGCGTTGCCCTCTTCGTCCCGCGCCTTCGATGGAGTCCAATCGCTCGGGCGCTTCCGACACTCACGCCAAAAGTGTCCCGGTTTGCGGCAATAGTGACACTTGCCGCGATGCTCGCTCCCACCCGACGATTCATTCGTCGCACCCTTGCTCCACTTGGACTTCTTTCCGGAACTCCCTCCGGAGTACATGGCGGTCCCCTCGCTCTCATTCGCGAATTGTCGGCGACGTGATTCCTCATGGAGAAGCCGACCGACCACCATTTCCTTCGTCCAAGTGCCTTGCACGCTATCGAGTGTCGTAATCACCGTCGACCACTCTTCCGGAAGGCCGCAAAGCAAGGTGAGAATCCAATCCTCCTCCGTGACCGTTCCACCGAGGTCCATGAACGATTCCCCGAGTTCCTCCACACGAGTCGCATACTCGTGCATCGATTCGCCCGCGCGCATCTTCACCGTGTAGAACGCATTCCGGGCTAGGATCTTGCCGTGGAGAGTCTTGTTCACGTGGATGGTCTCGAGCCGCTTCCACGCTTCATGCGCCGACGCTTCGAGCTTGATGCACATGCGCACCGAGCTCACGAGATTGATGCCGATGCGCGAAATCAACGTAGCGAACGCCTTTTGGTCCTTCTTCTTCCATGCCGCGATGTCGCTCTCGTTGTCCGGCTTCTTCTCCGTTCCATCGAAGAATCCCCAAAGTCCCCGCTCCATCATGAGCACTTGGAACTTAAACTTCCACGCGGAGTAATTTTGTCCCGTGAAAATCGGTACCGCCGACGTGTCGAACATCGTCGCGGTTGCCCAGGGTTCGCCGGTATTGACAACGACACCATCCAAGGAAGTGCGGGAGTCCTCGCTTGATGTCATCATGCTTGCTCCTTGTCGCGCGCGTAGACTCCTCCGACCAGCTCTGATACCACTGTTGTAGAGGCGTCTCCTCTACTTTGCAGGAACTCTAATTTGCACTAAACGATAGAGCACAGTCTTGGCTTTCCAACAAGCCGTCAAACACGTTAATCGCCCAAGTATACGCCGAGATATTGGCGTTCACGTGATTGCTAGTGCTCTTAGAAGCAAGGATAGACCTCTCTGGAATTTTGGTTCGAATGGACCATGTACAAGAAGATTCAGGATTTCAGTATAAAGCATGCATACAAGGCAGTTCGATTTATAGCAAATGCATTACATCGAACCGCACATGTAACATCACATCGCTACACTCGCGTCGCGAATGCGCCGCGTGTAACATTTCGGTTGGAGTGAAATTCGACCACCGAATTTCACACCGAACACACCGAATTCGCCTTGCACTTGAAGGTTGGAATGTGGTGCCGCCACGTGGCACCGAAGGGTGAGTCTCCCGAAGTCAATCGGTGCCACCCCACCGATCCCTAGTCAAAGGGATCGAAGGCACCGAAGTGCCCTCGGTGGGTTGGGGGCATACCACCGCCCCACCACCGTTTCCTTCCAACAGAGTCAAGGTATGCAGGTGTCACGAAGTGAGTAGCTGAAGTCTGCTATTAGTAGTGTGCTCGATCAACCCGTCCACTACGAACCTCTTGGACACGTTCCTCCTGTACCGTACGTTTCAACTCTGCTTATCCAGCTTGCCGTGAGTGGCGACGCGCCATACATAAGGGTTGTGGTGCTGGTGGCGGCGGGCAGAATTCGTAGTGATGGGTTGTTTCGGGCTGGCCTTCTGCCAATGCGACTATGGCTGGCTTGGGGGAGAAGTCTGGGGCTCAACGGCCCAGATTGCCCCTGAGAAAGACAATCTACCCCAACGTTTCAGAAGCCTCAACAACGCACCGCAACCCAACTCTGGTCTGTAATACAATCGACCCCAACGTTTCAGAACAGAAGCCTCAACAACGCAACGCAATTCGACTCTGGCCTATAACGCGTACAGTTTCGACGCTTGTTGGTGACACAGGCTTGCCATATGGCTGAGTGTGGTTCCAACCACAACGTTCGTGAATGGTGTTACGAGAACGTCAAACACTATATCTTGAAGATGCTATTTTCTGTGAACGTACTATGCGGATCTTTAATGTGAGATTACTGAAAAAGGCCTGGTAGTAATTGGTGCGTTTCCCGTCCAGAAAGTATACATTCAAACTAATATATACACCCCTTTTTTAATTGAGTGCAGTTAGGTAGTGTCAGAATTTGTAATTCTTATATAATTGCATGTTTAGTTAGTTAGTGTAGTCTCACCTATCTTGTCTTAGGTGGTCTACTCCCTTCACCACCTCCCCCGTTTCCTATAACTTCTACTGCATTCTATAGTGCAACCCCTCCTTTGTTGGCCAACTCCCTCTTACTTCCCACAACCCTAAGGTTCCTAATCTACTATCTTGACAGGTAGAACCTCCTCCTGACTCTGCACCATTGTAGTGGCCTCGTTACGCAGACGTTATAGCACATACAAATAGACGATGTCCTTAGTTGCCTAGATTCAAACCTTGTCCATATCACCAAGCAAAACAACGAAATACCAGTATCACGGAAATTTGTGTTGCAGCCCATGGAAAAATCTTCGTAGCCTTGCATACATCAGTGAGTGAGCTTGTCTCAAAGGCAACATCTATTCTCTCCACATATATAATATAAGGGAGAAATGTCACAAACCAATCTGAATTGAGCATAATCATGTGGAAACCAAGCCGCAAACCAACAAAATGTTGATTATAAAACTGCCACAAAGCATTTTATTGAGGACGGCTGGATAACAAACGAAACATCCCAGCCTTGCGTCACCTTCACACACACATCAGTCACCTTCAGCCATACACCAGTACAGAGAGTGCACCACCGCTTGAACCAATCTGACCCGCAGAGTGCTCTACCTACCCTGCTAAGGTGCGGCAGCGGCCGCTTTATTTGCAGGATTAGACAGCCCATTCCCTGCGAGATGCACCTAAGGCTACAAACTCCGCATCCGCCGCTGATGAGAAGGGAGACTCCCAAACGCAGCTACAGCACTCATAGGACCATGTATCTATTTTCGCCCTGAACCCACATTGCATGATCCAGTCAACCATCTCCGTCTCGTTACGCACGCAGCTGCAACAACAACCAGTGGAGCACCATCGCGACATTCTCCTTCTTGTACCATCGACACGCTCTGCCTCTTGTACCATCGACTCTCTGTGCTTCTCCTTCTCTAGTACCATTGCTTGCTACGCAGATTGCGCCTCCGCCGCTTGCGCTGTTCTGTCTCGTTACGCAGCTGCTACAACTGCCAGTGGAACATCGTCGTAACGCTTCTCTTGTACCACTAGTTCTCTGTGTTTCTCCTCCTCTAGTACCACCGCTTGCCACGCAGATTGCGCCTCCGCCGCCCTCTCCATTTTCTCGATCATCTCCGCCCGGAGCGCCTTTACCCTCTCCGCCGCCATTCCCGCCTCTCGCGCCGCCATGACGAACGCGCCCTCGAAGTCCCGCACGTTCGCCTCCATCTCCTGCAGGTACGGCCGGTTCCCGCGCGCCTCGGCGCTCGCAGCGGAGAGCTTCCGTGCCGCCTGATCCTTCCGCTGCGCCGCTCTGTCAACCGCGCTGGCGGCCTCCGCCGAGGCGTTGACGACGCCGCGCTCCTGCCGCGCTTCTTTGAGAGCGATTTCCGCGGATTGAAGCTCCGCTTCCGCCGCCGCGGCTGCCGCGTCCAGCTCCGCCTGCTCGCGCGCTGCGTCGCGCTGCTGCTGCCGCGTCTCGAGCGCCCGGATACGCATCTCCTCCTGCTCGATCTTCTGCGACGCGAGGGCGCGCTTCGCCTCTTCGTAGGCCGCTAGCGCCTCCGCCGCCTCCGCATCCGCTGCAGAAACTCTCTTCGCCGCCTTCACCTCCGCAGTTTCCGCACCAGGAGACCCCGAGCTGTAGCTATCATCTGAATCTGACGATGCATGGCCGAAGCCGTCTGGAGAGTCTGGTGTGCTGCTATGCTCAACGGCTCCTCCGCGTAGGTTCTTGTCCCGGGCAATGGCGTAGGATTGAGTGGTTGCGGCGGTGGGTGGAAGGAGAAGCGTGAAAGCGGCGGAAAAGATAAGCGCGCGGCGCAGGTGACCTAGTGACGCCATTCCCGCCCTAAATGATCGCAGATATGATGGGTGGGCTGGTAGTAGCTACGATATCTATGATCAAGAATAACGCGATGGGGCTCTCAATCTTAGAATCAAAATCTATATTAGCGTCGAAGCTTATGGAAGAGGCTTTAGCATGGAGCAAGTTCAAGCGTGTCAATGTCGTACTATGCATAGCTTGCCCTGGCGGAGGGGACAGGCTGTTGCGTGCTGGCGCAGCCAGGGTGGCGTTTCGTTTTCACTCTCCGCGGTCGAAGCAGCTTTGCTCTTCGCGCGCAGAGTAAGGCGGCGGATAAGGAAAACAACTTGCAGGCAGCAGGGTCGGTGTTGGTGGGCTGGTGTGTAAGTCGGTAGCTACACTCGATTCCAGAGGACTTTGTGTGCTGTGGGAATGTCGAGTCGAGTCTCTCGACACAGGAGGACACAGCTTACATGAGGCGGAACGCGCATGCGAGAATTTGTCAATTTCACGCGACGCGACTAGGAATTACCGGATTGGCTAGCGGGAGTTCCGCCACTGGTTGAATGTGGAGGAGGGTGGGGAATTTGCTTGATCAAGGAACGGAAGGCCGAGTTCGGCTGCGCGATACAGCGAGAAGCGGATGAAGAGTGCAAACTCACTTTGTAAAGCTAGATGTTTTGCACACTTATTTCAAATGCTGTAATGAAATACCTTTGTTTGGTCGTAAGAATGCTAACCCCATGTGCTTGTACGGAATATCCGCAAAGCGAAAGTTTATGTGCTAGCACACGTGTCAACATCTCACTCCCTTCTGGTCAACCGCCTCTCGGCTGGATACACGGAATCCTTTCGCACACCTCGGTGTATTCCAGCTTGCGCGAGTATCGCAGTTCCATCGTCAATAGAATTAATTTGTCATTTACTCGAGGTATTCCAGTTCGCCAACCTTCGTTGATCTTCGTCGTACCCCTGATGATTACCCATCACCTCGAGCTTGCCTTCTCTCCTTTGCTGGAAGTATTATTTTGTGGATAAGGTTCTCCTACTTTTAGAGCAGCCGCTTTTGGGCCGTGCTATTTTCTGTGACCTAATTTTGATTTGTCTCAGCCATGGCTGCCATCGCCCCAGCCGGGTCATGCACAGTCTCTGCTAGGCTGGTTGCGTCGCAACCTCGCCGCAACACTGTCGCCGTCGCATCGCCCTCCATCTCAGCCTCCGCTCTCGGTCGCAAGTTCGATGGCCTGCGACTCTCCGCGTCTCCCGCTTCCAGCGCCACGTCAGCCGGTCTTACCGACTCTCTGAGCCGCGTAGCTTCAACAAGCACCGGGTGTAAAGGCGTGGTTACCATGGGTATGGAGGCTGGAGTCGGGGTTTTGGGTAACAAGGTCGGCATGCTGACGTGGTTCACTGAGGACGGCAAGGCCGTTCCCTGCACGGTGATTGGCTTCCACGAGGGTAACATTGTTACGCAAGTGAAGACCTCTGACACTGATGGTTACAATGCCGTGCAGGTACGACGCTAAAGGCGATTCAAGTCGGAGAGCGGTGCATTCCAGGGTTTTGGCGACCCTTTTTATTATCGCGTTGAGTCGAGGAGACTACCCTTAGGCAACCTTAGGGCTCTTGCTTTCATCGTTATGACTCTTTTCTCTTGGGCCTCGGTCATCCTTTCGCCTAAAGAGGCGCCTCGAAAACTAGAAACGGTTACATTCGGAGCTTTCGCATTTTTTTATTCGACGCTCTTTTTGCTCGATTTACATGGTAGGCGACCTTCTCGTCTCGATTCACACGCTCCGCTAGGTTCATCTGCTAGGCCTTACGTTTCTTCGACAAGGCTCTGAATGGGTAGAAAGCTGAGGATCATTTCTGAGTCGTTTCAAAACGCGCCACGCTTGGTTCGTCCGCGAGCCCGTACGTTCCTTTCACAAAGCGCAAGCGTTTGTAAGGGTGGATCTACGGTCGTCATTCAAGTCACCTGCAGTGTGATGGGATCCCATAGCCGCCGGAACGAGAGAAATGACTTTTGAGTCGACACAAAAGTCGTTCGAGCCACCTGCAGTGTGATAGGATCCCATAGCCGCCGGAACGGAAGAATTGTGAAGGGAAAGCCGCTGCATTACCTGCGGTCATGCGGTCCGTGGTTCGTGGACGAGGTGACTTGTGAGTCGACTCTAAAAGGGGTGGATGGAAGGCGGGAAAGGGCTCAAAAGTTACCTGCCTGCGGTTATGCGGTCCGTGGTTCGTGGACGAGGTGACTTGTGAGTCGACTCAAAAGTTACCTGCCTGCGGTCATGTGGTCCGTGGTTCGTGGACGAGGTGACTTGTGAGTTCGTGCGGTCACCTCGTCCGCAGGTAACTTTTGAGTTCGTGGACGAGGTGACTCAAAAGTTACCTGCCTGCGGTCATGTAGTCCGTGGTTCGTGGACGAAATCTCAACGGCTTAGCGGTTTCCTGTATCTCACTGGGATCGTATCACACTCTTTCGCCTGGTACTGCAAATCCCCCCAGCTACGTCAAACAAGTGTTAGCGAATCAAATATAATATAGTCAAAGGGAGGATAGCAAGACATTCTGGTCCCAGCCAGTACCCGGTTGTTTACCCCCACTGCCCCTTCTTTCGCAACCATTCCTCGAGCCCTTTCCCGCCTTCCATCCACCCCCTCTCCCTCCTCCCCCCGTTCCCTCTCTTTCCCCCCGCACCCCCTCCCTCCCCCCGTCCCCTTCCCCCTCCTTCCACCCCGCAGGTGGGGTACCGGCGTGTGCGCGAGGGGCGCCTGTCGAAGCCCGAGGCGGGGCACGCGAAGAAGAGCGGCGCGCCGCCGCTGCGCCACCTGCAGGAGTTCCGCCTGCCCGCGGAGACCGTGGCGCAGTTCGCGCCGGGGCAGCAGATCAAGGTGGAGGATCTGTTCCAGGCGGGCGACCTTGTGGATATCAAGGGCGTCAGCATCGGCAAAGGATTCGCTGGTAAGGGGGGGGAATGGTGAGAGTGAGGGGGGATGGGGGTGTGGGTGGGTTGCATCGCGGTGTCAGGGCAGACGAGCAGATCAAGGTGGAGGATCTGTTCCAGGCGGGCGACCTGGTCGATATCAAGGGTGTCAGCATCGGCAAGGAATTTAGGGTGTTTGTAAGTATTATTTCTCATCCCCAATTTTCCCACACCCCTCCTCCCTTATCTCCCCCCCAACTCCCCCCTCTCTCCGGTCCGGCCCCATATCATGCCTCTGGTTGTGCCAGGTGGCATCAAGCGGTGGAACTTTGCCCGCGGCCACAGGACCCACGGTTCCAAGTCGCACCGTCAGTTGGGTTCCATTGGTGCTGGTACCGCCCATTGCCTGTGATTCTCATCTCCCCAGCTACCTTTCCCCACCCCTCTTTCCCCACCCGCCCTTCCTTTCCCCACCTCTCTCCCCCCACCCGCCCCTCCTTTCCCCACCTCTCTCCCCCCACCCGCCCCTCCCCCTTCCTCCCTGCCTCTTCCCTACTTTCCATATTCTCCCGCCTGCTTTTCCCCCAGGTGGCATCAAGCGGTGGAACTTTGCCCGCGGCCCCATGACCCACGGTTCCAAGTCGCACCGTCAGCTGGGTTCCATTGGTGCTGGTACCACTCCCGGTCGCGTTTACCCCGGAAAGAAAATGCCCGGGCAGCTGGGTAACGCCCAGGTGAAAATCCGGAAGCTGAAAATCATGAAGGTTGACCCTGAGCTCCGGGCGGTTATTATTCGGGGGGCTGTGCCCGGGAAGGCCGGAAATTTGCTGCGCATCTGCCCGGCAAAGATTGTTGGGAAGAATGTGCCCACCAAGTGAGAGGGTAAGTGCAGTGCAGATGAAGATTCAAGCGGATGTGCTATTGATGCTTGGTTGCGCTGTGAACTCCTGGTGCGACTTGTATCATTGTCCAGAGCATGATGACAAATGAGTAGATTTATAATTGCAGCGTGGAGAAAGCAGTAGCCCCACAGGGTAAAGCACCCCAGTTTACAACTGAACCGATCGAGATAAATGGCCACAAATTTCTTCTATTCGTGCAAGAGCAACAATAAATAATTTGAATGTTAGACGAATGATTACTAAACTATGTTAATGGAAAGGGTGCTTTATGGCGAGGCTCCGTTTTTTGAACTGATGGTTCACTCAGCAAGCACCTGCACTGTTACAGGTGGTTTGCCAGCTATGTCGCGTGTGTGGGTGACCGTGACACTTCAAGCAAGATGTCATCCCGTATCATGATTAGGAAGTGCTGTCGTGTACATTGCTGTAGTTTCTCCACGTCAGCACTGTACATAGATTGTTTTCAGCGTTTACGCTGTGTTCCGCCATTTTCCAAAACAGAAACTTCTGAACTTCAATGCTGCATCCCTCACAAGATTGGCTGGCCACCAAGGCCGCTCTGTTCTGGACCCATACGTACCTTCCCTATCCGATTCCAATGAGGCTCGAAACATCTTTCTGGGTCAGTTATAGCAGGGGAGATAGGCGGAACCATATCTGGTGTCCAAGCTTGGGTCTCGGTTTGGTCACCACGTAGCCCACGTGTCAACTTTGGTGTGAGGGGGCGTGTTTGCGCGACAAAATCACGCGCGGACCGACGCAGACAGGAACAATCTCAGGCATGTTCCTTCCTGTACTAGATGCTCACCTCCACCTCATTACACCCTCTCTCGCGCCAGACTGACAATGGGATGCACTGGCTACAGTGCGTACTGTTGCTTGGACCCTAGCGATCTGGTGCTTGGAACCGAACCCCAGCTAGGTGGCAGGATTTCTGCTAGCTCGGACGATCCGGGCCCCTGTGAAAAAAACCCTGTAAAATCCGAGCCAGCGAAAAATCCGACCACGACAAAACCTGGATGAGTGCTAGGGAGGCTGGAGAGGAAGGAGCGGCTCTAGAGGTGTGGGAGAGAGACTTACGGGCTGGTCCAAGAAGCACCTGATGACAATCAGGGTTCCTCTAACACCTTGTAATTTCAGTCAAAGCAGGGTTATTGCCCTGATAACAAAAGCCCTGCTCCGGAGGAACGGTACACAACGTTATGTGGAAGAAAGCTTGCTTTTGCGTACGGTTAAGTGCGGCAAGTGTGCTTATATCGTATGTGCTGGGACCATTCTGGACGCATTGAGGTCAGTACAGCCGGGCTGTCAGTATGGCCAATGTCAGTCTGGCGCGAGAGAGGGTGTATATAGATAGCTCCCACATCTATGTAGAAAGCTCCGCATTGTTACCTCCGCTATTGTTCGAAGCTCCTTGTTTCCCGTTCCGACTTCTCCTAATTGCTGTACTCAATTGACAACATTTTCCTCCCTTGGCTATCGCACTCACTCACCATGGCCAATCGCAACCACCGCCGCGCTCAAGTAGGAAATAGCTTGTTCACCGTATACATCCTCTGTGTTGGCCTCCTCGTCTCTCCTGACCACACTTCTGCTTCACGAGACATTGCGGCTCCACAGCAGTTCGCCAGATCTCGCGAAACTCTTGGCGCGTCTACACCAGAAATTGTTACTGCTATCGAAAATCACGAAAACAGCGGCGGTCAGTCCTTCGATTCCGCCGTTCGTGAATCCGCCGCGGCTGACGCGGAAGCGGCCAAAGCTCTAGCGGAATACGAAGATGCGAAGAAGGTTCTCGAAGGAAAGAAGGTGGACGCGGAGGGGATAAGCTCGGAAGCGTCTAAACTGCGCGGCCAGGCGGAAGAAGTGGCGTTCGGTCACGCCGTCATAGCCACGGAAGTCGCGGAATCAGCGGAGCGTGAGCGGAAAAGCACCGCGGACCTGAAGCGCGCGGAAGAGGTGGCGGAAAAAGCTGCAGCATTCGCGGCAGGAAAGCGGAAGGTAGCGGATGAGGCTTCGGCCGCGGCGGAAAAAGCAGCACGGTTGGCGGAAGCGGAAGGGACGGCGGAGGCGCAGCTCGCGCTCGTGCGAGCAAAAACCACGCGCGCGGAGGCAGTCCGTGTTGCGGAGGTGGCGGAAACGACGGCAGTAGAGGCGAAGGAGTCGGCAGAGGAAGTGTGGGAAGCGTTCTCGCGTGAAGAATCCGACATGGACGTTTCTGTAGTTGACCTGGTATCGGAGGAGGCTTATATCGAGGATTTGAAAGCCGCAACAGCAGACCTTGAGGAGGAATATCGGAAGAGTGTGGCTGCAGTGGAGGTCGCCAAAGCGAAGGTGGAGGAACTGAAGGGTCTGGCAGAGGAGAAGGTGGCACGTGCGAAGGCGATGCGAGCTGCTCTGAGGAAAGGCGGGAAGAGCAACAGCCGGGAAGGAACGACAGCCACGCAATAGCTCGAGAGTTGCACATTTCCGTTTACTCCACAGGGCGAAGGAGAGGAGATGCTGTGGCATGAGATCCACAGTGACATGAGCAGGGATCGCTTAGCGCTCTAGGTTCGTCAACACTGGAAAGTGCGAAAAATACTCAAGCCCAGGCGGTTCTTTTCCAAAACCGACCACTGCCAAATATATGTATAATAGTGTGGTACTATGTATTGTAGTAGCCTTGTATCATCCGAGTTCATCTGATTTTCGGGTAAAGCTACCGTAGTAGCCTAATTTCACTCTTGAAAACGACTCGTTATACGTGGATCCAAATCCGTATGCCGAGTTTGTCAGTGACACAAAGTAAAAATTTAAAAGTGTGCAACATTCTTCAATTCAATGTTTGCGAAGATAGTCGTACCGAAGCGATGGCTTCGACAAACCACTCGCTGCTTGAGGCGAATGTGTTTGGCGAGAATTACTGGTCATGTTTGATTACCAGACGCTCTGTTACACGCGGTGTTTGTCGAGGACCCTGATAAATCAGTCAACAAGCACCTGCACTGTTACAGGTGTTATGTCAGCTATGTTGCGATGCGAGTGAGGATGGCTCTTCTTCAAGCAACATGTATTCGCGTAGTAGTTTTTCCACGTCAGCACTGCCCCTTGCATTGTTGGTGGGGGGCGTCCGCCATATATGTTTGTTTTCAGCGTTGCAATTTATGCTGCGTTCGCCATTTTCCATTTACGTTTCTGGCACACTGGGTGTCCGAACTTGCCTGGTGTCACAGCCTTGAAACACCGCCCACTAATGAATTCTGGGGAAACATACTTATCACGTGCGCACGTGAAAATGAGTTTGGAACGAGATTCGAAACAACCGTTTCGGTGAGTATGGACAGGGGAAATAGGCTCAGCTGTGGTTGCTAATGCGCGCACCACCGTAGGCGAACCGATTTTCAGGAGATTACACAGGCAAACAGACAAGACATGTTCCTGCCTGTCCCAGATGTCCCCCTTCACTCGCCTGAGCCGCCTCGCCAATTTCTACCCTCTTTCACCTCCTCACATCCTCGGATAACCTTATACAGTTCATGTCATCAATCTCTTCTGACGACAACATTCTACTTCCATAGTGCAGTATTAGCTATCCCGCTCAATCACCATGGCCGATCGCAATCATCTCTTGTTCACAGTATGCGTCTGTGTCGGCCTCTTAATTTCTCCCGACCACACTACAGGTTCACGGGACATTGCGGCTCCACAACAATTCGCCAGTTCTCGCGGAATTCATGGCGCGTCTGCACGAGAAATTGTTACTGTTGTCGAAAATCACGAAAACAAGTTGTCAGTATCCGCGGTTCGTGAAGCCGCCGCTGCTGACGCAGAAGCCGCTGAAGCTCTAGCGGATTACGAAGATGCGAAGAAGGTTCTCGAAGGAAAAAGGATGGACGCGGAGGGAATAAGCGCGGAAGTGTCTAAAGTGCGCAGCCAGGCGGACGAAATTGCGCTCGATCGCGCCCTCATGACCGCGGACGTCGCGGAACTAGCGGAGCGGGCGCGAAAACGCTCCGCGGACCTGAAGCGCGCGTCAGAGGTCGCGGAAAATCAGGAGCATTAGCGGCAGGCAAGCGGAAGGTGGCGGATGAAGCTTCCGCCGCATTGGGGGAAGCAGCGCGGTTGGCGGAAGCCGCCCACACGGCGGGGGCGCAGCTAGCGCTCGAGCGGGCGAGATTCGAGCGCGCAGAAGCGGTGCGCGCAGCGGAGGAGGCGGAAACGGTGGCGGAAGAAGCCACGGAGAACGCGGAGGATGCGTGGGAAGCGTATTCGCAGGAAGAATCCGACGTGGAAATTTCTGTAGTGGACATTGAAGCCGAGGAGACTTATATCGAGGATTTGAAAACCGCAGCAGCACGCTTTGAGGAGGAATATCGGAAGAGTGTGACTGCAGTGGAGGTCGCTAAAGCGAAGGTGGAGGAACTGAAGGGTCTGGCAGAGGGGAAAGTTGCGCGTGCGAAGGCGATGCGAGCTGCTCTGAGAAAAGGCGGGAAGAGCAACGGCCGAGATGTAACGACAGCCACGAAATAGTAATGGTTATGATGGCGGGAAGGGGATCAAGGCTCCACTAACGTTTGTGAGTCCACAGAGTGAAAGAGAGGAGATAGAAGCGGAATTAGCGCTCTAGTTTGGTAAGAACTCAAACCCAGGCGGTTCTGTGTCAATACTGAACCATGTCAAATCGTGTGTGATGTTGTACATATGTGAGTGTAGTACTATGTATTGTAGATAGTATCATCTGAGCTGACGTGACTTTTCTTATCAGGTCAAGTTAGGTAGGAAGGTTCGTTTGGGTGAGGGAAGCTATTGGCCCCTTTTAAAAAATACACCATCAGGGCGTGAAAGATTTATCAGCACTCACATCGTTGGCTGCAAATGACAAGGACATGCAGAATTAAGACCACAGAGAATATACAGGAGAGAATGAGAGGTAATAAATTAGAGATGTTAGACAAACATCAGCAAGAGAAGAGATCAGTCTAAGAAGGATAAGAAGCACATGGAAACATGCATTCTAGAATGTGAGCATCAGCATGTGCCACCTTCCCTAATGTGCCACCATCAGCATGTCATGTCAACACATCACCAGATTTAAACCATACATACAGCCTTTCTATAGTCACCACGCCATGCCATTACTTGAGCATCGGAGACACGTCAGCAAAAACTCAAACCTTGGAGCCCAGCCCACCAACCAACGGCATTACACCAATCACCAATCACCAACCAATCTGAGAGGCAGACGTCACTTGAGCATCGCCGACACGTCAGCAAACTTAAACCCCGGGGGCCCACCTACCAGTGGCATTTCACCAATCACCCGATTCACCACCACACGGAGAGGCGACATCACTTGAGCATCACTTGAGCATCGCTGACACGTCAGCAGATTTGAACCTCGCAAGCCCACCAGAGCCCTTGGATCGGGCACCACCACCAGCAGCGGACGACCGAGATGCGTTTCTCGGCAAAGGGCTTCTCGCTCCCCCCTCCCTCTCCCTGTCCCGCTCCCTATCCCTATCCCTATCCCTGTCCCTATCCCGGTCCCAATCCCTGTTCCTCTCCCTATCTCGGTCTCCTCCATCCCTGTCCCTCTCCCTGTAATCACGCTCACCGTACCTGTCCCTCTCCCTGCCCTTGTCTCTATCTTTATCCCTGTCACTCTCTCTATCTGAATCATCGTCCCATCCCCTCCCTCCTCTTCTCCCACCACTGCTCGTGCCACTCCCCCTCCCCCCACTCCTCCCCCCACTCCGATCCCTATCTCCCCGACCCCTCTCCCTTGCTCCTCCCTCTCCCTCCTCCTCCCCGTTCTCATCTCCTTTCCAGGGCGGCACCATTTTAGGAGCCTTCAGGGGACTCAGTCCGCCGCCCGCCGACACAGAAAAGACAACCCCGCCCGTCCGCGCCAGGTCATCAAAATCCCGACTCGGCCGCCTCCGAGAAGCAGACGAGCCGCCAGAAGCAGCCGATTTCCGCCCGCCGCTGCTCGTGCTCTCCGCCCCGTCCCGCCCCGCATCCTTCCCCCCGTCGCCGCCCAAATCCTCCAGCAACTTCCCCACATCTGCCGATTTCCGCCGAACCAGGCCATTAGTAGCCGAAACACGCCGGCCGCCGCCGCCCGCTCGGCTGCTCACACTGGCTGTGGGGGACGGCGGAGCTCCTAATCCCCCCCGATTAGACGGACGGGAGCGAGAAGATTCCTCCAAGAGAGGAGACACAGGCCTGGCTCCTCCTCCCCCGCCTCTTGCTGACCCATCTCTCCCATCTCTCCCCTCCCTCCCGTCCCGCCCGTCCCGCCCGTCCCGCCCGTCCCTCCCGTCTCGCCCCTCTCTTCCGTCCCTGCCGTCCCGGACCGGAACAAGAGCCGACACGTTGGTCGACTTGTGCCGAAACAAGCTGTTCCCTTCCAACCTCTCCTTTGCACTCTTAGCCTTATCCGACACCCGAGACATGCCCCTCGCACCTCCTGCTCCCCCCTTTGCTCCCGCACCACCATCCTCACCAGCAGCACCACCAGCGCCGTCCTTCTCGTCGTGTGATTCGTCGCTGGCGGCGCCGGGAGCAGCAGAGGAAGAAGCGGGAGGAGGCGAGGGGGATCGCTCCAAGTCTCTTCCCTTGGTGCTGCTTCCGATGCGACTCTCCCTGCTCTCCCTCCCGACTCGCTCCCTCTCCTTCTCCCCTGCCTCCCCTCCTTTCTCCCCAGCATCTACCTCTGGGTCGAACGACACACTAGCAGACGAAAGCCCGCGCCGCAGCGTTCGCCTCGGCCGAACCGGCTCCTCCTCCTCCCCTTTCTTCCTCACCTCATCTCCATCCTTTTCTTTACCATCCCTCTCCCTATCCCTATCCCTATCCCTGTCCCTATCCCTGTCTCTGTCTCTGTCCCTGTCTTTATCCCCCCTGTCTCTGTCCCTCTCCCTTTCCCTGTCTCTGTCCCTCTCCCTTTCCCTGTCTCTGTCTCTGTCCCCCCTCCCCTTATCCTTCTCCCCTCGAACGCTTTCAGGAGAGGGGGATCGGCGCACAGACGAACGTCTACCATCCCTATCCCTATCCCTGTCCCTGTCTCTGTCTCTATCTCTGTCCCTATCCCAATCTCTGTCTCTATCACGGTCCCTATCCCAGTCCCTATCTCTATCCCTGTCCCTCTCGCCCCTCCCTCCCCTCTCTCTGTCTCTCTCCCTGTCCCTGTCCCGAAACCTGTCCCTATCTCTGTCCCTGTCCCTATCCCTATCCCGATCTTTGTCTCTACCCCCTGCGGGAGGCGACGGTGACCGTTGGATTCCCCGCGATCTCGATCTGGCCGTCGGACTCTTGAGAAAGTCTGGCCGGTCGTCGTCCTTTCCAACCGACACCAGCTTGCCGATATCTGCCGAACGATGCCGTACCAGCCCGCCGCCCTCTTTCTTAGCCCCCGTCGTGCTCCCTAGCTTGTCCCTCTCCCTCCGAAGCCTCTCTCTATCCCTATCCTTATCCCTCACACCATCCCGATCCCGATCCCTGTCCCGGTCTCTGTCTCTGTCCCTGTCCCTGTCCTTATCCCAGTCAAGATCTCTGTCTTTGTACCTGTCTCTATCTCTATCCCTGTCCCGATCTCTATCCCTAAACCTATCCCTGTCCCTGTCTCTATCCCTGTCCCTCTCCCTATCTCTGTCCCTGTACCTGTCGTAATCCTTATCCCTGTCCCTATCCCTGTCCCTGTCTCTGTCTCTGTCCCCCCTTCCCCCCCTATCCCTATCCCTCTCCCTGTCCCTGTCCCTGTCCCTGTCCCTGTCCCTATCCTTGTCCCTGTCTCTGTCTCTGTCTCTCTCCCTTTCCCGCGGATCTTTTTCTTTCTCCCGCTCCCCTCTTCGATTCGTGCTGCTGCTGCCTGGCCTTTCCTTCCCCTTCTCCAGCGAGGCAAAAATCTCCTCCATAGATTTTCCGGGCTGCCCGGGCTTCCCTCCCTTGGTCAAAATCGCCCCGACATTTTCCGACCGGTGCCGCAAAAGTTTCGACCCGGCATCGGCAGCAGACACAGAAGCAGACGACGGAAGCTTGACTTCTTTTCTGACCCGCCGCCCGTCGTCCTCCCCCTCGTGATCTGACGCGTCTCTTGTGCTCCGAGAGGGCGGCAGCTTCGGCCGGCCTGCCGCCCCTCCGCCGCCCGTGCTGCCGCCCCTAGGTAACCCTGGTCGATCCTCCCTCCCTCCTCCTCCGCCGCCTCCTCCCGTTGCTTCAAGCTTAGCTAAAAGCTTCGCTAAACGCTCCTCTCCCCCCGCTCCTCCCCCCCCTCCCTCCCCCCCATCCTTCCTCAGAACCTCCCGGGCAGCCGCGAGAAACGCCTGCAGGGCAGCTTCGGAAGTTTCATCGTCTGCCCCGGTCAGTCCGGAGCCGTGTCGGGCAGACGCCGACCGTCTGTCTTTCCCAGCAGCACCGTCAGCATCGGATTCAGCTCCTGATAACGACCCGCTACGACTCATCCCCACGCTCCGGGAACGAGGCACTATAGGGGGGGGGAGTCCCGCTCCCCCTCCCCCTGCTGCTCCTGTTACCCCCCCGTCCCCCACTTTTTTCTTCAACGCTTCTAGGAGAACTAGCAGGTCGCTATGTGCCCCCTCCCCGCCTCCTCCTCCCCCTCCTCCTCCTCCGCCCCCGCCCCCGCTCCCACTACCGACTTTTTTCAGGGAGAGAATCGCTTTGGAGAGTAAAGACGAGTCTCCCCCTGCTAGAACCCCCGCCAGTCCCCCCACCCCGCCCCCCCCTGCGTGGTGATGGTGGTGCGCCCCCCCTCCGCCTCCCCCTCCCCCTGCGCCCGCCCCGCTGCTAGAGCTGGGGCGCGCGCCCCCCCCTGTGCTGCTGCTGACGCTGCTGTCGCGCCTGAACGCGCCCATGACGTCAGCAGTGGCGGGCTTGGGGGGGATTCCGGAGAGGGAGGCGGAAGAGGGGAAGCGGGTTGCGCCCGCATGCTGCTTCAACCAGCGGTGGGCTGGGAAAGGGGAAGAGGAGGGAGAGGGAGGGGTGGGGGGATTGAGGAGAGGGGAAGAGAGAGTGGAAGAGTTTAATCTTCAGTCAACTCAAGATAGAGGGAGGTGGAGGAGGGAAAGCGCGTTGCGCCCGCGTGCTGCTTCAACCAGCGGTGGGCTGTACGGCGAGAGAGGGGGAGAGGGGGAGAGGGGGAAACGGAAAGCTGGATTCTGAGAGTAAGAGGAGGAAGACTGGAAGCGAGTTGCGCCCGCATGCTGCTTCAACCAGCGGTGGGCTGTACGGGTGGGGGGGAAGATGGGAAAAGGGGGAAACGGAAAGTTGGATTCTGAGAGTAAGAGGAGGAAGACTGGAAGCGAGTTGCTAGACCTCTGGTGGCACATAGGCAATCATTCCCCTCCCATTCCACCGTCCAGTTCATGCAAACCGTTTTTTCTCCCTCCCAGACACTCCCACCCATCCCCACCCAACACGCCCTCCCACACGCCCGTGAACATGCCCCCCCACCCCCACGCCCCATCCTCCACCCCCATGTTCACTCACCCAGCGCCTTTTCCGGTGTGATCCGCTTGGACGGGTCCCTGGTCAGCAGCTTTATGACGAGATCTTTAGCGTCCTGAGACACGCCCTCCCACACGCCCGTGAACACGTCGATCTTGCCCGTCCCCTACCCTTCCCGCCACTCACCTAGAGCCTTTTCTGGTGTGATCCGCTTGGACGGGTCCCTGGTCAGCAGCTTTATGACGAGATCTTTGGCATCCTGCGACACGCCCTCCCACACGCCCGTGAACACGTCGATCTTGCCCGTCTTGATGGCCGCGAATATGCCCTCCTCCTTCTCCGCCCAGAAGGGCGGCAGGCCGCACAGCAGGATGTAGAGAATCACCCCCACGCTCCACATGTCCGCCTCCAGCCCGTAGCAGTTGTTCAGCACCTCTGGCGCTATGTAGTACGCGCTGCCCGCCATTGTCGTCAGCTTGGCACCTGTAATGGGTTACAGGGAGTGTGTGGAGGTGAGAGACGGTGGGAAGCGGTGAGGAGCGGTGGGGAGCGGTGGGGAGAGGTTGAAAGGGTGAGAAGGAGGTGGAGAGGGCAGGCCGCACAGCAGGATGTAGAGGATCACCCCCACGCTCCACATGTCCGCTTCCAGCCCGTAGCAGTTGTTTAAAACTTCCGGCGCTATGTAGTACGCGCTGCCCGCCATTGTGGCTAACTTGGCACCTGGTAACGGTGAAGATGGGTTACAAGGAGTAAAAAGCGGTGAACGAGGGTGGGAAACGGTGGAAAAGGGTGGGACGGGGTGCAGAGGGGTTGAAATGAGGTGAAGAGGGCAGGCCGCACAGCAGGATGTAGAGGATCACCCCCACGCTCCACATGTCCGCCTCCAGCCCGTAGCAGTTGTTTAAGACTTCTGGCGCTATGTAATACGCGCTGCCCGCCATTGTCGTCAGCTTGGCACCTGTAATGGGTTACAGGGAGTGTGTGGAGGTGAGAGACGGTGGGAAGCGGTGAGGAGCGGTGGGGAGCGGTGGGGAGAGGTTGAAAGGGTGAGAAGGAGGTGGAGAGGGCAGGCCGCACAGCAGGATGTAGAGGATCACCCCCACGCTCCACATGTCCGCTTCCAGCCCGTAGCAGTTGTTTAAAACTTCCGGCGCTATGTAGTACGCGCTGCCCGCCATTGTGGCTAACTTGGCACCTGGTAACGGTGAAGATGGGTTACAAGGAGTAAAAAGCGGTGAACGAGGGTGGGAAACGGTGGAAAAGGGTGGGACGGGGTGCAGAGGGGTTGAAATGAGGTGAAGAGGGCAGGCCGCACAGCAGGATGTAGAGGATCACCCCCACGCTCCACATGTCCGCCTCCAGCCCGTAGCAGTTGTTTAAGACTTCTGGCGCTATGTAATACGCGCTGCCCGCCATTGTCGTCAGCTTGGCACCTGTAATGGGTTACAGGGAGTGTGTGGAGGTGAGAGACGGTGGGAAGCGGTGAGGAGCGGTGGGGAGCGGTGGGGAGAGGTTGAAAGGGTGAGAAGGAGGTGGAGAGGGCAGGCCGCACAGCAGGATGTAGAGGATCACCCCCACGCTCCACATGTCCGCTTCCAGCCCGTAGCAGTTGTTTAAAACTTCCGGCGCTATGTAGTACGCGCTGCCCGCCATTGTGGCTAACTTGGCACCTGGTAACGGTGAAGATGGGTTACAAGGAGTAAAAAGCGGTGAACGAGGGTGGGAAACGGTGGAAAAGGGTGGGACGGGGTGCAGAGGGGTTGAAATGAGGTGAAGAGGGCAGGCCGCACAGCAGGATGTAGAGGATCACCCCCACGCTCCACATGTCCGCCTCCAGCCCGTAGCAGTTGTTCAGCACCTCTGGCGCTATGTAATACGCGCTGCCCGCCATTGTGGTGAGCTTCGCACCTGTCAACGGTGAAGTTGGGTTACGGGGAGTGGAGAGCGGTGAAGGACGGTGGGAAGTGGTGGGAGGTGGTGGGAAGTGGTGGAAAGGGGTGAAAAGGAGGTGGAGAGGGCAGGCCGCACAGCAGGATGTAGAGGATGACCCCCACGCTCCACACGTCCGCCTCGCGGGCGTAGCAGTTGTTCGGGACCTGAGTTTTTGAGACGTCTCAAAAACTCACTTTTTACACGCAGTTGTTCGGGACCTGAGGTGCGTACCATGGTCCATGTGTTAAGCGATCTGTTCAGTGCCTTATCCCGTAATCACCATGATCACTTGATGACGTATTTCCAATAATTACTTCTTCCTTTTCTCCATTCCATACCATTCCTTTCCATAATTATACGAATTCTTAAAGCCAGGAGTCAGGTCAGATATAGACTCGTATGCCCACGCCAGTCACTGGCGAACCTAAGGGCCCGTCCTCGGCATGTTTTCGGCGAAAACAGTACTGAGTTTCCGCGGAAGCCACTTCGTTGCTTCATGAAAGAACACAGCTAGGAAAGGCTGCTAATGATATTAGCAAATAGTAGCTCACCTGGTTTGACGAAAACGGCGAGCCGCAGTCGACGGCTTTGACTCGCGTGCGCGAGGTTTGGCTGACGTCGGCGTTCGTCGCGGTTCGCGAAATTGCACAGAGTTCGATTATGTATGTAACACGGGCTAACGAAAAAGCGGCTCACCTGGTTTGACGAAAACCGCGAGGCCGTAATCGACGACTTTGACTCGCGTGTGCGACGATTGGTTGACGAGCAGAATGTTTTCGGGCTTGAGATCGCGATGCATGAGTCCGTGCGACTGGCAGTGCGCGACGACCGACACGAGCGTGCGACAAACCTCCGCCGCCTCGTTCTCCGGGTAATGCTTTCGCTTGCTTATTCGCTCAAAGAGTTCGCCACCTTCGCACAGCTCCATGATCAGATGCACGCGCTGAGACGAAAACGATACACAGATACGAGAGCGAGAAGCGGAGAAAGCGGAGAGAGGTAGAAGGTTAAACGCGTCGTTATTGGAAGGGTAGGTGGAAAGGAAGAGAGCGAAAGGGAGTTATGGAGCAGTGAGGATGACGAAAGAACGGGAACACTCATCACGAAATCCCCACTCCATTGTTCAGCGAGAACCCTAAACTGTTGTTAACATCCCTAAAAACCGAACTGGAAAGAACTAACGCAACGAATAGCCACAGACCTCCTGTTGATCTTCGATCGCACGGAGCTCGATAACTTCTGCATGACCTTAAAGCATCTCCCAAGTGTTACTCCTCGCTAACCTATTATTAGCTCGCGTACACTATTGTCTCTCAGCGGAGTACGTTTTCGCCTTCGTACGTCGCGCGTACCTAGTGGCTCACGAACCTACTAAACACTCGCGGCTCGCGTACCTACTAAACGTTCGCATATCTTCAATTCGCGGCTCGCGTACCTTTTGGTCTTCGTACGTCGCGCGGAGCTCGATCACGGCGGGGTGGCCTTTAAGCAGCTCCATCACCTTCACCTCTCTCTGCACATCCTCCACTTCCCGCGTCCCCGCCAGCTTCGCCTTATTAATGCTCTTACACGCCAGCGACAACCCCGTCGCTTTATCCGTGCACAGCCGGATCACGCCGTACTGTCCGCGACCTAACTCCTTCCCCATGACGTAAAAATCTTGCACGTTCTCGTACGACTTTTTAAGGATGTTCACTGTGTGCGACGCTTCTTTCGCCGCCGCGGAACCCGGCCGGCGAAGGACGTCCTTAACTCCCGTCCGGCTGGCGTCTCCTGACGCGGCGGACGGTTTGGCTGGGGAGGAGTCGCGAGAGGAACTACCCGGGCCTGTCGTGGCGAGACTTGGGGCTGATACGGAATCGGTGTCTGACACGTCATCATCGACCTTTTTTCCCGTCGGAGGCCTTTTTCTCCCGAGTGAGAGAAGACCCATGGCTGAAGTCGCATTAGAGAATTAAAGAGGAAAGTCCTGTTGACTAGGCTACTCGTTAATGTGTTAGCATTATTAAATTAAGTCAGTATGATGACGATACAATGGACTTGAAGGGTTTGCATCCTAAAAAAGGCGAGGCACCCTAGGGAAGTACCCGATGACCTAAGCGTCCATCCACGACACATCTGGCTGTACGCTTGCAGCCTAGTTTAGTACGAGCAACCAAAACAATGGCGGATCGTCAGTGACAGCAAAAGCAGCAATGGCAGCTCTGTCGTCATTGCCACTACGATCATGCGCTGGTATCGTGCCACTGAACTGAGAACGGAACTAGGAGCTCTGCTCGCTCGGTGGATGATGAGCGACGGGCTATCGTACCTCCTGTACGTGCCTACTGGAAGGGACCAAAGAAAGAAGGCTCTTGTTTTGGTTCTTGCACTGTTGGACACTTGTCTTCGGAAGTTCTCCAAACTTGGAAGTCCTAAACACAGGGTAAAATGTTCGATGCCTTCAAAAGTGTTGGTAAGTGATCTCGAGCTATTGATTGAAACAAATTGTCTGATTGACTGATATTTACACTAAACCGCAAGAAATGAAATTACGAGGTCCTGGTGCGGTACTCTGAAAAAACAAAACAAGGCGGCGGTCACGCCGCTGAGTGTTCTGGACGAGCAGTTTGCGAGCTTTCACGATGTTGCCGCCATCGGGTAACTTGGTGTCCTGAGCCTCAGGAAAGCGCAAAGCGACAGCCACCAGCTGGCAGGCCGTTGAATATTGCCCACACCTGCCATATTTGCCCCAGCCTTACAGCAGGTTTGCAACTTCCAACCAATTAATGAGGCTAGCGCTGGTTTGGCCATACCACGGCAGGTGATGGAGGGAGCAAAGCAAATTTGAGTGCACGGCGTGGCTCATCCAAGCCAGCACTAACTGGTTCGGGCCCTCAAACTGACCAATAGTTTCTGAGAAGGGTCTTGTCGTTTGTAGGTTTGGTTAGGTCGACGATGTTCGAACCACCGTGGCCACACAAGCCCCCTCATCCCATTCCAGACAACAAAGCGTCAGCGAAGAGGTTACAATCTGTTGCGAAACAGTCCGCTTCGTCAAGCATTAGCGAGCTTTACTCACAAACTTTGAAAGGGGAAGTATCAAATAGGGGCCGAAGATATAGCAGGAAAGTGGTCAAACATGGGCAATTACAAGAGACTGATGTGATGATCACTTGAAGGGTCGCCAGCGTGGCGGCCCTTCCGCGTTAGCTCTGGCGTCCCTACATTTCAGCTCTTGTCGCGTAGCGCCGCCCTCGGGGTAACGAGAGCTGCTGCAATGGCCAACGGTATGCACTACAGTACTGTAACAGCTTATCAGCAGTGATGATATTCCCTGCATCGCGAGCAGCAAACTTTCATTTCAAATCGCCTCGTTCGCTTCGCCCTTCCTCTACCACCAACATGGAGGCCTTCCTCGTTCGCACGGCGCGTCTCGTCCTCGCCCTGCTCTGTAGTAAGCCCTCTGACTTCTTTTGAGGCGCCTCAAAAGTCGACTTTGAGACGTCTCAAAACGCACGACGCGTCTCGTCCTCGCCCTGCTCTATAGAAAGCCCTTTGACTTCTTTTGCTCGCACCCGTCACGGAAACGACTCGTCGAGTCGATCGAGTGCCCTTTTACTACTGCCTTTTGCCCCTAGTAGTACCCGTGGAAAGGAAACGCGACTCATTGATTGGGTGCTTCTCTCCTACTCAATCAATTGGTCGTTTCCGTTCCGCGGGTTGCACTGACTGCGCCGCGGGTTGCACTGACTGCGCCGCGGGTTGCACTGACTGCGCCGCGGGTTGCACTGACTGCGCCGCGGGTTGCACTGACTGCGCCGCGGGTTGCACTGCGGCCTGCGCCACGGGCTGCCACGTCAGGATCCAACTTGAACCAGGCGGCGGCCTTGACATGACTTTTTGGCCCCTCGGCATGATGATCATGCTCCCTCGGTCGCCCCATGCATGATGATCATGCTCCCTCGGTCGCCCCGCATGAATGCTCCCCCGTGCGCCCCATGCATGATGCCCCCCCGTGCGCCCCTCATGATGCCCCCCCGTGTGCCCCGCATGATGCTCCCTCGTGCGCCCCTCATGTTGCTCCCTCGTGCGCTGTCCCCCGCCAGGTGCGGCATTCCTCACAAGTACTTCGTGCCTCGGCAGCGTTTGTTGGAATCTAAACCCGCCACGTTGCGTCGTGTTCAATCGCCTCTCATGATGCTTCCTCGTGCGCTGTCCCCCGCCAGGTGCGGCATTCCTCACTGCCGTCGCATCTGCCTCAATCGTCCCGCCATTCCTCCTTGCCCGTTCTGCACTGCACGGCGGCGTTTCAACCGCGGCGCCTGCCGCTCAGGCCAAGCCCTTGGTGTGGAAAGGGAGAACAGTCTGTAAGTGTGCGAGTCTTGAGGCGCTCAGTGCTAGGGAATCTGCCGCTCAGCTTTTGAGACCTCTCAAAGGCCGCTCAGGCCAAGCCCTTGGTGTGGAAAGGCAAAACAGTCTGTAAGTGTCATGTCTGCAGCGATCTTTGCCTCTTGTTAGCTGCTACTACACCGGCGGTACTTACCACTTCTCCTACTCTTATCCATCCATATCCATACGGCTCTTAAGTGCCCGCAGCGCAGCGCTCTTTGCCTCTTGTTAGCTGCTACTACACCGGCGGTACTACCACTTCCCATATGCTTTTGAGGCGCCCAAAAATTTCTGCGGCGCCGTCTTTTTTTTTTCTGAGGCGCCTCAAAAGTGGCACACTGGCAGTACTACTGCCAGTACTACCAGCAGCAGACGGTAGCACTTGCACTAATGTGCACCGAGTTGTGCCGAGTTGCACCGAGTTGCACCGAGTTGCACTGAGTTGCACCGAGTTGCACCGAGTTGCAGTGAGTTGTGGCCACCTCCGCCTCCTCCTCCTCTGAGGCGTAGCAGATGGTGTCATGCCTAAATTATTGCACTTCTTGATGTGTTGCGTATGTGTTGCATCCGATCCTGTGTTGCATCCGATCCGGCGATCCTGTGTTGCATTTGTTTTCTGCAATTCTCCATACCACCCTAGTGTCCTGTGGACGTATCTGCAACTAAGATTCGACATTTGAGGCGCCTCAAAGGCCGTACCACCCGAGCGTACTGTAGAATTTCATTTAGCTACTAGGACTTGTGCAGCGTTGTCATGACATTGAGAATTCTCAATACTGGACCCACCAGGGCGTCACATGCTCTGATTTTGCTAGTACTACCTTCTCAATTGCTCGTCCTTCCTCGTCCTTTCCCTTGCGCCCCCATCCCTGCCAATCCCGCTGCCAGATAAGTACGTGACAAACTTGCGTCCCACTACACGCAGGGGGAAGGTGGTCGGCGACAAAGGTGCACGAGGAAAATATGTCGCAAAGATAGTGAGGTGCGTCTCTGCTCGACTTCTATTTTCAGTCGACTCAAAGCACGGCTAGTTGCGTCCCACTACACTCAAAGGGAAGGTGGTCGGCGACAAAGGTGCCTCGGGGAAATATGTCACAAAGATCGTGAGGTGCGGCTTGTTTAATTTCTATCTTTGAGTCGAGACTCAAGAATTTGTCCCACTACACTCAAAGGGAAGGTGATCGGCGACAAAGGTGCCTCGGGGAAATATGTCACAAAGATAGTGAGGTGCGCCCTTCTGCGATTGTTCCACGGAAAATTTTTCTATCTGCTGGTGCTATTGTTCCATGCAATGCAAATACCTAAATACTGATTTGAGCCCCCGGCTGTGCCGGGTAGGAGGACCCATCCCTACCCACTTTCCCCATTTCCCCCCTCAAACCCCCGCCCCGCCCCCCCGCCCCACTCCCCCACTCCCCCACTCCCCCCTTCCACCCCGTCCTCTCCCCCTCCCGCCATTTCCGTCTGTACCTTGCTTGCGAAATGTCGGATATTTTTCGACTAGGAACAGGCATCCAGCTCAGCAACAACATTCTATTCCGAAAGCTTTTGTCTTCGTCTTGCCTTTTGAGTCGACTCAAAAGTCACTCATGTCTGTCCGTGCCTTGCTTGCATTGCAGGTGCTCAGAGCAACAACTCACACCCCCTTCCATCTGCCCCCTCGCCCCTCCCACCCCTACCTCTCCCCCTCACGGACATGTCCGTCCGTGCCTTGCTTGCTTGCATTGCTGCTACTCCCGACATGAATTTGGATCCTTGCATTGCAAGTACTCAGCGACAACTTATTACATCAAGTTCTTCTTCTCTGTAATAAACATCAAATCGGGAGGAAAAGAACCGATCCTAAGCGGCGCCAAGGCCTGCACTGGAGCATCCTCGCTAACCGGTCCTGTACAGTGGACCAACATCACAAGTGACAAAACTGGCCGCCGTAAGCGCTACAGTTTCCTGTCCGCATATTTTCTAGGACCTGTGTCTCTAGCTCAGCTACGTAAATCGATTGACGATGGATTCAATGCGGTTGGCTATTACACGAGGGTAGCGCATGAGAACAACGCGAATGCACTCTGTGGGAAGGCCAAGAAAGTGAAAGGATAGTACCTGTAGTTGTTGGCTGGCGTGGCTTCCCTCTTTTGTCTTACTATTATCTTTCTTTTGGTATCTTTGGGCTGGCTCACTTTGAGACTGGGTGCAAGTGCTCATGGTGGATAAGTAGTGTATCAGGGCACAGCACATGTATCAGGGCACAGCACATGTATCAGGGCACAGCACATGTATCAGGGCACATCACATGTATGAGGGCACAGCACATGTATCAGGGCACAGCACATGTATGAGGGCACAGCACATGTATGAGGGCACAGCACATGTATCAGGGCACAGCACATGTATCAGGGCACATCACATGTATGAGGGCACAGCACATGTATCAGGGCACAGCACATGTACGGTATCAGGGCACAGCACATGTATCAGGGCACAGCACATGTATGAGGGCACAGCACATGTATCAGGGCACAGCACATGTATCAGGGCACAGCACATGTATGAGGGCACAGCACATGTATGAGGGCACAGCACATGTATCAGGGCACAGCACATGTATGAGGGCACAGCACATGTATGAGGGCACAGCACATGTATCAGGGCACAGCACATGTATCAGGGCACAGCACATGTATGAGGGCACAGCACATGTATCAGGGCACAGCACATGTATCAGGGCACATCACATGTATGAGGGCACAGCACATGTATCAGGGCACAGCACATGTATCAGGGCACATCACATGTATCAGGGCACAGCACAAAATCAGGGCACAGCACATTAGGAAAATACTAGCAGGAACCATATTAATTAAGTATTTGTATGTTTACAACAAGGCGACAGATCTCATGCCTAATAAACAAAGATAAAAAACAAACAAATAGCTGAAGCACCTTCGCTCCACTTTGGATGGTACATGTATGTGTATGGGTCGATGTGCTATTGTCCGCGCCCAATGGGCTTTCAGGCAAGTCCGTTTCTGGCTTTAATGGCCAATTGGCTGGGGTAAGAGTTGCCATAGCTGGCTTTAATGGCCAATTTGCCAGACCCTTCACCACCACCCTTGGAGATGTTGACGAATCTGGCTCCCAATGGGCCTTCAGGCAAGTCCGAATCTGGCTTTGATGCCCAATTTGACAGCCAATTTGACAGCCAATTTGCCAGCCAATTTGCCAGACCCTTCACCACCACCCTTGGTGACATTCTCGAAAGCACCACTAGCCGCACCGTTCTCGAACGCCTTGGTGTAGACGAGAGCAGAGTAAGCATCAGGAGCAGCTAGCATGGATTCCATCAGCTGCGTATAAGTCTGCCCGTTATCCGCTATGTATCCACTGGCGCTTAGCCAAGCGCCGACACTTTCGTAGCTGTATCCGACGGGAGGGGGAGGCGGCTGTTTGCCCAGCTTGGCACGTTCGGACTCGGAGAGCGTGCGGTTGGTCCACGTGGCGCCGCTGGTGTCCATGGTGAGTGCCACGTCAGCGCCTTTCTTGATGACAAAGCCGGTGGGCTCGCCAGAGTCGGTTAGAGTCACGCTGATGTGGCACTTCATGTTGTAGTCGTTGGTTGTGGGGCTTCTAATGGGGGGGAAAGTGGGTGGCAGGGAGGGGCAGCGCGGGGCAGGGAGGGGCGGGTGTTTGGAGATGGGACAGGCGGGTAAGGAGGCCGGAAGTTAACAAGCGGCAAATGGAAAGAGATAAACGCAAATTTTTGAGAAGGGGTGAGGGGAGGAAAACGGCGAGGTGAGGTGAGGTTGCGAGAGAGACGCACGATCTGAGGGGAAAAGTGAGGAGAATGAGAGGAGTGAGAAGAGTGAGAAGAGTGAGAAGAGTGGGAAGAGGAAGCTTACCGTCAGCCTGTGGCGTTGACGTCAGCAGCGAGGTCAGCATTGGAGCCGTTGAGACGTGCTTCCACCGCACCTGCACGAAATCACAAAGAGGAGAAAAGTGACTGTTTGAATTGGAACGAAGGGACGGGGCACGGTGCGTGGTTGATTCCGAAGGTGAGCAAGGCAAGAGATGGCGAGGCAAGAGATGGCGAGGCAAGAGATGGCGAGGCAAGAGATGGCGAGGCAAGAGATGGCGAGGCAAGAGATGGCGAGGCAAGAGATGGCGAGGCAAGAGATGGCGAGGCAAGAGATGGCGAGGCAAGAGAGTTGGAGAAGGCTAGTAGCGGGAAGCACATCTTACCAACAAGAGTTTTGAACCGATCGTCTCCATTCTCCCCTCCGCTGTCCCCGTTCTTCCCTCCATCCTTCCCGCCTTCTTCCCGTCCTTCTTATCCTTTGGCGGCGGTGGAAGCGGCTCCTTCTTAAACTGCCCCCTAGCCGCTGCCGTCTCATAAGCAGCCGTCGCGAACGATGCGTAGCACCCGTCGGGAATCTCTATTATCGTCTCCACGAGCTCCCGTAGGGCCTGCCCGCCGAGCGTGGTCACTGTACTCGCTTTAAGCCACGTCCCGTTTGTAGCCACGTCCCATTTCTGGGGAGGCGGGGGCGGCGGTGTTCCCTTGTTTTTCTTGCCCTTGGGCGGGGGAGGCGGGGGATGAGTGAGATTCGCCCACGTGGCGGTTGTTCCTGACTCGACAATGTTATACACGGCGGTTCCCGCTTCTCCCGCCGCGCCTCGCCAGATGGAAACGCTGGACGGCTTGCCGGGGTCGGAGGTGGAGACGGCGATACTGTAGAAGATGTTGTAGTCGTGGTCTTGCCTGGCGGTTTCCGTCACGGTTCAGACAGGTTGACACAAACAAGAAGAAGGGAGGAATGGAGAACGGGAGGTGATGATGATGATGCGGAAGATGTTGTAGTCGTGGTCCTGCCTGGCGGTTTCCGTCGGGGTTCACACAAGCACGCAGAAGGGAGGAATGGAGAACGGGGGGTGAGCAGGTGGAGACGGCAACACTGTAGAAGATATTGTCGTCGTGGTCTTGCCTGGCGGGTTTCCAAGAGGAGGGGATGAAAGAGATTTTGAAATGGAATGTGCATTGATCAGCGAGACGGCGACACTGTACAAGATGTTGTAATCGTGGTCTTGCCTGACGGTTTCCGAGGGGAGGGGATTGACAAAAACGAGAACAAGGGATGAATGGAGAACGGGAGATGAGATGATGATGATGATGATGAGGATCAGTCGAGAAATGGAGACAATGTACTACAAGCAGGGTCTGATTCTGAAATGTTTGATTTCAAGTAGGGAACAAGGTGAAGTAGATTGAGTTGAGCTTGGGTAGATTGAAACTGCAAAGCAACGGTTTGAGTCGGCTCAACTGGAAGGTGGAACGCGGCACAGAGGACCAGGAAGCCGCACCACAGAGTACCAGGCACGCGGTTGGCTTACAGGAAGAGGGCAAGGCAGATTCCGCGGGTGGCGTTGACGTCGCCCGTCGCGCGTTGACTTTTGTGTCGACTCAAAAGTCAACCAGGTGGCCGCATCACAGGCGGTTGGCTTACAGGAAGAGAGCGAGGCAGATTTGCCCGGTGGCGTTGACGTCGCCGGTGGCCCCAACCACTTCGGATCCGTTGAGCCGCGCGGCGAGAATGGCTGCGCGGAGACGCCGAGGGGAGTGAATGGGGGGAATCAAGGTGTGGAGACAGGAGATGGGCGAGAAGGTAAGAAGCAAGGAGTGGAGGGGAGGGCAACAGGCTTCAATTGTAGAATGTGTGCTTATCTCGTCGATGTGTGGAAGGACATGCCACACTGCGCGCCAAGCGTCAAGGGTTGTTCTCTCCTCTCAACCCTTCAGATTTTTCAAACTGTTCTTGTTGGAGGTCGCGTGAGTTAGAAGCAAACGGTGGTGGGGCAATTGATATGCCCCCAACCCACCGAATGTGTTTCGGTGCTCACCGCTTGAGAGAGCTGCAGGTTTCACGAAGTGTGTGGGTTGAATTCGGAAGACCCACTCAATTGGTGCCACATGGCAACACAAGACTGATCGAGACTAAGGAAGAATTCGGTTCGGTGAAATTCGGGTGCCGAATTTCACCCCTTCGAATTGCTACGCGAATGTTCTCGACGCATCTCGTATGTTACATGCGCGACTCGATGTTTTGAGTAGCTATATATTGTGATTGCTTTGTATGCATGATATACTGAAAATCAGAGTTTTCTATACACAGTTCAACTCGACACAAAATCCAGAGACTTTCTATCCTTCAATCTTAGAGCACTACCTAGCACGTTGAAAGCCGTATCTCAGCCGATACTTGGGCGAATTACGTGTTCTACGGCTCCTTGGAAAGCCAAGAGTGTGCTCTAATGCTTAGAACAATTCCTAGTTCCTGCCAACTAGAGGACACGCCTCTACATCAGTGGTATCAGAGCTGGTCGGAGGAGTCTACGCGCGCGACAAGGAGCAAGCATGATGACGTCAAGCGAGGCCTCCCGCACTTCCTTGGATGGTGTCGTTGTAAATACCGGCGAACCCTGGGCAACCGCGACGATGTTCGACACGTCGGCGGTACCGATTTTCACGGGACAAAATTACTCCGCGTGGAAGTTTAAGTTCCAAGTGCTCATGATGGAGCGGGGACTTTGGGGATTCTTCGATGGAACGGAGAAGAAGCCGGACAACGAGAGCGACATCGCGGCATGGAAGAAGAAGGACCAAAAGGCGTTCGCTACGTTGATTTCGCGCATCGGCATCAATCTCGTGAGCTCGGTGCGCATGTGCATCAAGCTCGAAGCGTCGGCGCATGAAGCGTGGAAGCGGCTCGAGACCATCCACGTGAACAAGACTCTCCACGGCAAGATCCTAGCCCGGAATGCGTTCTACACGGTGAAGATGCGCGCGGGCGAATCGATGCACGAGTATGCGACTCGTGTGGAGGAACTCGGGGAATCGTTCATGGACCTCGGTGGAACGGTCACGGAGGAGGATTGGATTCTCACCTTGCTTTGCGGCCTTCCGGAAGAGTGGTCGACGGTGATTACGACACTCGATAGCGTGCAAGGCACTTGGACGAAGGAAATGGTGGTCGGTCGGCTTCTCCATGAGGAATCACGTCGCCGACAATTCGCGTGGGGGTCGAACGAGTAAGGGCAGCTGGGCGACGGCACTGAGCAGGGCAGCAGGTGTGTTGACTCCGCTCACCCCATTGACCCCATTGACCCCATTGACTCTGTTGATTCCGCTGACCGTTTCCGTTTCTGTTGACTCTCCCCTTCTTCTCTCCCTTTTCCCTACAGGGAGCCTATAAAGGTAGCAGCTTTGGAGGAGGCAGGGGAGGAGGTGACTGCTGTGGCGTGTGGCGCGCAGTGCACTGCTGCCATCACCAGGCGGAGGGGGAAGGTGTGTGGCGCGCAGTGCACAGCAGTCATAACCCCCTGCTCCTCTTTTCCCCCTCGTCGTCCCCTTCCTCTCTCCCTTTTCCCTACAGGGAGCCTATAAAGGTTGCAGCCTTGGAGGAGGCAGGGGAGGAGGTGACTGCTGTGGCGTGTGGTGTGCAGTGCACTGCAGCTATCACCAGGCGGAGGGGGGACGGCCGGGGGAGGGGGAAGAGGGGAGGGGGCAGCGCGGAGCATGGGGGTGGTGGGGAAGAGGAGGGGGAGGAGGGGCGCCTGTGGGTGTGGGGCCAGAACCAGGTGGGTGCAAAGCGATGCAAGTAGATAGAAAGTTGTGCTGGTAGATACAGAGCGGTACTGTCAGGTGATAGTAGAGGCAGATGTCAGTCCATTGTGCTTCCACCTAATCAGTCTTAACGTGGACCTGAATTCGTATCACTAGGTGTGATGGCCTTATCAATTGTTCTTATCATCGGCAATCACTTGCATTTTCTCGCTTTTCGTGTTCTCTCTTTTCATTTCTTTACATCCTCGCTCTCGTGCTTTCTATTTTCCGTGATTTCCCTGTTTTCCTCGCTCGGCAGAATTCCAACCTCCCTCGTCTCATGCGAGGAGCCTTCCCTCCCACAACTGTGAGCCCTGCGCTTCAATCTGGGTTTCATTATAGTCACTATAGTCATCCACAGTGTACGGTACTCATTCATCCATTCGTTTGTGCGTTTTCTCATTCCCTCGCCCGCTTGTCTTGCTGTTAGAAAGAAAGAAAGAAAGAAAGAAAGAAAGAAAGAAAGAAAGAAAGAAAGAAAGAGGAAAAAAGAAAAAACACGCATTCTCTCACACCCCACCGCCTTCCCCTCTTACCTGCCCTGCCCCCTGACCATCTTCCAGGTGGTTATTCAGGTGTCTTGTGGCGACTCACACGCTGCTGCTGTGTCTAGCACTGGGCTGCTGCAGACATGGGGTGAGACGGACGGGGGCAGGCAGGGTATGGGATGGGAGATGCGGGTGCGCGGTTAGTGCAGGCGGAAGAAAGAATGGAGGGCGGCAAGGATAGTGTGATGGGGACTCACATGCTGCTGCGTGTGATGGGGAGTGGTTTGAAGCACAGGGCAGGATAGTGTGATGGGGATGGATGCAAGTAGGCGTGCGACTCACATGCTGCTGCTGTGTCCAACACTGGGCTGCTGCAGACATGGGGTGAGACGGATGGGGCAGGCAGGCGTGCATGACGGATGGGTGATAAGAGATCGGTGTGAGACGGATGAATGCAACAATCATGCGACTCGAGCGCTGCTGCTATCCCCAACACTCGCATCCAACCCACCCAGCACTGGCCTCCCCCCATCCACTCTCCTCTTCCTTCACCCCCCGCCACACACCCAGGCTACAACGAGCATGGGCAGCTGGGCATCGGCAGGGCGTGCGACGGGCTGCAGCGGCCGCACCTGGTGACCTCCTTTCAGCGCTTCCTGGACGATCCACCTCTGACCTGCCCGGACGGAATTCAAATTGTGGCGGTGGCGTGTGGGGGGTTCCACACCGCTGCTGTTGACACAAGAGGCGAGATGTGAGTGCCAGTGTATGCGTGCACACAGGAACACTCACACAGAAGCCGCACCTGGTCTCCTCCTTCCAACGCTTCTTAGATGACCCGCCACTCACCTGCCCGGACGGAATTCAAATTGTGGCGGTGGTGTGTGGAGGGTTTCCCACTGCTGCTGTCGATTCCAGGGGCGAAATGTGAGTGGAAACAAGAAGGAGAGGAGGGTGGGAGAGGTAACGAATACAAGTGAGGCGAGGGAGGGATTTGAAAGCAGTGGATGACTGTTGTATCGGTAGGCCATGTGACGGGCTGCAGTGGATGGGGCTGCAGCGGCTGCACCTAGTCTCCTCCTTCCAGCTCTTCCTAGTCTCCTCCTTCCAGCTCTTCCTAGTCTCCTCCTTCCAGCTCTTCCTAGTCTCCTCCTTCCAGCTCTTCCTAGTCTCCTCTCCTCCTTCCCGCACCCTCCCCTCACCTGCCCCGATGGCATCCGCATCGTGGCCGTGGCCTGCTGGTTACTAGGGCAGCTGAGACACCCAGTCAGGCGCGTGGTTAGGGAATATTAAGCGTGTGAGGTATATTAAGCCCGAATCCATGTCGTCCCTTTTTCCTTCGTCCTCTGTTCTCCATGCATGGGCAGGTACACATGGGAGGGGAGGGGGTGTTACGGGGCAGCTGAGCCACCTAGGCAGGGGCCAGGTCAGGAAATGGGGAATTCAAACCCGAAATCATGTGCTCCTCTGTTCTCTCCTTCGTCCTCTGTTCTCCATGCATGGGCACGTACACGTGGGGAGGGGTGGTGGGGATGTTGTGTTGCTGGGGCAGCTGGGCCACCTATGCAGGGGCCAGGTCAGGGAATGGGGAATTCAAACCCGAAACCATGTGCGCTCTCTTTCATCCCTTCGTCTTCTGTGCATATGCAGGTACACCTGGGGAGGGGGGTTGATGGGACAGCTAGGGCATCGAACGCTGCAGGCCAGAGGAGGCACGTGTGAGGTGCTGCCGAGGCGGGTGGTGGCTCTGGAGGGGGCTTTTGAGTCGACTCAAAAGTCACCTCGGCGGGTGGTGGCTCTAGAGGGAGCCACTCTAATCCTCTGCTTCCCCTGTTGTCTGTGCATATGCATGCAGGTACACGTGGGGAGGGGGGTTACTGGGGCAGCTGAGGGCACACATGAGCAAAGCTTGTGCCACTCTAATCCCCTATTTCCCCTGTTATCTGTGCACGTGCATGCAGGTACACGTGGGGAGGGGGGATGATGGGACAGCTAGGGCATCGAACGCTGCAGGCCAGAGGTGGCACGTGTGAGGTGCTGCCGAGGCGGGTGGTGGGGCTGGAAGGGGTGTCAGTGGCGCAGGTGGTTTGTGGCCGCACCCACACATGCGCTCTCACCCACAGGTGTGTGTGCTGAGTGTGTATGCGCGCACACATTCTAGGGGAGGCATGGTGAGGTGGTGCCGAGGCGGGTGGTGGCGCTTGAAGGGGGTTTCAGTGACGCAGGTGGCATGTGGCCGCACCCACACTTGCGCTCTCACGCACAGGTGCGTGTTATGAGTGCGTGTGTTGAATGTCCATGTGCGTACACATGCCCAGTACTTGACTTTTCCCCAGTCCCCACCTCTGGTCATTTGAGATGGGACACTCATGAGCCTATCTCCTTGTTACCCTGCTCGTCTGTTCTTCCGTCTCCGCCATCCATCCCGCCCTCGCTCCTCCTCTCAGGGGCGCACTTTACATCTGGGGCGCGAAAAGGGACGGTCAGCTGAGCATGTGGGCCCCACCTCCGCCTCCTCCTGAGCCTGGTTCCTCCCGTTCCCGTACCCTCCCCTTTGCGCACCCCCAAACCCCTTCCCCACTACAGGGGCGCTCTTTACATCTGGGGGGCGGGCAGGGACGGGCAGCTAGGCACAGGCCCCACCTCCGCCTCCTCTGCTCCCACCCCCTCCTCCTCCTCCTCGCTCCCCTCCTCCGCCTCATCCTGCCCGTCCTTCCAGCATCTACACACCGGCTTCACCACCACCACTACTACCGCCAGCAGCAGCAACAGCAGATTCGGAGTGCCGTTTGGAGGGGGATTTGGAGGAGGATTTGGAGCAGGGGCGAGCGGGGGGAGCGGGTGCTCGTCTTTGGACTTTGTGCGAGGGCTGGTGCAGTGACAGCCGCTGCTGCTCATGCCGAAAGGGGTTCGACTTGTTACTTGTGGGCAGGTGAGAGGGTGGGGCAGGACCATGTGGGTGGGGATTTGGAACAGGGGCGCAGGGGGGGGAGCGGGTGCTCGTGACGGGGCTTTGTGCGAGGGCTGGTGCAGCGCCAGCCGCTGCTGCTCATGCCCAAAGGGGTGCGGCTGGTGACCTGTGGGCAGGTGAGAGAGTTGGACATGGGCGTATTGGAGCACCTAGACTTCGTGAGAGGGATGGTGCAGCGCCTTCCACTGCTGCTTATGCCCAAGGCCGTGCGACTGGTTACTTGTGGGCAGGTGAGAATGTGATAAGGGCGCAGGGGGCGCATCTGGGCCCATGGTGGGGGGGAAAGGGTGCTCGTCGCTAGACTTTGTAAGGGGGCTGGTGCAGCGCCAGCCGCTGCTGCTCATGCCCAAGGGAGTGCGGCTTGTGACATGCGGGCAGGTGAGAGCGTGGGGCAGTTGTGCAGGGGGGGAGTGGGTGCCCGTTGCTGGATTTTGCGAGAGGGCTGGTGCAGCGACAGCCGCTGCTGCTCATGCCCAAGGGAGTGCGGCTTGTGACATGCGGGCAGGTGAGAGTGTGTTTGCTTACTTATTGTAAGGTGGAGAGGTGAAGGGATGGGGAAGAGTTGGTGGGGGGAAGGAAGTAAAGGGGGGTGGAGGAACGATTGCCCTTGCTACCTCATCCCATGCCCGCTCTCTCACTCCTTCTCACTCCCGTGCCCGTTGTCCCTCGCAGGACCACACGCTAGTAGCCATGGCAGGCGATCACATCCTGGGGTGGAGCGACAACAACTGTGGGCAGTGGCGACGCTTAGTGCTTGTGCCCTTGCATCCCTCTTGCCCTTGTGCTCCTTGTGCCTGCTGTGACCCCAGGACCACACGCTAGTGGCGATGGCAGACGATCAGGTACTAGGGTGGGGTTACAACAGCTGTGGGCAGGCAGCAACAGGGAGGGAGTCCTACGCATGGATGCCCATGCACGTGGACTGGTGTGTGGGCAAGGTGCAGGCACTGGCGGCAGGGGGAGGTCACTCCGCTGTTCTCACTGTTGCCGACTCTCTGAAGCTTCTTACTGAGTTCCGATTGGCCCATTCCCTCGACTTCTCTCTTCGCCGCCCGCGGGGGGGTTCGGAGTGCGTGGGAAGTTTTGACGGGCTGCCCGGGGGCAGGGAAGGGAGTGGAGAGGAAGAGGATGGTGGGGTGATACTGCGTTGCCAGCTGGCATTGGCGGAACGAATCGTGGAGGAGTCGACTCGTGCGCTACTGCCTGCAGTTCTGGTGGGTGTTCTAGCAGGTATTCGAAGTGAACATCTTGCTAATGGTGAAGTTGTGTTTCAGTGCTGTGATTGCGGCGAGGGTGCGTGCGTGCATATGTGTGTATGTGCTTCTTAGTGTGTTTTTTTTGGTAAAGCGTTCTTTTTTTATTTGTATCCTTGGCAGGCTTCGGGTCACAAGTGACATCGACCCAGATATGGATGAAAAGGAGCAGCCCGCTGCAAGAGGACGTCGACAATCCGTTATGGTGTAATTATTGTGCATATGCATATAGTTCGTATATATTGTAGTCCCGTTAGAGTCGAAATTGTTGTTCAGAACCATTTCTGTACATTTCCATTCCTAAATTAGCCTGGTTCATAAGAAATGTTTAAGTCGGACACCTCATTGAACGCACTGTGTAGAGATCCTAGGCAGACTATAGCGCGCGTATTGTGGATGCATTGCAGCATTTCTCCAGCCTAGAGATTACCATTTTTCAGGTTCTCGAGATTCTCCTAACTTTTTCATTCCTACATACTAGTTCTCTAGAGCTGCGTGTCGCTGACTGACGCAAGTTCTTGAATTAGCAAATATTACTTCGAACGTTTGAATTTCGTTCAGGTTCCTCGCTTTCAAGTTCTTCTTTTCGACCGATTCTCATCCGAAACTCCTTTCATGGCGAAAGATGAGGAGGAGAGGGATGGAAGGACGGCGCGCAGAAGCAAGAGTAGGAGTCGCAGCCGAAGCAGGGACCGAGACCGAGGTAGGGACGGTGACAAGGTGAAGGAGAGAGATCGAGGTCGGGATAAGAAACGAGACCGCGACAAGGATAAGGCGGGCGACAAGGATAAGAAAGGCGACAAGGATAAGGCGGGCGACAAGGATAAGGCGGGCGACAAGGATAAGGCGGGCGACAAGGATAAGGCGGGCGACAAGGTTAAAACGGGCGACAAGGATAAGGCGGGCGACAAGGATAAGGCGGGCGACAAGGTTAAAACGGGCGACAAGGATAGGACGGCCGACAAGGATAAGGCGGGCGACAAGGAACGACGAGATCGTCGCAGCAAGCGGAGTCGCAGTCGCTCTCCAGATCGCAAGCGTCGCAGCCGCAGTCGCTCGCCAGATCGCAAGCGTCGCAGCCGCAGTCGCGGCCGGGAGAAGCGACGGAAGAGCAGCAGGAGCAGGAGCAGGAGCAGGAGTGGTGAGCGCGAAAAGGAGAAGAGCCGAGCTGACGAACGTGTTGCTGCTAGGGACGGTAAAGAGGAAGAAAATTTAGTAGAATTTAAAGAGTCGGGAAAGGATTCCAAGGAAGATTCGCGGATGGACGCGAAGGGAGGCGCGGTGGAGGAGGGAAAGGCGGCTGGACAAGTTAACGGTAACGAGACGAAAGAAAACGGGAAACAGAACGGCGATGCTGCTGCTGCTGCTCCGAAGAAGCAGGAGGTACGGGGTACAAGCGACAAAAAAAAAAAAAACGTATGCAGAACTCCACGCTTTATTAGCGTTTCCTTCTTCTGGACCCATTTCTTCGTCCGGAACTTATCGTGTCCTTCCTTTCTCACTTACCGTGCTGTCATGTCATGTAATTGTCCTGATGTGTTTTGCAGCCCTTGTCCTTGGAGGAGCTGCTGAAGAAGCGGAAAGAGGATGCCTTGCAACAGGCCAAGGTAACGCTATTTCTTTGAATTGCTTGCTGAAACCCTGTTTTTGATGAAAAAACGTTGTCTCACTGGTGCTGCTGCTGCCTAAATTCTTCATGGTTGCATCCAATGTCAGTCTGATGCATTTCAGTGCATCCAAAGTCATTTTGTTTGAAGCAATTATCGGTTCACACTTGATGTCCCTCCCTCCCGTTCCTCCTCCCTCCCCCCTTGCTTTTCCCCTGTCCTTTTTTCATTTTATTTCGTTTCCATGGGATTTCTGCTCCCCCAGCCTGTGTTTCTGACCAAGGAGCAGCGACAGGCTCTAGCGCTGCAGAGGCGCAAGGCAGAGGCAACGGCTCAGATGAGAAAGTAGGCTGGGGGAAAAGGGTGGAGGAGAGGGAAGGGGGGGAACATTTAATTCGAACATTCTTAAACCTGTCAGTTAACTTGCTGGTTACTGTGGTTTCTTGGTTGCTGGTGTTGTCACGGCCCCGTTCACCCTTTGCACTCACAGTTGTTTCTTCTTTATTGTCCTGTCCCGTCCGTGCTTTTGTCCTCTCCTCTCCTCTCCTCTCCTCTCCTCTCCCCTCCTCTCCTCTCCTCTCCTCTCCTGTCCGCTGCAGAATTGAGAACCAACGGCGGGCGCTCAGAGGACTCCCTCCCCTGCCTGGTACGCGATTTAGACTTCTCCTCCCATTAACCGGCATCCGTTCTCTTGAATTGAAATCCAGACTAGCCTCATTTCCTTTCACATTCCTAAGCGCTGCCTGTCCTCTTGCCATCTCTTACTACCTCTGGTGCGGCTGCGCTCGGTTGAGAATGCAATTTTTGACTTCTTCTGAGGCGACTCAGGAGGAGTTGCCTCTTTCCACGTCTGGCGTTGGCGCTGGCGCTGTGAGCTTGGCTGTGGTGTGGAAATCACAAGTTTTCTCGTTCCCCTTTTCGCCCCCCTGGCATTCTTTTGAGTCGACTCAAAAGTCATGTTGAGTCGACTCAGGAAGAGAGTTGCCTCTTTCCACGTCTGGCGCTGGCGCTGTGAGCTTGGCGGTGGAGTCGAGTCACTAATTTCCTTGTTTCCCTTTTCGCCCCCCTGGCATTTTGGCAGATGAGAGTGCAGAGGACGGTGCCGCAGAGGGCACGGAAGGGGGAAAGGCTGTGGATGCGACTTTGAGTCGACTCATAAGTTTTTTTCGTTCTCCCGTGTCCCCCTCTGACATTTCGGCAGATGAGAATGCAGAGGGCGGTGCAGCAGAGGGCAAGGAAGGGGGAAAGGCTGTGGATGCGACTTTTAAGGCGACTTTTAAGTTTTCTCGTTCTCCCTTTTCCCTTTTTTGATTTCCGGCAGATGAGAATGCAGAGGACGGTGCTGCAGAGGGCAAGGAAAGGGGGAAGGCTGTGGATGCGGATGGGGAGGAGGGGAAGAGCGACGTGGGACGAGGCAGGGAGAGTGACCATGGGAGGGAGGAGAAGGAAAGGGATGGAGATCGGGAGAGGGAGAGGGGCAGGGATAGGGATAGAGACAGGGATGGGGACAGGGATAGGGATAGGGATAGGGATAGAGACAGAGAGAGGGAGAGGGAGAGGGATAGAGATAGGGACCGGGATCGGGATAGGGACCGGGACAGAGACAGATACCGGGAGAGGGACAGGGATAGAGAGAGGGACAGAGACCGAGACAGGGATAGAGAGAGAGACAGGGATAGGGATAGGGACAGGGACAGTTACAGGGATAGAGACAGGGACAGGGACAGAGACAGAGACAGAGAAAGAGACAGGGACAGGGATAGGGAGAGGGGCAGGGAGCGAGAATGGGATAGGGACAAGGGGAGGGATGGCGATAAGGGGAAGGAGAAGGGGAAGGGCGAGGAGGGAGGGGCTGGGGGTGGAGGAGCAGGCACGGATAGGGAGAGAGAGCTGGAGATGATCCGAGAACAGGTGGGTCTTTGATGCGCCTCATGTTGTTGAGGAGTCTGCTTTTGGGGCCCCACAAAAACAGTTGGCTCTGGGGGTGGGGCTGGAGGAGCAGGCACGGATAGGGAGAGAGAGCTGGAGATGATCCGAGAACAGGTGGGTCTTTGATGCGCCTCATGTTGTTGAGGCGTCTGCTTTTGGGGCCCCACAAAAACAGTTGGCTCTGGGGATGGAGGAGCAGGCACGGATAGGGAGAGAGAGCTGGAGATGATCCGAGAGCAGGTGGGTTGCCTTCTTGTTTTGATGATTGAATCATTCTTTGATGTTGCCTTTTTGTTTTTCCTTCACGAATAAGCTGCTCCACTTCCAGTTCCTCTTGTTCCCACCCCACCCTTGACCCACCTACGTCGTTTCTTTTCTCGCTTACTGTTCCTCTCAAGTCTTAACCTTGCTTCCCTTCCTCCCTCCCTGTCAACATCCCTATCAGCGCATTCTGTATGCCTACTAAACCCTCTGGCCCCAAAACTTTCCATCCTTTCCCCCTCCCGTCCATACTCCCTTATTTCCCCTTTTTCCCCCTTCCCTCCGCACATCTTGCTGCTCTTCATTTGTATGTGGAGCTCGGTGGGCTGCCTGTGCCACGTCTGACACAAACTTCTACGGTGTCAGACGTGGCACAGGCAGCCCACCGAGCTCCACATACAAATGAAGAGCAGCAAGATGTGCCACTTCATCTGCAGAAAACAAATACTCAACGCTCTCAAACCTCTTCCCCCTTTCCCCCCCTTTTGCCCCTTTCCCCCCCTTTCCCCCCCCCCGCTTTTTCCACATTTCCCTTTCCCCCCCTCCACTCCCCCCCTTCGACCCTCCCTTTTTTTTCCCCTTTTCCCCTTTGCCTTTCCCCACTCCCCCCTGGCTCCACCAATGTCAGTACCTGGGGCTGCGCAAGCCCAAGAAGCGAGTGATCAAGCCAAGTGAGAAGTTCCGATTCTCCTTCGACTGGGAGAACACCGAGGACACCTCACGCGACCTCAACCCCCTGTGAGTTGAAGTTGTAGGCTTCTCAGACAGCGCAACAAGCCTGTTTGGTTTCTCAAACGTTGTCTCTGTCCGTCTGCCCACGGTTCTCACCCCATCATGTATTGTATTGTTCTTCCCCACAGCTACCAGAACCCTCACGAGGCGCAACTTCTGTTTGGACGAGGTTTCAGGGCGGGTGTGGACAGGAGGGAGCAGAAGAAGGTGAGGCGGAGGAGAGGGAGAAGAGGTGAAAGGAGGAGAGGGAGAAGAGGTGAAAGGAGGAGAGGGAGAAGAGGTGAAAGGAGGAGAGGGAGAAGAGGTGAAAGGAGGAGAGGGAGAAGAGGTGAAAGGAGGAGAGGGAGAAGAGGTGAAAGGAGGAGAGGGAGAAGAGGTGAAAGGAGGAGAGGGAGAAGAGGTGAAAGGAGGAGAGGGAGAAGAGGTGAAAGGAGGAGAGGGAGAAGAGGTGAAAGGAGGAGAGGGAGAAGAGGTGAAAGGAGGAGAGGGAGAAGAAGGTGAAAGGAGGAGAGGGAGAAGAGGTGAAAGGAGGAGAGGGAGAAGAGGTGAAAGGAGGAGAGGGAGAAGAGGTGAAAGGAGGAGAGGGAGAAGAGGTGAAAGGAGGAGAGGGAGAAGAGGTGAAAGGAGGAGAGGGAGAAGAGGTGAAAGGAGGAGAGGGAGAAGAAGGTGAGGCGGAGGAGAGGGAGAAGAGGTGAAAGGAGGAGAGGGAGAAGAGGTGAAAGGAGGAGAGGGAGAAGAGGTGAAAGGAGGAGAGGGAGAAGAGGTGAAAGGAGGAGAGGGAGAAGAGGTGAAAGGAGGAGAGGGAGAAGAGGTGAAAGGAGGAGAGGGAGAAGAGGTGAAAGGAGGAGAGGGAGAAGAGGTGAAAGGAGGAGAGGGAGAAGAGGTGAAAGGAGGAGAGGGAGAAGAGGTGAAAGGAGGAGAGGGAGAAGAGGTGAAAGGAGGAGAGGGAGAAGAGGTGAAAGGAGGAGAGGGAGAAGAGGTGAAAGGAGGAGAGGGAGAAGAGGTGAAAGGAGGAGAGGGAGAAGAGGTGAAAGGAGGAGAGGGAGAAGAGGTGAAAGGAGGAGAGGGAGAAGAGGTGAAAGGAGGAGAGGGAGAAGAGGTGAAAGGAGGAGAGGGAGAAGAGGTGAAAGGAGGAGAGGGAGAAGAGGTGAAAGGAGGAGAGGGAGAAGAGGTGAAAGGAGGAGAGGGAGAAGAGGTGAAAGGAGGAGAGGGAGAAGAGGTGAAAGGAGGAGAGGGAGAAGAGGTGAAAGGAGGAGAGGGAGAAGAGGTGAAAGGAGGAGAGGGAGAAGAGGTGAAAGGAGGAGAGGGAGAAGAGGTGAAAGGAGGTGAGGAAGAGAAAGGGGGTGGCGTTTTTGGTGGGGTGGGAGGTGAAGGGGTGGGTGAGGAGAGGGTGGTGGAGGGGAAGACGTAGTGGGGGGTGTGCTTTCTTACTGGTCTTGCTGTCACATCCATGGACTTTTGAGATGTTCCAAAAACTACTTCAGACTGCATTAGTGGCACTGCCTTACCGGTTTACAGATAGATTGATGCTTGATTCATTCCCGCCTCTTTGTGTTTGTTTTGCTCCTCATCGTGCTTCGTGCTGCTGCGTGGTATGGTCTATATGACATGGCATGTCATATTGTGGCATGGTGTGGCATGGCATGGCATGGCATGGCATGGCATGGCATGGCATGGCATGGCATGGCATGGCATGGCATGGCATGACATGGCATGATCGAATGCCATCTGTCGCATTCTGCGGTGGTTGAATGCTGCTTGCCCTTCTCCCCATGCTTGCATGCTGACTCTATCCTGGCCCTGCCTCGCATCAGCTTGCAGCGAAGAATGAAGCAGACATGCGGGCAGCCATTCGGGTAAGAGCATACATCTTCTGCAGCTCTATTGGAGTTGATGTTGAGAATTATCCAATGCAATTTTTGCTGCTTGGCCGAATCGTCTCTTTCCCTTTCCCCTTGCCCCCATTTCCCTCCCCCCTTCCCCCCCCCCCTTTCAGTCTCTTGTCTGTCTTGTCGTTCTTTTTTTGAGATGTCTCAAAATCGAGTTTTGCGTTTCAAGGCGTCTCCACGTCCAACCTCTTAACTCCGCGTGCATTCCTATGTCCATGCCTGCTTGTGGCTCTATGTGTATGTGCGTATGGTATGAATGTTCATGCTCATGTTCTGATGTACATGTCCTTCGACATGTGGATGCGTGTGTATGTGTGTGCATGTGCATGTGCATGTGCATGTGTGTGTGTACATGACATGAGCATCTGCATGTGTGTACATGTGCATGTGCACGCATGTGCATGTTCGTCCATTCTCTCCTCTCTTCATATCTACCCGAGCAGGAGAAGGAGGGTGTGGAGGAGAGGCCAGAGGATGCGGAGGCGCAACAGAAGAGGGAGGAGGCTGCCAACGCGTATGATACATTCGACATGCGCGTTGACCGGCACTGGTCTGAGAAGAAGGTGAGAGGATTGGTGGTGGTTGGTTGGGAATAGAGAATGCGAGTGGGTGTGTATGTGCACGCATGAAGAAGGGGAGGCGGCCAACGCGTATGACACGTTTGACGTGTGTGTTGATAGGCACTGGTCTGGGAAGAAGGTGAGTGGATTGGTGGTGGTTGGTTGGGAATAGAGAATGCGAGTGGGTGTGTATGTGCACGCATGAAGAAGGGGAGGCTGCGAACGCGTATGACACGTTTGACATGTGTGTTGATCGGCACTGGTCTGAGAAGAAGGTGAGTGGATGGGTGGAAAAGAGGGAGAGAATGCAGGAAGAAGGGGAAGCTGCGAAAGCCTATGATACGTTTGACATGCGCGTTGACCGGCACTGGTCTGAGAAGAAGGTGAGAGTGGGTGGGCAGCAATCAGGAAGTAGAATCAAAAAGGGTGTGGGTGTGTGTGTGCACATGAGGTGGCAGGAGGCTGCGAACGCGTATGACACGTTTGGCATGCGCGTTGACCGGCACTGGTCTGAGAAGAAGGTGGGAGTGAATCGCACCCTCCCCTTCCTCTTGCCTTTCCCCGTGCCCCCCCCCATCCTCCTTTTTGTGGCCTCTTATTTCTGTTCTCCTATGGTGCAACATTCAATAGGGGAGATGAAGTTGGAGCACCAGTTCTGTTGCACCAGTTCTGTTGCACCAGTTCTGTTGCACCAGTTCTGGTGCTCCGACACAGAACTGGTGCAACATCTCCCCTATTATGGTGCACCAGTTTTGTTGCACCAGTTCTGTTGCACCAGTTCTGGTGCTCCGACACAGAACTGGTGCAACATCTCCCCTATTATGGTCGGAGCATGATTCGCTCATCACCAGTTCTGTGTCGGAGCATGATTCGCGTGTTGACCACTTGTGGCTGTCTTTTTAGTTGTTGAGAAGCTAACCGTATCCTCGCTATCTCTACCCGATCCCTCACCCACCTCTCCCCACACCAGCTGAGCGAGATGAATGAGCGTGACTGGCGCATCTTCCGAGAGGATTTCAACATTGCCTACAAGGTACTGTGCTCGTGGTCAGTGAGTTCATGCTTCCTTTCAAGCCAGTTTGGCAGCTTCATTGGTTGGCTTACCCAAATTAGCTGCCGAAGGAATGTGCTTGCTCCCGTGAACCCATGAAGGTTGTCGTTTATTGGTTCTTTGAACCCATGAAGGTTGTCGTTTATTGGTTCTTTGAACCCATGAAGGTTGTCGTTTCTTGGTTCTTTGAACCCATGAAGGTTGTCGTTTCTTGGTTCTTTGAACCCATGAAGGTTGTCGTTTCTTGGTTCTTTCTCCCCGTCCATCCACCTGCTTACCAGGGCTCCAAGGTGCCACGCCCCATGCGCAACTGGGAGGAGAGTGGGCTGTCAGCGGAGCTGCTGCGGGCCGTGAAGCAGATCGACTACACCAAGCCCGGATGCACCAATGCTGCTCTTTCTCCTCTTCTCCTGGGCTTGAACTGCTCTCTGTTACCCCCTCCTCCCTCCCCACTGCTTCGTCCTCCACTGTTCCATTCTTCCCGTTCCCCAGGGCTCCAAGGTCCCTCGCCCCATGCGCAACTGGGAGGAGAGCGGGCTGTCAGCGGAGCTGCTGAGGGCTGTGAAGGAGATTGGCTACACCAAGCCTGGGTGCACCAATGCTGCTCCATTGCCCTCTCTCATTACCGTCTCTCCCCCACCCTCCATCCCCAGGGCTCCAAGGTACCTCGCCCCATGCGCAACTGGGAGGAGAGTGGGCTGTCAGCAGAGCTGCTGAGGGCTGTGAAGGAGATCGGCTACACCAAGCCGTCTCCCATCCAGATGGCTGCCATGCCCATCGGGCTGCAGCAGCGGGATGTTATCGGCATTGCCGAGACTGGTGAGTGAGCTTTACTGCGGGATGATTCACAGCCACACATACAGCACACCCACCAAGCCGTCGCCCATCCAGATGGCTGCCATGCCCATTGGGCTGCAGCAGCGAGACGTCATTGGGATTGCCGAGACTGGTGAGAAATTATGAGGGATGAGTCAGTGTAACAGCACTTAACCCTGTGATGATACTACTCCTGGCCACACACACAGACACACACAGCACCCACCAAGCCATCGCCCATCCAGATGGCTGCCATGCCCATTGGGCTGCAGCAGCGGGATGTGATTGGCATTGCTGCTGAGACTGGTGAGTGAGCTTTACTGCGGGATGAATCACAGCCACACACGCACACAGCACACGCATCAAGCCGCCGCCCATCCAGATGGCCGCCATGCCCATTGGGCTGCAGCAGCGGGATGTGATCGGCATTGCTGAAACTGGTGAGGGATGCGAGGGAGGTGGCATTGCATTCCGTGCACTCACACATGCACACACGGATACACACATACAGCACACACCAAGCCGTCGCCCATCCAGATGGCCGCCATGCCCACTGGGCTGCAGCAGCGCGACGTCATTGGCATTGCCGAGACTGGTGAGGATTTCACAGGGGATGGGTCAGCGGGATTTGATCGGCATTGCTCTGGTGGCGAGTGGGATGTATGATGCATCATATGGGGAGATGGCCATGCACATCCCATGCACTCTCCGACATGCACACCCACCAAGCTGTCGAGGGTTCAGGGTTTGTGTTCTTTTTGCGATTCATTCTTGTGTCCTCTCACACTCCCATTTTCCCAGGTTCCGGCAAGACATGTGCGTTTGTGCTGCCCATGCTGACGTACATCTCCAAGCTGCCGCCCATGACAGAGGCCAACGAGGCACAGGGAGCCCCTTCCACCCCACACAACCCTTTGCCTGCCCCTCCCTTCTCCCCGCCCCTGCCTGCCCTTTCTCCCCTCTCCACTGCCTCTCCTTTCTCTCAGGATCCGGCAAGACGTGTGCGTTTGTGCTGCCCATGCTGACGTACATCTCCAAGCTGCCGCCCATGACAGAGGCCAACGAGGCAGAGGGGCCGTACGCGGTTGTCATGGCGCCCACTAGGGAGCTGGCGCAGCAGATCGAGGAGGAAACGGTGAAATTCGCCCAGTTCATGGTGAGCTGTTGCAGAGCAGTTGTCCTGTGTGTCACTGATGGGGTAATAGCTGCCAACGAGGCTGAGGGGCCGTACGCCGTGGTATGGCGCCCACTAGGGAGCTGGCGCAGCAGAACGAGGAGGAAACAGTCAAGTTCGCCCAGTTCATGGTGAGATGCTGTTGTTCTTGTTGCTGTACTGTCCTCATGGTGTCACTGATGGGGTAATAGCTGCCAACGAGGCTGAGGGGCCGTACGCCGTGGTCATGGCGCCCACCAGGGAGCTGGCGCAGCAGATCGAAGAGGAGACGGTGAAATTCGCCCAGTTCATGGTGCGTTAGAGGTTTGGGGCCTCTCGTTGTCTTGTGCCACTGATAAGGTGATACCGTAGCAGCAACCAACGAGGCTGAGGGGCCGTATGCCGTGGTCATGGCGCCCAGCAGAGAGCTGGCGCAGCAGATCGAGGAGGAGACGGTCAAGTTCGCCCAGTTCATGGTGCGTTTGGGTCGTCCTGTTGTGTGTCACTGATAATCTACCAAAGAGGCCGAGGGGCCGTACATACGCTGTGATGATGGCGCCCGGCAGAGAGCTGGCACAGCAGATCGAGGAGGAAACAGTCAAATTTGCTCAGTTCATGGTGCGCTGGAGGTTTGGGGCGTCCTGTTGCCCTGTGTCACTTGGTGATCACTCGTGGCTCCCTCCCACCAGAGAGCTGGCGCAGCAGGTCAAGAGGAAACTGCCGAATCTGCTCAGTTTTCCTTTCTTCTCCTTTCCCGCCCTCTCCGCTTCCTTCTTTCCTTATCTGCTGCAGAATCTCCGGGTGGTGTCGATCGTGGGAGGGCAGTCCATCGAGGAGCAGGGCTTTAAGCTGCGCCAGGTGAGTGGGTCGACGTTTCTTCTCCTTACCCTACCTCCTCTTCCTTTCACCTCTGAAACAAAGCTGCTGGTCTCCGTTGTTTCTCGGTCCGCCAAAGTGCTACCCTACCCTTACCTAACCTACCAGGAATGTGAAATAGTGCTCATGGCTCACCTTTTTTCTGTCAAAGTAATAGACCCTTTTTCTGCCTGGGAGGTTGTGCTCACACAGGCGCTGCTCTGCTCCTCATCCGTTTTCCCCCCTTCCCCCTCCTCCCTCCTCCATTTCTCCCCCTGTCTGTCAGGGCTGTGAGATTGTCATCGCCACACCCGGCCAACTGCTGGACTGCCTGGAGTGGAGAGGCGCTATGCCGTGCTGAACCAGTGCAACACGCTTAACACGCCCTGCTCTTTCCTCCTTCCTCAACCCCCGGCCGTCCCCCACTCCCTCCCTCCCTCCACCTGTCCGGCTCTCCAAAACTCAGGACTGCGAAATTGTGATCGCCACGCCAGGCCGGCTGCTGGACTGCTTGGAGCGGCGATACGGTGTGCTGAACCAGTGCAACACGCTCACATCCCCCCTTCCCCATTTCAGGGCTCACATCTCTTTCCTTCCTCCTTCCCTACCCGTCCCCCCCAATCCCCATTTCAGGGCTGTGAAATCGTCATCGCCACGCCAGGGCGACTTCTGGACTGCTTGGAGCGGCGCTATGCCGTGCTGAACCAGTGCAACTACGTGGTGCTGGACGAGGCTGATCGCATGATCGACATGGGCTTTGAGCCTCAGGTGTGCATAACGGGTTACCACTCACATCACATGGGCATTGAGGGAGGGAGGGTGCTGAACCAGTGCAACTACGTGGTGCTGGACGAGGCTGATCGCATGATCGACATGGGCTTTGAGCCTCAGGTGTGCATAACGGGTTACCACTCACATCACATGGGCATTGAGGGAGGGAGGGTGCTGAACCAGTGCAACTACGTGGTGCTGGACGAGGCTGATCGCATGATCGACATGGGCTTTGAGCCTCAGGTGTGCATAACGGGTTACCACTCACATCACATGGGCATTGAGGGAGGGAGGGTGCTGAACCAGTGCAACTACGTGGTGCTGGACGAGGCCGATCGCATGATTGACATGGGCTTTGAGCCTCAGGTGTGCATAACGGGTTACCACTCACATCACATGGGCATTGAGGGAGGGAGGGTGCTGAACCAGTGCAACTACGTGGTGCTGGACGAGGCTGATCGCATGATCGACATGGGCTTTGAGCCTCAGGTGTGCATAACGGGTTACCACTCACATCACATGGGCATTGAGGGAGGGAGGGTGCTGAACCAGTGCAACTACGTGGTGCTGGACGAGGCCGATCGCATGATTGACATGGGCTTCGAGCCTCAGGTACGACCATATGATGTATGAGAGACATAGGGTATTCTCACTTACCCTGGACGGTGCTTTAAGGTGTTGAACCAGTGCAAGCAGTTACGTGGTGCTGGACGAGGCAGACCGCATGATTGACATGGGCTTCGAGCCTCAGGTACGACCATATGATGTATGAGAGACATAGGGTATTCTCACTTACCCTGGACGGTGCTTTAAGGTGTTGAACCAGTGCAAGCAGTTACGTGGTGCTGGACGAGGCAGACCGCAGGATTGACATGGGCTTCGAACCGCAGGTATGGATGATGGAGGGCGCTCACATCAGCCTACCCCTCATATGAGCCTACAGCTCGCATGGTCATTGAGGGAGGGTGCTGGACGAGGCTGACCGCAGGATTGACATGGGCTTCGAACCAGAGCTGGACTCTTCCCGCATCTGATCACTCTCCCCCCCTTCCGCGCCCATTCCACCCCCCTTGTTGTGTACATTACGAGCAGGTCACGGGAGTGCAAGAGGCCATGAACACGACATTCCTCAAGCCAGACTGTGATCACTCTCTTCCCCCTTCCCCCCTTCCCCCCCCTCGCTCGTGCACAGGTGACAGGAGTGTTGGAAGCCATGAACACAACGTTCCTCAAGCCAGACAGTGAGGACACAGAGCTGGATGCCTCCTGCATCTGATCACTCTCTCCGCATTCCCCCCCGCCTTCGACCCCCCTCCGTGTGCTCGTTCCCAGGTGACAGGAGTGCTAGAGGCCATGAACACAAAATTCCTCAAGCCAGAGAGCGAAGACGCAGAGCTGGACCTCTTCCTCGCCCTTCATTCCCTCCTCCCCTCCTCTCTCCCCGACCACCTCGCTCTTTCACACTTTGAGCAGGTGACAGGAGTGCTAGAGGCCATGAACACAACGTTCCTCAAGCCAGAGAGCGAGGACGCAGAGCTGGATGCCTCCCGCATCTACCGGGTGACCTACATGTTCTCTGCCACCATGCCTCCCAGCGTTGAACGGCTGGCCAGGAAATATCTTCGCAACCCTGTTGTGGTAAGTGCCTCCCTCTGCTTCTTGCTGCTCTCTCTACTCCCCCTGCTTCCCCATCTCCCCTCCTCATCTCCCGCATCTACCGGGTGACCTACATGTTCTCCGCCACCATGCCCCCCCAAGTGTCGAGAGGCTGGCTAGGAAATACCTCCGCAACCCCGTCGTGGTACGTGCCTGTCTCTCCTTCCCCTGTTGCTCCGGCCTCCTGTTTCGTCCTCGCCTCCCCTCGCTTCACGCATCTACCGGGTGACCTACATGTTCTCTGCCACCATGCCCCCCAGCGTTGAACGGCTGGCGCACTAGTATCTCCGTAATCCAGTGGTGGTAAGTGCCTCTCTGTCCCCCTGCCCCTCCTGCTCCCCCTTCCTCTCCTCTCCGCTCCCCTTTCTCGCTCCTCATCTCCCGCATCTACCGGGTGACCTACATGTTCTCCGCCACCATGCCTCCCAGCGTTGAGAGGCTGGCACGCAAGTACCTCCGAAACCCTGTTGTGGTACGTGCCTCCCTCTGCTGCCTGCCGCCCCTGCTCCCCTTGCGCCCCTGCTCACTGCTGCTGCCCCCTGTGCCCATTGTGTTCCCTGCTTAGTACCCTCGCTCTGCTCCTCTCCTCCTGCAGCATGCCCCCTGCTGCATTCTCATAGTGAAGGGTTGAAATAAGAGCATGCACCTGCAATCTCCTCCCTTTCTCCACTCTTTCCCCTCTCAGGTGACCATCGGCACGGCAGGCAAGGCCACAGAGCTCATCACGCAAAACGTGTTCATGGTGAAGGACACGGAGAAGATCTCCCGCCTGCAATTGTCTCTGTGTTTCTTTCTCGCCCATCTCCCTTTCCCTACCGTAATTTCAGGTAACGATTGGCACGGCAGGCAAGGCGATAGAGCTCATCACACAGAACGTGTTCATGGTGAAGGACACGGAGAAGATCTCAAAGGAGGTTCCATACCTCTGTGTCTCTTTCCCTCGTGCAGGTGACCATTGGCACAGCGGGCAAGGCGACCGAGCTGATCACACAGAACGTGTTCATGGTGAAGGACTCGGAGGAGATTTCCCGCCTGCAATCCCCTGCCCTTATGCAATCCTCTCTCTTCCTTTGGGTCCTTCACGCACCGCAATTACAGGTGACCATTGGCACGGCAGGCAAGGCAACAGAGCTCATCACGCAGAACGTGTTTATGGTGAAGGACTCGGAGAAGATCTCCCGCCTGCAAGGTCCATGCCTCTGTGTCTCTTCCTTTGTCCGTCTCCCTGTTCTCCCCATGCAGGTGACCATTGGCACAGCAGGCAAGGCCACAGAGCTCATCACGCAGAACGTGTTTATGGTGAAGGACACGGAGAAGATCTCCCGCCTGCAGCGCATCTTGGAAGAGGTTGGGGAGGACCGCACGGCCATTGTGTTTGTCAACACCAAGAAGACGGTTGATGGTGTTGCCAAGCAGATCGACAGGATGGGGTTCAACGTGACCTCGCTGCACGGAGGGAAGACGCAGGAGCAGCGAGAGGTCAGCCTGGAGGGCTTCCGCACCAAGAAGTTTAATGTGCTGGTGGCCACGGATGTGGCTGGCCGTGGTATCGACATCCCGGTGAGCATTGACTTTGATTGCCAAGCAAGTAGGAACTGATCAGTCAGCCTGGAGGGCTTCCGCACCAAGAAGTTCAACGTGCTGGTGGCCACAGACCAACATTGAGATGTAGACCAAGGTCTGAGGAAGTGCATGCATGATTCATCAACCCTCACTCCCCGCTGCTGCCTCCCATCCAATCAGGACGTGGCACATGTGATCAACTTCGACATGCCGGGCAACATTGAGATGTAGACTCTTGTTCCTCGTTGATTGAGGGAGGGAACGCATGAATCTTCATGCTAATTCATCAACCCTTAATCCTCGTTTATGCCCTCCCATCCAACCAGGACATGGCACATGTGATATACTTCGACATGCCAGCCAACATTGAGATGTAGACCAACGACTGAGGAACTGCATGCATGATTCATCAACCCTCGATCGGCCCTTTTGCCTCCCATCCCATCCAATCAGGACGTGGCACATGTGATCAACTTCGACATGCCGGGCAACATTGAGATGTACACTCACCGCATCGGTACGTTCCCCATGACCTCTTTCAGCCTCTCTCTCCCTCTTCTCCCTTCCCCTCATTGCCCTGTGTCCCCACAATCCTTCGTCCATCCATTCCCATGAATCTCCTGACCCGCCCTCTTTTTCCTGCCAAGCCGTCCCTTCTTCCCCCTCTCCCAACTCCTCTCTGCAACCTACCCTGAACCGCCCTCTGCTCTCCGCCAACCCTTCCCCCTCTCACCCCCCCCTCCCCAACCCCCCGTCGCCCAACCCCTCGTCTCCTCCACCCACTGCACACTGCAGGGCGAACGGGGCGGGCAGGCAAGACAGGAGTGGCCACCACCTTCCTCACGCTGCATGACTCCGAGCTCTTCTACGACCTTAAACAGGTGCGCTCCCCCTTCTCCCTCCTCTCCCTCCTCCTCGCGTGCACACACTTCTCAGTGTGTTTTGAGTCGACTCAAAACACACCTGCATGACTCGGAGCTCTTCTACGACCTCAAGCAGGTGCGCTCCCCACTATCCCCGCTCCCCCCTCTCCCCTCACCCCGCTCCCCCTTCTCCCCACTCCCTGCTCTCCACTCTCTCCTCTCTCCCCGCTCCCCGTTCCCCGCTCCCCGCACCCCGCTCTCCCCGCTCCTCTCTCTCCCCTGCTCCCCCCCCCGCCTTCTCACGCTGCATGAATCGGACCTCAAGCAGCTCCGCTTCCTCTTTAACGCCTTTTCTCTCCCGCATCTCCCCTCCTCACTTTCACACTCTTCTACGACCTCAATCAGACCTCTCCCCTGCTCCCCCCCCCCGCCTTCTCACGCAGCATGAATCGGACCTCAAGCAGCTCCGCTTCCTCTTTAACGCTCCCCTTTTACCTCCCGCTCCTCCCCTCCTCTCTTTCACTCTTCTACGACCTCAATCAGACCTCTCCTTTTCACTCTCCACTTTTCTGTCCCTTCCTCCCCTCCTCTTCACTTGTGCACTTTTCTACGTCCTTAAAACATGCCTCCTCTCCTTTTTACTCCTACCCCCCCCCCTTCCCCCCCCCCCCCTTGCCCCCTCCCTTCCCCCTCCCCTACCCCCTTGTCCCTTCTCCAATCACAGATGCTTACGCAGAGTGGTTGTGCCGTACCTCCCGAACTCGCCCGGCACGAAGCTGCCAAATTCAAACCAGGTATAGCTCGACCTTCGCCTTTTCAGTGTAACTTTTACTTCGTAACTAGTTCTGTTTTTCTGTTCAAATTGTTCACAATAATTCAATCGTTTACCATTTTGAATGCATTCCATTCTCTCCAATCTGCACTTTTTGCTTCGTGCAGGTTCCATCCCTGACAGGCCCCGTCGTAGCGAGCAGCTTTTCACGCATTGATGAAGTCTTCATTCCAAGCCTTTTTAAATGGTTGGTGTTTCACGTGTGGATTAGTATTACTAACATGCCTAGTACCGATGACCGACTAACTACCTTTTCACGTTAGTCTCACAGTCTAGCACTAACTGAAACACTGTAAGTGCATAAAAAGGTACTGCGTCATTTACAAACGAAAACGGAAGCTTTCCTTTCTGGAAGGAATTGCGGCTGACTCGTTTCCTCGTCATCGGCTTCACCTACGCTGCACATTCTTTCTGCAGGCCAACGCGCCTCGTAATGACTTTTTGCTCATTTTCCGTGACTCCTGCCCGATTTCAAATTTGACTACCGCCTTGCTTAGCAAAGTTCTTGGAAATATAGCACACGTACCATTAGTTGTGTCTTCAACTGACCTAAAGAGTTACTACGAAGAAACTGACCCGTGCCAAGAATTACCGTGTCCTCGTCATCTTTATTCTCGCAGACATCATCATCACTGTTTACAGTCCCTTGGGATTGACTCATCATCCCACCGACCTTCTCAAACAAGCCATCACGATTCTCACCTCACCATGTCTTCTCGAAAGCACAACACGCTGGGTAATGAGTACGGTAACGTATGTCTCATAGCGGTACCGCTCGGTACGGAGAAATTTGTTCACCTAACTGACTGTGAGCAAGAATGACGGAACCCTAATTTCAATGGTTGACTCAATTTGACGTTCCCATTTTACGTGTTCTTTCTTAGCTCTGGTCAACGCGTCTTTGTCATCTAAACTCGCCTCGTCGCGCGTTCGGTCTCGTATGCATTTCTTCAATAGAGCCGTCTTTACATATTTATACTTGCCTCACGACACTAATGCTAGAGGGTCTTCAGTTCTTTAGTGGCATCCTCGAGCCTCAGCTTTTGAAAGAACGGCCTTTTTAAGTGTGCCGCTATAAGCGTCGACGCTTGCTGAGCCGGGTACGCAGTTACCACTTCCGTTTCTTCGTGTCATCGTACAGCGACATGGACATCGCGGGCGTGAGACATTGACACCCTCGACCCTTCGCAGGTACTTACCTGAAAGTCTTCGCGTTCCGTATCTTATTCTCGAGACGAACCATGAATTATGAGAACGAAGAATAACGATTAGTAAGAAAATGGAAGAACGCTTTCTTTCTCGTCTTTCCATGTTTCGATGGCCCTCCCTCTTCTTTGTACAAACATCCTAGAGTTGTCACTGTCACGCTGGGCTGTCCTAACCAGGTGCGTGGCTTTAAAACGAGTGTTAGCTGTACTGGGAGCTTTGCTCTAGCCACGCGTCTGGCTGCGAAACGAAGTGTTCTGTATTGCGAGGTAGACCTGACGATATTTCTGGCTCCGTATGACGGATGGTTACTACGCTAGGCGGTCGGCTTAGCAAGACATCTAGCTGCACTGCATTGCAACCGCGAGTCGAATCCTGTTGTCGCATGGTCCAATCCTACTGTCGCACGGCCGACTTCTGCTGTTGCACGGTAATCTGCTGTCGCACGGTAATGATGCCGTCGCACGGTAATTGTAACAGTCGCATCAGACTGGGACGCGCGAATACCCAGCTACATT